TCATATTTGGAATGGAGGTTAGTCATGATTAGTAGATGACCCCTTTTGATTTTGAGGTCACCAGGTCAAAGGTCAAGGTCACAGGGGCCTTGACTTCAAAAAGCTTGTCCGCCCAATAACTTAAGATTCCTTTGACCCATAGTCTTCATATTTGGCATTGAGGTTAGTCATGATTAGTAGATGACCCCTATTGACTTTGAGGTCACCAGGTCAAAGGTCAAGGTCACAGGGGCCTTGACTTCAAAAAGCTTGTCCGACCAATAACTTAAGATTCCTTTGACCCACAGTTTTCATATTTGGCATGGAAGCTAGTCATGATAAGTAGATGACCCCTAGTGACTTTGAGGTCACCAGGTCAAAGGTCAAGGTCACAGGGGCCTTGACTTCAAAAAGCTTGTCCGCCCAATAACTTAAGATTCCTTTGACCCACAGTCTTCATATTTGGCATGGAGCTTAGTCATGATTAGTAGATGACCCCTATTGACTTTGAGGTCACCAGGTCAAAGGTCAAGGTCACAGGGGCCTTGACTTCAAAAAGCTTGTCCGCCCTATAACTTAAGATTCCTTTGACCCACAGTCTTCATATTTGGCATGGAGGTTAGTCATAATTAGTAGATGACCCCTATTGATTTTGAGGTCACCAGGTCAAAGGTCAAGGTCACAGGGGCCTTGACTTCAAAAAGCTTGTCCGCCCAATAACTTAAGATTCCTATGACCCACAGTCTTCATATTTGGAATGGAGGTTAGTCATTATTAGAAGATGACCCCTTTTGATTTTGAGGTCACTGGATCAAAGGTCAAGGTCATAGGGACTTTGACTTCAAAAAGTTTGTCCACCCATTAACTTAAGATTCCTTTAACCCACAGTCTTCATATTTGGCATGGATGTTGATCATGACTATAAGGTGACCCCTATTGATTTTGAGGTCACTGGGTCAAAGGTCAAGGTCACAGGGACCTTGACAAAAAAAAGCTTTTCTTCTCAATTGCTAAAGAATGTCCTGTCCGCAATGTATTGATTTTGACTTTTTCACATTTGAAGCATGTAGAATACATAACTTAGCAATGCACTGGCTTAGTAACCTCAGATTTGGCAGGGAGGTTGTCCTTGAGCTCTAAATGGCCACTGTTGATTCTGACAAAGTGGTATGCGGGGGTATTCACGCCATCATAGTGGCAGTTCTAGTTTTTAATTCAAAATTTGAAAAGTTGCCCGATTTTCTATACTTTTATAGCTTGAATAAAATGTTAGAAATTTTATCAGAAAGTCAGTAGAATTCTATATTCTCAGAGGAGGAAGTGATTTAACAGTTTATTGTTATTGCACGTTGTTTAGGAGGTGGTAATGGCTTGATGAGACTAACAGATACAGTGATCTGTCTGGAGGTGGAAGCAAAAAATGTTCGCCACCTGACATACAGGGTAAATGTCAGGGCAAAAAAAATTCAACATTCTTATCTGATAGCATTAGTTGTATAAAACGTGCCAAATAATGTACAGACTGTCAGGTTAGCACAGTCATCGTCTGTATATACATGTATATATACAAATATAAACATGTATAATTATGTATATTACATGTATGTATACGAATATTTGTACTATATATACATGACATTATAAGTGTATACATGGGTGTAGGTTGTAGAAATGGGAAAAAAATAATGCACTCTTTGAATATTAGACATAATATAACAACTGTGTAATTAATGATGTGTCAGAGAGTTTCAAGAATTTTGCATTTTACTAGCAAAGTGTGCAAAATCCGTCTTTAGCTCATCGGTTGTTAACCCTTAAAGGGGTACAGTGGTCTGCTGCGGTTAAGGTGTCTACCTATCAACCCAAGGATAATTGGTTTGAGCCCTTATTGGGTTGCGACTATGTTTCTTCATATGACATCATTACTAGTCGGTTCCAGGAAGCCGACTCAGAAGTGATAAATATAAGTTGCAAGAACTTGTTTAACAATCAAGCTTGAATAAATATGTTTTAACCAACCCTTAGTGTTAACCGTTTTGAAAATTTCCTTAAAACAATGTGCATGTATAAGTAAGACTAGATGGACAAATCCATTTAAGATGTTTAGGAAGAAAAAGAGTTACGGAAGGTTGCCAGTTATTTTACTTGTATTAAGTATAGTACTTATAAGAATATTGCTTGGGGTAATAGCGATTGCTTGTCAATGCTAAATAGATAATGATAACAAACAGATCATATTGTAAGTCAGTTGAGAGTCTTAGAGACTTAGCTAGTTGACACATGTAATTCCTTTTTGTTAGGCCAGTCTTTACTCTATTAGAGGCTTAATTTTCTTTAGATGACAGATGGGAAATAGAACTGAACATGTTTATTACACTAGAGACATAATTATATAGTGACATTATCATTAAAACTGGAACAAACTTTTTTACTTTTATTGGAATTTTTTTTAAAATATCTCTCTTTGCAATCAGACTTTAACCTGTGTAACATGTCAATTCAGCATCCACATTTGGATTAGCAATTTTCACTCGTCAATTAACTGCTAATTTCACCATGTGAATGACAATAATTTTATTGAATAAATTTGCCTGACAACAGGACAGAAATGCATACAGGAACATTGATTACTGCCTGATAGTTATACCATGGCAATTTGAAATATCTAAAGCATCAGCGGCAATGTAAAATAGATCAATAAACATATACAAGAGATGAGCGGAGAAACTCCGGATTGCACCAGTAACAACATCATTATGGGTTCTGCAGTGTGTCTTATAGTAAATTAGGCTAAAGGTGTGGGTGGATTTTGAAATAATATTTACCAGATTATTTTCCTTGGTTGAGATTGTAAAAGTTTTCCTGAAATCTTTTTTTCTTTCATTTTGAAATTGATTGATGTCAGTGCCTTAGTATCAACATCTTATGGTTCTGTTGTATCTTCGTAAATTAGGCTAAGGTCAGGGTGGATATTGAAATAATATTTACCAGAATATTTTCCTTAGAATTGTTTGGATGCAAATGTGCTTAGGTTCAGAGCCTGAAATCTTTTTTCTTTCATTTTGAAATTGATTGATTATCAGTGCATTAGTATCAACATCTTGGGGTTACTCTATTTTTTTGTGTAAATTAGACAATTTTACCTGATATTTTCTTTAGAATTGATGGATACATTGCTAGGTTTTAAATGTATTACATTTCCTGAAATCTTTTTCTCATTTTGTTTGATAGTATCAACATCTTGGGGTTCCTCTTTTGTATCTTCCTAAATTAGGCAATGGTGTGGGCGGATTATTGAAACATATTACTGCCGTACTTTTCTAAGAAATGATGGATTTAGTGCTAGGTTTTGAATGCTTAAGATTTTCCCGAGATCTTTTTCTCATTTTGATTGATATTAATGCCCATTTTTCTATCTGATTTGTAGAAGAAAAAAAGCTTATTTGGTTATTATATGATATATCAGTTGTCGTTAAAATGCGTAGAAAATAAAACTAATAACGAGGCTAGGTAAAGTAACTCTATAATCAATTTAATGGTAACGAGACAAGAAAATTGACAAGTTCATCTGCTGTTGAAGTGTTCATTACAGACTGTTCAGTCAATATTGAAGTTGATGTTATTTGTGTCAGACAGTAAGGGCACTTTGACTCTGGTGTTTTTACCATTCAATATTCGATGTTTATTATATAATCTATAAATAGCTTTGAAATGCCTTTCCCTGATTGGCTAACAAGCAACTTTTTGTAAAAAATAACAGGTCAATATCAGAGTATATTCACTGTTTTTTCCTAAAAATAGACTTTCAGAGTATATTCACCGGTTTTTCTTCTAAAAATAGATTTTCTGGAAATCCCTAAAAGACGCGAAACTTTGACGTGATGTCACGCCAAGTTTGTTGTTATTATTCTGATGGGTGTACAAGAGTCAAATAAGTCTATTTTAGTTACCGCTTTTCATTTTTAAGAATAATAGGGATTAGCATGCCAATGGAAAGGGCCAAATTATGGAAACAGTAGACAAGCTAAAAAATAATGATTTCCTGTCGTATGCAATGGCAGATGTGATAAGCCATATAAAAGCTATTTATAGATTATATAATAAAACAGATATGTACTTTTTAGCTGTTGAATATGATGTGATATGTACTGAAAAATTAATATTGACCTCGGCTATCGCCTCGGTCAATATTAATTTTTCCAGTACATATCACATCATATTCAACAGCTAAAAAGTCCATATTTGTATATTAGTCACTCAATTTATTGTTTTAGTCAGTCTCTTGGGTCATAGGTTTTTTCTTAAAAAGTATTTGTCTTAAAAATTGCATGACTTTTCATAAAATGATTGACTCAAAAGTAAGTGCTATATCATCCAGTAAAAATGAACGATATAAAAACCTTTCTACAGAAAGTTTTCGCAGACTTATTTTTAATCTTTCATATTTCAAAACAATAAGTGTGCATGATATTTGATAACAAGTAAAATTCTCTAGTGTATTAACTTATTTGAAGAATCTTGCGTGATACTGAGAATTATAATAATTTTCTTGCCTGTTGAATTTGTATGCCCTTCTATCAAAGAAGATGGGAAGTATATTGCTTTAATGTTGTTGTTGTTGTTGGTTGGTCAGTCAGTTTTACTAAAATCAGATTGCCAAGTGTTTTGATGTTCTTGCTCTTTTGATAGACAAAAATAAAAACACTTACCCTGTCGTCACAGTATGAAACCCCAGAAAAAAGTCAGCATTGTACAAGCAATATGACTTTTCTATCTGTATCCCTTTCCTTGTCATCCTGATATGTAAGTCCCAGAAAAAAATAAGCCAATTAACGAGCATGCTCTATTTTTATCCTCGGCAGACAGTGTGGTGACTCAAGTGCGGGTAACTTAAATCCTGCACTCCAGTTAACACACTGGGCATGTATAGGTATACGATTTAACTCTAACACACTTTCAATAGAAAGGTGTCCAAATTATGATACAATGTATATTAATGTAGAAATGTTTTATATTTTCAGATATACCTTCACCTACGATATTACACGTGTCCAAACGAGCAGAGATGGATTATTCGTATTTTATTTATTGTACCAATCTATAGCTTCACATCATTTCTCAGCCTCATGTTCTTCAGCAATGACAATTACTATGTCTACTTTGACAGTGTTAGAGATTGTTACGAAGGTAAGTTTTTTTTTTGGAATGGCGGCTTGGTTTTGTGCCCTCACTTAGGAGGGGTCGGGGGCTGTATAGATTTGCCTTTGTACAACAGTCACGCTGTTCTGCCAACATGCTGATGGTCAGTAACAGAGAAATTTGGGGGCATCTGTGTCCTTTCGTGTTTCTAGTTACAGCTTTTATTGTAAGACAATTGAATCATATATATATATAAAAACCTTATTGAAGATTGTTGGACAGAGTTGTACAATAGAGCAAATATGATAAACGGAGATAAAAAGAAAAGAATGAGTTTCATGGTTATTTGTATAATCAAAAGAAAAGAACAGTTTTCTTTCTAGTTACATGTTATCCAGACAGTTAAGACAGTTGGTGATTTTTTTTCAAGCATTTGGGGAATGTTGAGGGGAAATTGTGTTGTAATTGTAATGTTATGTCATAGGGGGATAAATAAATGCATACTTATTGATCAGTACTTTCATGCGCCTTTTGTCTTTGTTGAAAGTAAGAAAAACTGCTATATAATTTTGTTCATTAAAATGTCAAGAAGTACTTTAAATAAACCATACCTCTCATAAAGTAGACTCTGTATACAGATATGAGTATAATTACACTATGGCAGCCTCATGGATAGCTGTTGGGGTTAAGGTACCAAACAGGAATGATGAATAAATTGAATGATCGATCTACATTGACTCAATTACATGTATGTAGGATAAATTGATAAATATTAACTGTTTCTGTTTAATTACTTTGATCCAAATATTTAATTGGGGCCAATAATGCAAAGTGGCCACGGTTGTATTCTCTTTGCCCCTCTTGACTTTAGGTTTGAATCTTGCCAGGTCTGCTGAATTTTGTTTATATGAGAATAATTGCTCTACATACATGTAATGAGTTGCTGACTTGTACCAGAATTGTGGATGAATTTGTACTTGAAGCTGCTATAAAGGTTCTTTTTTACCTTGACATTGTCAGTGTGAATTTAAAGTGTATACATTGTAAAGCTGTAAATTATGTGCTTTAAAAATTTTGTTTAAATTTTAAAAAAGAAAATGCGTGTATGAATGAAATATGGTAGTAAATTGCCTTAAGAACAAAATGTAACATGCACGAAATCATTGCTAAATGGATAAAATCCTACTTAAAAAAGCAGAATAATATTTTGTTCTGGAACATTTTATTCTTTTTTAATGTACAAAACTTATGAGCGTTAAATAACAGAGACATGTTACAACTCATTCGAGAAACAAACATAAGAATATGAAAACCATTTCATGTTAATGTTGACAAATTTTTATTCAAAAGAAATTCCATCTAGATATACAATTATAATAACACTACTATTATCCTCTTATTTAGTCTGAAAACTTCCAATGTCTTGTATGAAAGGCCAAATTAAACATGCATGCAGCACCAGTTTATTTATCATCACCATCTGTCACTACGTGCTTCTGTCTCTACAGAAATTATTTTTGATATTGTTTTCAATTATAATGAAACTTATTGATTGAAGATGTCGACATTGTATTTCTTTCTCATTGTTTTGAGATTTCAAGCATTTGTCATTTATAGACTTCCTAGTTGTGCTATGAATATCTGAGGGGGTGAAAAGTTACCATCATGTCAGAAATTAGAAGGCAAAACCCAATACACAAAGTAAGAATAATCCACAAACACCAACAGACTGTTCCTGTCTGCTTAACGCCATAAAACGCATTCAGTAATAAATTGGAACGTTAACAAGTATTTATTAAGACTGTAGATTTTTTGTCATATCTGACAAAAGACAGTGTGGTTATATAGGATGTTGCTAGTTTTTAGGTCATATCTGACAAAAGACAGTGTGGTTATATAGGATGTTGCCAGTTTTAGCTCATATCTGACAAAATTCAGTGTGGTTATATAGGATATTGCCAGTTTTAGCTCATATCTGACAAAATACAGTGTGGTTATATAGGATGTTGCCAGTTTTAGCTCATATCTGACAAAATACAGTGTGGTTATATAGGATGTTGCCAGTTTATAGTGCCATTATTTAAAGAAAAAAAACAAGTTGTTGTCATTACCCTCGTGTTGGTATTGGCATCAGCATCAGCTAACCTTTCCATTAACAAAGGTCATTTCCTCAAGAACTATCAATGCTATAAACTTTAAAGTTGGATTTCTTGGTAACTATTATATAATGTTATCAAAAGGGCAGATAATTCTACAATTATTTTTTGCAAAATTATGCCCCTTTTTGACTTCTATTTGATTGCTATCAAAATTGGAATGTGTGTCAACCGAGCAGGGAATCTTATAATTATTTTTAGGTTGACTATTAGAAGGGTAGATTATTAGAAGAATAATGAGAGCTATTTTACTTACCCTGTGGTTTGTGTTGCCATTGTCGTCATCACACTTTGGTTAAGTTTTTGCGTGCAAGTTGGTATCTCAAAAACTACTGAAAGGAATGGGTTTAAACTTCACACACTTATTTGAGAGCATAATGGGAGGTCACTGCATTAGGTCAATATTTCTAACAGGTATATTGACAGAATTATGGCCCTTTTTGAACTTGGAAAATTCTGCATAATCCATGCTCTTGTTTTACTATCCAATGCTGAGAATAGTTGAGCACATTGTCCTACTGACAGCTCTTGTTGAAGAAAGGTTGAAATGAATCCCAATTGCATTTTTGTGAAGTATTCAAAGATTGATATTTATTCATCTTCATTCATCAGTAACAATTTTCAAGACTTTTTATAATTCTGCTCTGCAGATGCCCTCAGAATCTAGTTTTAACCAGTTTTTATTCCCTTAAATTATTGCTGATTTTTGAGAACGCTTGAGATTCATGATGACAAAGTGATTTATTTCATTAGATCTCTGAAATTGAGTGATTTATTACATGTCTTTAAAACAAAACAACACCGACGAAAAAAAAAAGCATGCTAAGATATAAATAACATGATGTATAAATTAATGCTCTTATACAATATCTAATGGTGTTTAAAATTGATCTCGTAACATAATGTCTATCAATAGGTCTGCTTACGTTTTCTAAATGATTCTGTGTCTAGTGATGGAATTTGATAGCAGGATATTTGCCGAAGTCTGGAGTAGTCAAGAAATATGACTAGTTTCTATCTATCCATAATAGGCCGGCGATCGTATCACCAAAGGAATTAAATGGGACAGAGCATACAAATTGAGTCTAGTACTATGATTATTCAATTGGACCGTTATATAAGTGGTATTGGTTAATAATTTTGTTTAGCACACAGGGTTCGTACTCTCTGTGAATGGACCAGTATTAAACTTTCAACTTACACTCTTTAGCACAGCTGTATAATGTTTTATCTGGTTATATCTGTTTATGTCACTCATGCCTGAAATAAAGCACAGAAGGTGGTCTGTGGTCTTCCTCCAGAGTCACCATATGACCTATACTATGTTGGTGCAACATAAAACTGAACTTAAAAAAATATATATATATCTTTTAGTGCATTTCTAGTGAAAGTTGTTTTTTTGCAATTACCCAGTATCCCCCATTGAATTTAAATAGTTTACTTCTTCTTCTTTGAATTTGGACTTGTCCATTTATATCAAAAGGTAGGAGCTTTTAGTAACAGTGATACATGGAATATTTCTGATAACCTGTCCTGCCCCCAAATTATAACAAAAAATTTTCATTTAAACAAACTACTGTATAGAGCTTGGTCAGACATAGCAGATGTTGTTATTTTAGTTAGATTTCAAAGAGTTTCAGTTGTTGCTTTTACAAAAAAATTTATAACTAATGGTTTTCACAGTAAACTTAAATTTATTCTTGTTCAAATACTTTCTGCTTAAACATAATTATTTTTGTAATCTGTATTTAACAATCTCCCCTTTATTCATGTGATTATGGAATGTTGCCCAAGGAATTTTTCTTATCTTGGGCAGAGATTTATCAATATCAGTGTATTTTCCTTTTGTTTGTGAAGGCATTTGGATTGAAGCTTTCTCCTTTGCATCATTTTAGATAATTAAATATCCCCCACAGACAATTTTCACTGGGTGCTTGTGAATACAGTATTTCTGATGTTACCAGAAAATTGATCTAACAGAGATTTGGAAATCAAGTTTTTGAATAATTATTGTACACTGGTTATCATTATTCCAACTTGTTCTATCCCAATCCCCTCACCCCCACTGGTTCCCTCACCCCCACTGATTCCCCCACCCCAAACTGTTTGTCATTCCTTCTTCCTCTCTCCAACCCCCCCTTCTCCCCACACACACCACCAAAAAGTATAGCTTTTGTGTAGTGTCTATAACTCTTAAATCCTGGATTCTGCTATTTCCTATAATTATTGCATAATTATGGTAATTATATTTGGTAGTAAGTGATAGTATGTTTGCCTCACATTTCCAGACACCTAGAAACAGTAATCCAAATTTCAAATAATGTAAATCTAGCAAGAATCAATATGGAACCTATGTGAATATCATGATCTAAATGCACTCAAGATATTTCTTCCTAGACTTACTGCCCATTTATAGTAGTATCAAAGGTTTGATATATAGTAGTCTTTCAAAGGTTTGATATAATATTACGTGTATGCATGACACATGCACATAATCAGTTGCCCACATTCATCTGATGGACCCACTGTTTTGACAACAAGTCTGGGAATTTCAAGTTTGATTTACTGCTACTACATCTAATGAATAGTCTTTTAGACAAAATTTTAAGCTGATGGCAATTGATATGCCCTGTACTCGGGTGACAGGGGGGTGGAGGGACATATAGACTTAACCTTGTAGACCCATCACGCTGCCCATTTATAGACAAAACAGTAGACTGTGGTGGCATCTCTTGTTTATCCTTGAATTGAAAAATTTCTGTATCAGCAATATTTAAAAAGAAAAGAAGATAAATATCTGACATTTTCCTGGAGGAATTTCATGTGAAGATTTATGATGGCAGCTAGGGAATTATTAAAGGTATAAATCAGTATATTTATGACATATATTTCAGGTCAAGCTGGCTGTGGTGTACGTGCTGTCTCGCTGGAAGACAATATACTATCGGGTTCCTCAGGTTCTGTAAACAGGTGAGCTATATACAGATTGTATGACCTTGATGACCTTAAAGATTCCCCCAATTTGTTTCCCTTAAAATGTTTTTATTATTATATTCTAACAATATGCCAAGTTTCAAGAAATTCCATTGAACAGTTTTAATTTTGCCTGTATGTCTATATTATGAAAACTCCCAAAAACGTTCATAAGGACAAGAAATTCACAATATAAGTGATATACATTATAGAAAAGCAGCCTTGCTTTATAAAAAACGTTTTCATAAAAAGCAATATTTTTATGATCCTGCAATGAAAGATCACAGGTTTTGTCATTTTGTTTGTCCTTCCTGTTTTTCTGTCCCTACTATTTAAATTTAAAGCAACACATCTTTGGATGTGTGGTGTTTTTTTTTTTCCATAAAACTTAAAAATAAAAGTTTGATTCCATGTTATTCGTTTGTAAGTGAGCTGTTTTAACTGTTTTAACCTTCATTCACCTATAAATTTAATTTCAACTTCATATCATATGTTGAAATTTGACCCCTAAATAACCTTGTCACTTTCAAGGTTAACTTTCAGTATTCAAGACAAAATTTATATTTTTGTGATACATAACATTTTTAGCAAGGGAAATTTGTGTTTTATAAAAATTCCTTGTTTAAATTGACTTTTTATTAGTTTGCAATTTCTTTTTTAATGACATAAAATTGTTCACAATTACCTGTGACTTACATTATCAAGATATGGTCCTAGATGTTGCTTTTTGTAAAATTGCCAATGCGTTTAAACTATGACTTAAATTAAACATAAAAAAGTTCACCTTAACATAAAATAATTTTATTATTTCCTGCGTCAGTCTTAACTTGCGGTAATGAATAATAATTAGCCCTTGCCACCAATATACAGCCAGGCCAGCCTGTATTGTTGTTCAGTCTGACCAGGCTCGATACTGTCGGCTGCTCAATTTTTGTACTTTTATATTAGAACCCCTTTAACTTTGAATGGACTGTTCTATATTCAAAGCTGGGCAAATTCATTGCAAGATTCAGCAAGTTAAGGGTAAATGGGAAACCCAACGCTCTTCTTTATGATCCATTTTAAAATGACATAAATATATAGCATTACATGACTAAACATTTTTGAAAATAAGAAATGATTACCTTTTGTTGGGAAAACAGTAATAAAAATGAGAGCTTTTTATAGTGGAACTTTTTTATTATGCTTCCCGAAAAAATTTCGGGGGAGCATATAGTCGCCGCCTTGTCCGTCCGTCCGTCCGTCCCCTTTTCTTGTCCGGGACATAACTTTGAAACAACAAGAGGTATCAACATGAAACTTTGTAGGTAGATAGATCTCATTGAGTAGGTGTGCAGTGCATAAGAACCGTAACTCTGCCTTGCCTAATTTTTGAATTATTCCCCTTTGTTTATTTTTACACTTTGAACTTTGTCCGGGACATAACTCTAACAGTATAAGAGGTATCAACATGAAACTTTGTAGGTAGATAGATCTTATTGAGTAGGTGTGCAGTGCACAAGAACCATAACTCTGCATTGCCTAATTTTTGAATTATCCCCCTTTGTTTATTTTACACTTTGAACTTTGTCCGGGACATAACTCTTAAAGTATTAGAGGTATCAACATGAAACTTTGTAGGTAGATAGATCTCATTGAGTAGGTGTGCAGTGCAAAAGAACCGTAACTCTGCCTTGCCAAATTTTTGAATTACCCCCCTTTGTTTATTTTACACTTTGAAATTTGTCCGGGACATAACTCTTAAAGTATTAGAGGTATCAACATGAAACTTTGTAGGTAGATAGATCTCATTGAGTAGGTGTGCAGTGCACAAGAACCGTAACTCTGCCTTGTCTTATTTTTGAATTATCCCCCTTTGTTTATTTTACACTTTGAACTTTGTCCGGGACATAACTCTAAAAGTATAAGAGGTATCAACATGAAATTTTGTAGGTAGATAGATCTCATTGAGTAGGTGTGCAGTGCACAAGAACCGTAACTCTGCCTTGCCTAATTTTTTAATTATCCCCCTTTGTTTATTTTACACTTTGAAATTTGTCCGGGACATAACTCTAAAAGTATAAGAGGTATCAACATGAAACTTTGCAGTTAGATATATCTTATTGAGTAGGTGTGCAGTGCACAAGAACCGTTACTCTGCCTTGCCTTATTTTGAAGTGATTGCCCTTTGTTTATTTTTACTTTTTGACTTTTGTCCTGGACAATACTTTAAAACTATTAGAGATATCAACATGAAACTTTGTAGGTAGCTAGATATAATTGGATAGAATTGCAATGCTTAAAGAACCTAAACAAAGCCTGGTCTAATTTTGGAGTTATTGCCCTTTGTTCATTTTTACACTGACTTTTACCCGGGACATAATTCTGATATCATCAGGAAACTTTATAGATAGATAGATCTCATTGAATAGAAGTGCAGTGCAAAAAAACATAACTCCGCTTTGCCTAATTTTGGAGTTTTTGCCGTTTGTTCATTTTTTTTATACTTTCCTGTGTCCAGAACCTTCTCGGGGAGCATCACCCGGTTCAACCGGTTCTTGTTTGACTTGACTTGAATGTTTTTATCATTTTTGTCAAAAGAATATACTGTAATTATACTGTGAAATTAATTTATAGTTACAGAAATTAATTGCCAGTTTTACGAGATAACAAAGAAATTGAATGACTTGTAAGAAATTGTAATCATGATGTTATGATTTTAGTTTATACAGAATTTTTTTTAATTTGATTGTGAAGGAAGCTGTAAGCTTATATTCACACTATCAAATCCATTTTTTGAATCAGCCAGTACTGAGCAATTAATTTAAAGTTTTTTGCTCAAGGAAACATAGGGTCACCACTGACGGGGTTTGAACCCACGCAGCTAGCAATCCTTAGATTACTAGTCTGACATGTTAACCACTTGGCCATGCCGCCACTAAGTTATCTATTTGTAGGGAGTATGTTGGAATTACATTAATATGTCTTCTGTAAAAAATATAAAGTTTTCCTTGTAATTTCTATTTATATGACATTTCAGTAGATTAAAATGCAAATATGTCTTGAAATAAAGAATATTAAAATTTCAGTATTTCATTATTATTAAAATGAAAATCTGAAGGAAAATGAATTATGCAATATGGTCATTTGTTGCCAAGATATAAATTTTGATATTTCACCACCACTTTTTCACTGTTGTACATTTATAATGTATAATGTTGTATATATTTATGTATATTTCAGGCCACCCTACAGTTTTGTCTGATTAAGCCAGTGATGGCCCTCATTACACTCATACTACAGGCATTTAACTTGTACAAGGATGGAAACTTTGCGTAAGTTGTATAACTTTATATTACAACATCATATATCCTTAAACAGTAAAATACTGTAATCTGAGTCAGCAATATTTCAGATGTATAAATACCTTCAACCTGCTGAATTTGCGAAATGGACTGGGCCTGCAGTTAATTTGGAAGACTTCATTTAATTGATTTCCATATAAGATTATCATAAATCATCATAGATTAAATATAAAATCATCTTAAGTTATAAGTCATCAATACTCTTTTAGCTGAGAGCTTTCTTTTGAGTGATCATTGGCTACAATATTCTTTTAAATCATAAATCCCTATGGAGCAATTTCAGCAGCAAGTTGGCAATAAAGAGGCAGTAGAGGGTGAAATCAGAACAGTCAATATTGCCATATATAAGTTTGAATATAATTTATTGTGCTTTGAACTGCTGTAAAAGTTTGATTAACCATTTTGTCTGCTAGCATTGATAATTTGCTTAAGCCATTATGATTTAGCTGATTCAGCTTATCCGTTCCCATGCTGTCTGACAGGACCCTATACTGCCGGCTTCTAAATTTTAACATTTTGATATCAACACCCCTTATAAAATAACAATGGTCAGGTCCTATTTAAATGCAGGACTAGTCCATCCTACAAATTTAGCATGGTAATAGTTTTTCAGATTTACTTGGTCATGACTTCATTTGATTGTGAACCTTTTCTTTTAGAAAATTTAAATATAATTATTTTAAGTTGCGACATGGTTGCTGAGTGGTTAGCGCATCGGATTAGTAATCTAATGATTGCTTGTCGTGTGTGTTCGAACCCGCTCAGGAGCAAGTTGTTGCTTCTTTGAGCAAGAAACTTTACACTCATTGCTCAGTACTGGTTGGTTCCTGATGAATGGATTGAAAGTGTGTCTATAAGCTTATAGCTTCATACACAATCAAACTAAGATAAATTCTGTATAAACCAAATATTATTACTGCCCAGAATTCCTCCGTGTATTTTATAAAGAATGATATATATATTTTGATACTTTGTTTCCGTGTCTAATCTTTTTTTTCTCATAACACCCTATAATGAGTGATCATACTTTTCTGTAAGAAAGCGACAGAAATCTTCCATCAATGTATTCCCATAAGGAGTTGACTTTATCTGTTTACACATGTAAATGGTTTTCATTTAGTGCTATTCAGACATGATCTATGTCTTGACAAAATAAGAAACAAAAAAAAATCCGTGATATATTTGATTATAATTATATTTCCATTTTGTGCTTCCCATATTAAGTATAAGAGGAATTGTTAAGGCTTCATTTTATTTGTCTATGTTCTTTCTGGCTATCTTACCAACACAAAACTTTGTCTTGATTATTTTTGTGTATAGGATATCTGAGATGATTTGTTAATTGTTCATCGAGTTATGGCCCTTTATTTTATGTATTTTTAGTTTTCATTGACTTATGGCCCTTTATTAACCAGGTTTTCAATTTTGAAAATCCTGGTTATTAGATTGGGGTATGGCGGGCGGATGGGCGGGCGGGCGTCAAACGAAATTGTGTCCGCTCTGTAACTCTTCAACCCTTTGAAGAATTTTGATGAAACTTCAGACAAATGTTTACCACATCAAGATGACGTGCAGAACGCATGTTCCGCATGGCTGGCTCCAAGGTCAAGGTCACAGTGACATTAACATTGAAAATCCTGTCCCGCTCTGTAACTCTTCAACCCTTTGAAGAATTTTGATGAAACTTCAGACAAATGTTTACCACATCAAGATGACGTGCAGAACGCATGTTCCGCATGGCTGGCTCCAAGGTCAAGGTCACAGTGACATTAACATTGAAAATCCTGTCCGCTCTGTAACTCTTCAACCCTTTGAAGAATTTTGATGAAACTTCAGACAAATGTTTACACATCAAGATGACGTGCAGAACGCATGTTCCGCATGGCTGGCTCCAAGGTCAAGGTCACAGTGACATTAACATTTGAAAATCCTGTTTACATGATTTTAACTTGATTTGGCAGTCAAAGGTCATATCATCTTTGGAGGTAATTTAAAAAAGATATGATATATTATTTCATGTCTACTTTGTAACTTGTTTTTCATTATACAGAATTATCAAATATAATTATAGTGAACAAATTCTTCTGTGCTGAACTCGTCCTACATTTCTCAACGGATTTTGTTCAAACTTTCACAGAAGCTTTGTCATCAAGCACCCTGGCACATATTGTCGGGGTTTTGTGATTGGATAGTTTTTGACCTAATTATGGCCCTTTGTTTTTTTCCTTATACATAATATTATAGTGAACACTTCTTCAGTGGCAATTCCTCCTACATTATTCATGTTTTACATTGCACATAGTTACATTGTTTGTTGCTTGTATTTGTATTTCAAATACAACATATTTATCTACAATGGCGATAATTGAAAACCTGGTTTCATGGCATTGCCATGTTTCTTGTTTTATGTATTTTTAGTTTTCATTGAGTTATGGCCCTTTATTTTTTGTATTTTAGTTTTCATTGAGTTATGGCCCTTAATTTAATGTAATTTAGTCTTCAGTGAGTTATGGCTCTTTATTTTATGTATTATAGTTTTCATTGAGTTATGGGCCTTTATTTATGTATTTTAATTTTCATCAAGTTATGGCTCTTATTTTAAGTTATGTAACTCTCTCTTAGCTATTTCTCCTAATTTTACTACAAAATTTTAATAGTGTAAAAGTTAAAAAATTCTGTACATTCTTATTAATTATATTTTCCTTATACTTTTTGTACAGTCTTAAGGGCTTTGAATTATCTTCTCTAATTGAGGATTCTTCCTAATTTCTGTTTCAGATCTGACAATCGGTATTAATGAGTAGTTTAATTTTACAGTTATGAGGCCCTTCCTGTGTTATAACGCATTTTGCCTTGCCTTCTTGACATGCTGTATTGATTTCTGACTTGTAGTTATGATATCCGACTTGTAGTTATTATCATACCTGACTTGGTGTTACCATATCTGGCATAAAATTCTGATATCTGACTTTCCATAATGTTTTATGACCTGAAAAAAATGATATCTGACTTTGCACTATGATGTTTAACTTGATATAACAGTATCTGACTTGCAAGAGTTATGTCTGATTTGCAAGAGTTATGTCTGATTTGCAATAATGATATCTGACTTGCAAGAACAATATCTGACTTGCAAGAACAGTATCTGACTTGCAAGAACAATATCTGACTTGCAAGAACAGTATCTGACTTGCAAGAACAATATCTGACTTGCAAGTACAATACCTGACTTGCAAGAACAATATCTGACTTGCAAGAACAATATCTGATCTGCAATAATGATATCTGAGTTGCAAGAACAATATCTTACTTGCAAGAACAATATCTGACTTGCAAGAACAATATCTGACTGCAAGAACAATATCTTACTTGCAAGAACAATATCTGACTTGCAAGAACAATATCTGACTTGCAAGAACAATATCTGACTTGCAAGAACAATACCTGACTTGCAAGAACAATATCTGACATCTGACTTGCAATTATGTTATCTGACTTGCTATAATGATATCTGACATTTGTCTTGCAGGAATGATATTTGACTTGTAATTATGATGTCAATTATTAAATAATATTCTAACTTTCTGTCTTGAGGTATGCTGCATAAGTTAACATACTAACTCAGTTTTCGATATTGCTTTCTAGTTTGATGCAGAATTGTGATGGCATTGTGTGACCATTGTTTATAGCCGAATAAAAATGCTGACCAGCAACATTGTATTTGATTCTTTTAGAAAAATTTTACAATTTTTTAAAATTTTTATTCTTATTGTTTTTGTTTTTATCTCAATAGTAAGGCTTGCATTAGATATCTACTTGATTAGATATTTTATACATGATATTTTCAGTATAATACAGACTAAACATATAGGTTCTAAATCATAAATATAATAATCTTTCAACTTGACTTTATAAGTCAATGAAAAGACCACAAGTTTAAGGAATAGTTTAAAAAAAAAAACCGATTTTTTGGGGAAATTTCCTGAAAAATTTCTAAACAGAAAAAGCTAGGGACAGTTTGAAAAAGGCCCGTTTTTGGGGGAAATAAAAAGGGCATTTTATTTTACACAAGTTTTTTTCTGGGGCTCATATGTAATGAATCAGGAATCAGTGCTTTTTATTATATGGGGAAACATTTCATCTGCCCTTTAAGACCCAAAAATTTTTGGGAAATTTTTAAAAATGGGGGCGCATTATTTCCTTTCAAAAAAGTTTTATAAAAATTAAAGGGCCTTTTAACCGGGTTTTTCATTTATAAAAAACAAAAAACCCCAATGAAAAACAATTTTTAAAAAAAAGGAAAAAAAATTTCCCAAGTTCCCTTTTTTGGGGCCTATTTTCAATCACAATTTTGATTTTTATTTTTTTGGGGGTATATTAAAAATTTAAACCCGTTCAACACTTTGTCCAGGCGTCTCTTTATGTTAAATTTGGATCAGGGTATCATGGGTCACACCGTCTGCTGATTGAAAAAAAACGGGAAAAAGCCCCCTATTTTTTTGTTTTGGGTGGCAAAATTTTAAGGAAATGTTGAAGTCTGATTTAAGTTTTTCATCATCTGTAAGGGGGTATAATTTTATTGTAGTCATATTCTAAACACTTGGTGTATCCAAATTTGCATTAACCCTTTTTCTCCCTAAAAACTTTAAATTTGGGTTGTCCAACCCTTTTAATTCGGACCCAAAATTCCAAAATTTAAAGGGAAAAAATTTTCAAAAATTTTACTGACTGAATAGCTTGACAGTGCAAAATATGATTAGACGGTACAAAATGCCCCTTTTCTTTTTTCTGGATTTGGGTTTAAAATGGAATCTGTTGCTGCCTACACTTACATGTAGTGTTAATTATAAGTCAATTCAACTCGTACCCCTTGAGTTTGTTTTATAAACTTGCTTTTAATTTGGGACAGTCATTATCACATCTAGCATTTAAATGAATATACCTGTAGTTCGAAGACTGTGAAATGGTCTGCTTTTATATATTACAATTTTGAAGAACTGAGACATTTCTAATTTTCTTCTAGGTTTTCCTAAAATTGATAATAATTACAGAAAATTGAAACATTACTTATACAGGTTTTGTTTAATTTTCCTCCAGATATGACACCGCATTTCTCGTATTTCTCGATCTTCTCTCTTAATTATTTTTATATGAGCCGTGTCACAACAAAACCAACATAGTGGGTTTGCCACCAGCATGGATCCAGACCAGCCTGTGCATCCGCGCAGTCTGATCAGGATCCATGCTGTTCGCTTACCAACCCTTTTAACGAGAAACTGATAGTGAACAGGCTGGTCTGGATCCATGCTGGTCGCACACCCATTATGTTGGTTTTGTTGTGACACGGCTCATATATAGCCAGCATTTCAAGACACATAAATAAATTAACTGTAAGAATGCTGGCTGCAGGAATCAGCAAAATGTTAATAGTGAAGAAATTGACACTACTTAATGGTATTCATATGACACATACTGAGGATTTTATTTCCCCTTTTTGAGCATTTTGTTCTTAGCCTGCTTGAGGCAACAGATTCTACCCATGCCCTCAGTCAGATCATGGTCTGCACTGTGTTTGCTATTTAAGAATTCTCCCTAAATATGTTAAATGGTTTGGGCCAGATTGAAAGATGGACAAGTGCATTCAAGGTATATTTAAGTGTGGTAAGGGTTAGATATTTAAAAAAAGAGCTTTAAGGTCCCCTCAGTAACAATTCTTTGTACCAGTACTTCAAGTACTTTGATTACTCAATCAAGGAGACTGTAAATATTGATACATATCTTATATAGATGATTTGCAGAATAATTTTGCATGTATAGATTAACAATGAATGAAACTGCTGCATGTCATAACAGTAACAAAACCTCTTGATAGAATTTGAGCAATGAAGTCAAACAAGACTGTATCAGTTATTGGAAATTAAATTACTAAAGGCAGTTACATTTTCAGCTCCAGTTAGCTACCATATCATACCCAAAAATTAAACAATGTCCAAACATTGCATCTCATAATAACAGCATGAGTTATGTTTCTATGAATTATTTATGGTATATCAAGTAACTTAAAAACATGTTTTGTAAAAGCGATATCTTGTTAACTAATTTTGACTCAAAACAACTCATCTTCTTTTAAAATATATTGATCATGTTTAAACATGTCTGGAAATGTGTGATAATAGAAGAATTCCCAAGAAAGTCTCTCAACACCAGTGTAAGCAGTGATCACCAAGCTTGTTATGTTTAAAGATCTTCCCTTTTTTTTAAATGGCTGCCAAATTAGATGAAGGAATCGCTTCTTATGTTTCATGAAACTTCACCAATAAACTTCTCATGTCTCCCAACGGGCAAAATTTGAGATTGTCATGTTGCTGGTTAAAGTAAAGAAATTCGCTCAGTTTTTACTGTAATTGTTTTAATGATAATTTTGTTTTGTTATTTGTACCAAAGCCATTTTTAGCTTGCCTGTGTCATTGTGTCAAAAACTTTTATTGAGCTGATTATTCAAAAATTTTGAAAGGGATCAGCACCAAACTTAAATGAACTACTTATTTAGACAAGATGCAGTTGCAAGAATTGGGCATTTTATATGAAAGCAATAGTTGTAGGAGTTATGCTCAATAGAATAAATTCCCTTTAAAACAATTTTTTAAATGGCTTAATAAGTAGGAAAATTTCGAAGTTTTAAACATGAAACTTGGTATTATTTATTATTACGGCAAGGCAAATTGTAGATAAAGACATTACTGAGCAAATATATTAGATATGCCCCTTAGATATTACCAAATAATGGTTATTATAGAATGTGCCCTGAAGAGCGAGCATTAACACCACATTCGGCTCTTGTAATTTTGTGAATGACTTTCTCGATGCTTGTATGATCAGTTTTAGCAGTTTATTCAGAAACATTGAACTTTCATTAGTAAAGAAATAATGCACCCTTGACCAGTCATTATAGAAGAAGGAAATCAATTTGTAAATACATTGAAGCATTGTTGCCAATTGTCAGCTTCAATCAAACTAACAATGTGTCGCTAGAATTGCCTAGAATAGAGCATTAAATGCTCAAAGTTAGAAACTAGATTCCTCTGTATCCTATGTCAGCCACTGTGAAGTGTCTACTTTTTGATTGTTAACAGTTTCCCTAAGTTAAACAAACTTTTTTGATCAGATAAAGAGTAAAATTAAAATGCAGTCATACAAACTGGATGGGAAAGCCAGAGGTTCCATTTCTTATTTCTAGAATTATGTTCCATTTACACAATTTTGTTTGTCTGACAAACTTTTTCAAAAGTTACACAAACTAATAAAGCTACAGACTTTGTTTTCCTATCTCTAGGGTTAAGTTATACCATTTGTTTGTCTGGTAAACTGTTGCAACAATAATACAAACATAGCTACAGACTGATTGAAGATACACCATTTGTTTGTTCATGCAGTGATTTAAACAATGAAAAGAAGACACAGGTTCTGATTCCTATTTCTAGAATTAAGTTACACTGTTTCTCTGATAAACTTTTTAAACAGTCCCAAGAAGGGAGACACACTGAAGCTATATTGTTTCTTTGATAAACTATTACAGCAGTCATACAATCTTTGCCTGATAAACTGTTAAAGCAGTCACACAAACCAGAAATTAAATGCACAGACACTCTTGTATACATTTTTTATCAGCGTATGTTATATCAGTGTCAGCTTATTGATAATATTGTGAGTCTAAGAACTTAACTGATATAGCAAAATTGTCCCTAGTTAAATTGCCAACAGATTAGTCACCCAGGGAATGGAATTCTGTGAATTGTTACACTGTATTTAATTGTTTGAACTTATTGCCTCATGATATGTAAGCATGGTTATATGTGGCCAATTTCTATCCCTGAAGTCTATATAAACACCTCCAGAATCTAAGATTCAGTACGTTCTACATCTACATAACTAACATATTATACAATATGATTAAAGAGGGATAAGAAAACAAGCTGCATCTTGTACAAGACGAATCATTTCAGAAGACAAACTTCCGATTCGCTTTATTTGTATTTCTGAAGACCTGTTCATTTGTTTGTCTTGGTTGATAATTATATGCTTTTATCGAGCCATGCAGTCTGATGACATAAAGAAAAACTGTACCAAGACTTGAACTTTGGCCATATTTTCTAAAAAAAACTGGAACAAAATATCTCTCTCTTCTTGTATATTTAAGGAACTCAACAGGAGGTCAAAAGCCCTAAATGTTAGATTTTAATTTCTTTCATAAATCAGCTGGGGCAATTAAAACAGAAAGGTATGCAGAAGATTATAAAGTAATATTCCAAAAAATAAATTGAAAAGCATAAGCATATTTTTGTGCTATTTTAAGCCCAATTGAAGTGAAAAGTGTTGCAATGCACAATTTTCACAATTAAAATAATTATTCTGGAAAAACAGAGAGAGCAAATGATCTGAAATTTTGCACTTAAGTTATTGGTCTAGACCTATATCAAATGGAATATTAATCTCAAAATATTATCAGTCCCATCATGTCAAAAAAACCTCAGTGGAGTCCCTTTAAAGATGTTAATAATTACCAATATAATGTCCATTTGTCAGTGAACCTGACTAAATCACATTTGTATTTTGCATCATGAGGGTGTTTGGCATATTCTAAACTTTCATGAAATAGTCATGAATTTTAATAAGAACAGGATTAAATTTTTTGCTCAGTGATTTTACAATAAAAAAAAAAACCCTTAAATCTTACTAGATTAAAGGGACATGATAGGACTGAAAATAATTTTTGGAAATTTATCATTTGATGTTGGTCTAGACCAATATAGTGAGTGCATCACTTTGTTTTACCAGAAAGATTATTTAAGTTGTTAATTGATCCAAAATGGAGCAACGCTTTTCACTCAAATCAGGCGAAGAATATTTAACAAAAAAATATGAATTTTAATTTACTTTTGAGCATATTTCTTAATTATATTTTGCATATTAGTTTCAGCAGATCAAAATTCAATGTTAATCTAATTATGTATGTTTTATTACAGACCAGCAAGTGGTTACCTGTACATCACCATCATCTACAACATCTCGGTCAGTCTGGCGCTGTATGCACTATTCCTGTTCTACCATGCTACAAGGGACCTGCTCAGTGCGTACGATCCCGTCTGGAAGTTTCTCACCGTCAAATCTGTCATCTTCTTGTCCTTCTGGCAAGGTAAGTTATCTTGATCATTTTCAATTAAATGGTGAAAGAAATTTCTATGCTTGCAGTCATAATAATTAGGATTAATATTTGTAATTGAGTTGTGCTAGTAACTAAAAGCAATTTTCACTGTTTTGACAATTTTAAGATTTTATAATATAGCCCCAAGGGAAAAATCTAATAGTTTTTTGCTGTCTGGGTTAGTGCTGACTTTGACCTCTATGCACCATTTAATGTAGTTATATAATAATAATAATGTGAAGTTTTCTCGAATTTGTTACACAAATTGTTATTTTGTAAAGCATTAGATGGAATTTTAGCAAAAGTCAGTATATGCTATATAAAGATTTAAGTACTGATCATAGATTGTTGTCAATTTTCACTTGTAACATCCATGTACATAGTTTATGCATAATGTGTTTGTCTGTGGGACCATTATCATATATGATACCAATTTGATGAGAATATTTTGATGATAACAATATAAATAACTTGATGGTATAATATTGCCAAGCATGGGATTTTAATTCTCAGAATTGTGTCAAAATACGAGTATTTCTCTTTATTAAAAGATTTCATTCCTTACACAGGAATGACAACATATCTCTTCTATTGCTAGAAAATGTAAAAATTAATAACTTGTAATTTTATGATTTAAACGATTGAGTTGTATGATTACAGGTGTACTGTTGGCTATTCTTGAGCACGCTGGCGCTATAAGCCCTATCTACTCGAAGGACGGATCAGAGACCGCAGGTATAGGTACTGTCTCAGCCGGGTACCAGAATCTCTTCATCTGTTTCGAAATGTTCTTTGCATCCATCGCCCTAAGATTTGCATTCCCTCACGCCGTGTACAGTTCAAGCCCCACCAACACAACCGGCAGGACGGTCTCCCTGCAAAGTATATCGAGCAGTTTGAAAGAAACGATGAACCCGAGGGACATGATGCAAGATGCCATTCATAATTTCCATCCCCATTATCAACAGTATACTCAGCAAGGAATGAAAGTCCCACACGAAGAGGAGCACAATGACACTGGCTGGTCGTACGATCAGTACCAGAACAGAAACGGTGCTCGTGAACACCAACAAAATGGCCATATGCCGAACTCTGAATCTTCTCATAAAGATAGTCGACATTCTGGAGGAGCAGGTAAAGACCATTCGACGGGATCAGTTCAGCACCCACCTCCTCCTCATAGTCAGGGAGGACCAAGGGGGGCAACTCCAAGTAGACGCTTTAATGAGAAGACAACTCTGCTTAGTTCCGATGACGAGTTTCAGTGATGGATCAGAACTTCATATGTATGTATATTCATTCACAGGAAAGCAAGATTTGAGAAAACAAAAGACAAAATGCTCGAATGTGTGGTGGTATATTGTTTGAACAAAAATCACGGATGGGTGTATTTGGGAATATATGACTGGTAATTGGGTTGTGCTGATCTTGTAATCACATGACATTATTTTAAGCTGTAGAGATCTGAAGGGGACCAGACAATATTACAGGAATTATTCCAGACATTATTTTTCCTCACATTGAACTATTAGTAATTAATTATTCAGTAAAGCAGGGTTTAATATTACAGTGTTAATTTTAAGCTGTATTTGTTCAAGAGTCAGTGTAGATTTAAAACAACAAATCTGCAATGTTTTTTTTATATATAATAAAATGAACCTACCTACTGTGTATATAATGAAACTTAAGTATTTTTTTTTCCGAAAATAATATTTCATGTTTATTTGATAAGCCAAAATTACTTTTTTAGATAATTCAACTAATTTCCTTGAATAGTACATTGTACAGTGTATATGAATATTTAACATAGTGCAATTCTCAGTTGCTGTAAATATTTAATGCTTTCAGATAAGTTGAAAAAAGTTGATTCTTTTTTCCTTTTTTTTTTTATAACATTTACATGTATATTGGCTGTTTTTGACTCATCACTATTTACATTTTAACTGTCTTTATAATGATAAATGTTGATATTTAGTTGTAGTTTTTAATCCCCCCAAAAAAAACTAAAAAAAAGAAACTTTTTGATAAAATATTTTGTTTTATACATATTCTCAAATAAGCACATGTACAGTCACAGGTTTAAACCCTGACCATGCTAAATATCTTAAATGGACTTTTCCATCTTTCAATATGGACTTAACTATTTATCATTTTTAGGGGAATTTTCAAAATATAAACTGACTGTGCTAGCCATGATCAGATGGCATGGATATGCCCTGGCTGATCTTGGCCTGTACTGGCCACATGAGTAGAAACAGTTGCCGCTAGCAGGCAAAGTGTGTGGAGCCAAGGGGTCAGCAGCCAAAAAAAAAAAAATATGAAAAAAAAAAATTGGTTGTTTGCTTTATTTGCATGACTGTAATTGAAAAGATAAGTTTGTGATTCAATGTTGGTTTAATATAACAAGATGTTTTTTGTTCAGTATGAGTAAATTTCATTTTGTGTTGATGAAAGTGTCAAGTTGTAGTTTAAGTTTCAGATTGTTATATTGTAAAATAAGACCATACTGTGACAGATTTCTGTTATAGAATGAGATCATGATATAATAACTTGAAATTCTGTTTTAAAATGAAATCATATTGTAACACATTGATGATTGGGTTACTGCTTAAATGTGAGATCATAATTTAATAACTGGAGATCCTGATTTAAAATGAGATCATGTTCAAGCAAAGACAGATCTTTATATGAGATTACAATGGATAAAATTGAAATAATGATTTATTGTACCAAGAACCTAGTGACTTTTTAAGGAAGATTTTGGGATTGTTCATTCAAAAAAATTATCAACTGGATTAGCAATACCAAAATACTTTGTTTTTGAATGCAAACTTTCTTTTCTCATTCCTAGGGCAAATATCTTACTTTTCTACATCCTGAATTTTAAAAAAATCAAGGTCACGTTATTTCATTTATGAATAAATCATAGATATAAATCTTTCTTTGTCTTAATGAATGCAGAAAACTCGAGCATTGTCTTTATGAATATAAAGTTATTGTGTGTTCTTTATGAATATACTGTTTTATAGTGTTTTTCTTTGTGAATATTTCTCATGTGCTCACATTCATGATTCTTTATTAAATTGGTAAAAAATGTCATTCCAATATGTTTTGCTTACATGATATATAAATAGAAATGATATGTAAGTAGAAATGGGGTAAATTTTATCGTAGAAATTGACTTAATATTTTCAGCTAAATTAGTATATAGTCTTGTTCATTTTTTAACAGTTTCATCATAGAGGTATTATTATTCGTGTAAGAATGAATTTTGGTTTAATTAGAGATTAGGAAATAATTTGGTGTAAAAGTGCTTTTGTATTATATATTATATACATGTAATGTACAGTCCACCATCATTTGCTTTGACCATTGCAAGCTTGTTACATTTTCAACTTGAGTCAAAATAAATTCTCAAAAAACATCATGTTTGACATAATATGACATAAAAGTAGCGTTTTTTTGTAAACCAGGTGAAAAGTTAATAAATTGAAATGAAATTTTTGTCAAACAACTTTAGTAATGATCAATTTTGAAAACAAAAGTAGCACATAAAATTTGTACAAATTTTTCTCCCCAATATTTCTTTTTCGGGAGTATATAGTTGCCAGAATGTCCTTTCTCACTGTTTCACAGTGTTGGAGCAGTATTTCTAAACACTGGCAGAAATCATGATCACAAAGTAGAAAAATATCACTTATCACTTATCAATTTTTTTCGGCGATTTTTAATTTTCATTCAGTTTCTTACATAGATCGATGTGAAGATTAATTAGATGTCTTAGAGTGTATTTCGGCAGCTTAAAAGGCGAGATGTTAGCATTTAATCATTCATGGGCCTTATTTGGTATATACCGGAATATGGTGTCTACTTGTAGTGTGGTGCTTCAACACTGTTTTAAGTCTCACTCATAGATTTGCCTGATTTTCTAAGTAGTATGGTCAAGTATTTGACTTTATCAAAGCACCATGGAGCGTCAAGCACTTTAAATGACATTCTTGTTGAAATAATGTCATAGTATTAAACATAGGAAGTTTTGAAATATTGACATTTTGAAGAAAATTTTAATAAAAATTAGGATAAGTGAGGGATAAAAAATATGTTTTCCAATGTTAATAATTTTTCTAGTATTGAGATAAATTGTTTAAATTGCACTTTTGTTGTATATGTAGGGGGTGGGGGGAGGCATTTCTTTTTTGTTTTTGTTTTTCTTAAAACAACAACAAAACTTTTGAATATTATTAAAGAAAGTTACATTATGTTGACAATTATGAGCTAGATATATAGCTACATGTATTTACTTTGTTGATAAATTGATTTTTTATATGTATTTATGATAGTTTTTATCTGTGTAAAGTTAAAACCTGATGTTTTATTTTGTATATGAAGAATTTGTGATAGTTTCATTTTTCCCCACCCTTTCTCCCACTTAGAATAGTGTTATTTATTGATGTCTTAATTCTTGAACCAAATGTTTATCGTAATTATATACATGTATATATATATTTTTGTTAGCATTTTAAAACAAACACAGTGTACATATCATGGTTGGTCAGTCATCATTTTGTGAACAAAAGAGAAAAGAGAATTATGTGTGGTCTTCATTAAAGAATAAAAAAGATTTTTATGTTTTAAGTTTTATCACTTTCGCTGTTCATATATCATTTTCAGAAGAGGTTACTTTCAGTTAGTCTGTTGTAAGTTAAGTTAAAGCAACTCTCCCACACACTGTGGTTTGAGTGTTTTCATCAAAAGATAAAATAACACCGTAGATTTATACATCTACATGTAACTGAATGATTGATACAGGTCTTGCTCTGAGAAATATCAACTTATGCAAGATTTTGTTTTGTTTTAAACTGCCATAATTGAAAACTGTTCCAACATTTTATTTTGTAAATATTGAATTATCATACAAGCAGCAGTGTTTACATCTGTCTCAAGTGAAGCATAACAATATCACACAAATATCATGAAGACTGTAAACTTTTATCTACATGCATATCTTGTTAACATTACCTGATACAGTGTTGTTTAGGGGCCAGACAGTTTTAGCTTCTTATTTCAGTAGGAAGAGCATTGGATTTGTAATCCTTAGGTCACAGGTTCAATCCTTGCACAAGGCAAAATTTCTCTGTGACAATAAATCTTGAACATTGAGTCCACATGTCTCTCATTTCTGATTCAGAAATCATGTAGGAATAGTACCTGGTCACTTGCAGAAATATTGGTAATTACTGGATAGTTTTTTTCCAGGAAAGCCAGTTAGATCGTATTGTTGGACTGCCAATATATGACCAAAACTGTGTCAAAATTAGCACAAAAACCAAACCAAACAACAACAAAAAAAAACTAGCCTGTCCCCGCTGAAATATCAAACAACTGTGTGTGGGTCAGTACCTTTAAAAGAATAAACCATGAGTAAAGTATGACATGTTTAAAGAGTTTTGGTAGATAGAAATAAGCTTGTTTTTATCTTTTATCTTCTTTGTCTTCTGTAATTGTAGTCTTTTATCATAACTTGTGCTGGGGTACTTAAGATTTTAGTAGAGAATTTTTTAAAATTATTCATGCTAAAGCTTCCCCCCCCCCTCAAGAAATGGGTGTCTAAGGGGAGGGGAGTTTATTGTTATGCTACATCATTCAATCAGTGCCGTTGACATCATTTCTCTCTAACTGCTTGTGGGCATAGAATAAAACTCACAAGTGAGGTTGTACAGATTGTATTTCAGCTGTGGTTCAAGGATTTTTCATGGTTCTTGCTCTGTATTTTATCGTATTATTGTCAAAGTTGTTCTCTACACAATTTGCTTCTCACTAAATAGAAAATTCATTTGTCTCAAAAATCAGTTAGTTGGTCTCCACCAAACTAGGTATTAGTTAAGATTGGATTGTATTTTTTCTCAATTTCCTCACATAAATGCAAATCTTTTAAGTTAAACATGCTTTTTTAAAATACGCTTGTTTAGATTGCATCAGTCATTTTCAATGAGTTTAAGACAGAAATTGCAAATAAAGTATTTCAAGTTATTTTGCATGCTTGCTTATAGATATATTCACAAATATCTCAGTACTTGGAAAGGAAATGTCATGAAAATTATCTAGAATGGTAAATTTATGTCTTAAGTTATACAACATTTCAATAGGTATTAAGTTTAATTTTACCAAATTTAAATGTATACATATCTACATTGTATGTATAAATACGTTTTTGAGTCGTAAATTTTCATTTGCATGTAATATTAAGACAGCAAAAAATTAATGTATATACAGTATATATTAATAAAAACTAATATTTATTGTATGTCTTTTAGATAAAAGTTTGAATTTCTATGGATGTTCATAAAAATAAAGATACAAAAAGAAATAAAAAAGAAGAAAAAAAATGGCATTGGTTTGTGCGTGTTTGAAATTTCAGTATAATTGTTTGTAGATATTGGTTATATAACTATCTTGTGTTATTTATATTGCACAATATATGAAGATTTAATGGGAACTTCTCCCATTTCTAGCTACAGTAAATGATGAATAATTTCCAATTATCTTCTCAGTTGCTAAATATACAACTTTATTAACTGTAAGTGTACGGTGATTAATGTACCACTAAGCCTGCTGCAGTATAGAGCCAGGCCAGCCTGCACATCCGTGCAGTCTGACCAGGCTCTATACTGTTGGTAGCTTAATATTTGTGTTTTGATATTCAAATCCCTTAATTTTCAAATGGACTGTTCCAAATCAAAAAATTGGGCAATTCCATTACACAAATTCAGCAGGTTAAGGGTCTGATATAAGAGTTGTGTAAATAAAAGAAAAAAGAAAAAACACATAAAAATATCCCACCTCAGTATCGAAAATAATGTGTTCTTTATTATCTCATTTGTTTCTTATCTCATATTTGTTTTTGTTGTTGTTGTTTATTTATTTTCTTAACATACATTGTATGGTGATAATCTAGTCCTTAGATGTATGTACACGTGTTGTAAGAACTCATAATTGTTTTGTTAGGACTTAACATGTGTTGTTAGAGCTTTACACATACTGATGAAACTAAATATGTTGTTAGAATTCTACATATGTTGTTAATGTTAAAATTCTACACATGTTTTAAGAAGTCTACACATGTTTGAAGTCTACATGTTCTGTTAGAACTCTACATGTGTTGTAAGAACTGAATCCTACACATGTTGTTTACTAAATAGAAGCATTGGCTGGTTCTGTTTTAATATGATTAAAAATAAATATTATTTGCCAAATGTACAAGTGAAAAAGAAAACATATCTGAACTTCTCATGAACCTTTTTAACATGTATGCTGTTTAGGACAGAACATTCTCAGATGTTTCTCCTGCAAGTTGTTCACATCAATTATCTAGGTCCCATTTTAGAGTTTGCCACTTAAAAAAAGTGTAAACAGGTAATAACTAGTATACCGTTTACAAGAAATTTCTAGATAATCAGAAATTACATTTTGTTCAGACAAACCATTCTGGCACTTGTTTTCTGTTTTGTTGATGGTTGTGCCCCACAAATAGTAATGATTTTGCTGTATATCACTTTTACAATACTAAATTTACAAGATTTAATAGTAAAAATGAAATCCTTTACTTTTCAAGCTTTTAGGAAATATTTTTCTTTCTTTTGTCTTTGACTACAAACTGAAGATATCTACACATTCCTGTCAGGCAAACAATTACTTAAACATTTGATGAATGGGGATGTTGAAACTGTATTATCCAAATATCTGCCAAGAAAATTATAAGGAAATAATACTTTAAGGGGGTACTATGTCTTAAGTATGAAATATAACTTCTTCATTGTACAAAAAAATAGCATAGTAAGTCAATGAACACTTGCCATGCATTTCCAGATTTTTATTTAGCTTGATATTTTTTATTTCACTGCTATGCTACAAAACACTGCCATGGAATTATAATTCAACTTCACTTTGCTTAATGGGAAACTGGAGACCTGGCAAATATCAATTTAAAACTGAAAATTTTGCCATTCCTAATGGATTACAAAAATACAGTATAAAAATTTCAATTGTTTTAACATTTTGCAAATGAAATAAGAGACGGTGATGTTTCCATTGAATAATTTTTACAAATGTTAGAGATACATAGCAAATTATGTATGTGGCTTAAATGCAATGCAGCGGAACTTTTTTTCAGCAAGTACTCAATAAAATGTACCCAAGGTGCAGTGTAGCCAAGTGGTTAACATGTTGGACTTATTATTTAAGAATTGCTGGCCATTTGGGTTCAAACCACATCAGGGGCAAGCCATTGTTAAGTTAGCAAGAAACTTAACTCACTGCTTAGTACTAATTGGTTCCAGGAAGTATTTAAGAGTGTTTGAATAAGCTTGTAGCTACCAACACAACCAAACTAATATAAATTTGTGTAACTTTAATGTAACCTATCGTCTATAAAATATTACATTTGTACACATACATGCTTTATAGGTTTGTGATGTCATCAATTGACGTTTCCTTAATGATTTAGTTTTTGATTAGCCAATCCACACCTTTTAGTTGCCTATCATTCAAACAGGTGATGGTTCCCTGGTTGATGTGTGTATGATGTACTCATTTTAATTCTAGTATAAAGTGATTATTACTTGAAAAAAATAAAAATTTGATTAGGTGGCATATTTAATCATATGCGCTACTAAGTGTAATTGAATATCTTCCAATAAGCATATAAATGCCACAAATAAAATAAAGTCAAGAAAGAATATGTTATTATTGAGCAGATTTTTCATAAAACTTTAAATAAATTAAGAGGAGAACAGAGTGGGTATTATTTATTTACATGTATTTGATAATATTGATTCCATGGCAAAAAGGAACTTGTAAACAAATGGCATGAATCACAACTTTAAAAGCCAATATCAGGACAAGAAGATAATGATCTTTATTTCTTGAGCTTGATTTTTAATGTAAACACATTACTTTTTGCTGCTATTTCTAGTAAAGTAGTTGTTATGGCAACAAGTCATCAGAAATAAAGATGGGTATAATGAGTTTCTTCAATGACTTAAAATTAGTGCTAAAATAGTGCTTTTATCATGAATAAAAAAGAAAATTGACAAGTATTTGCATATTATTATGTACACATTTAAAAAAAACTTAGATGTTATTTGGGACTTTTATAGCTGTTATTTGGGATTTTTATAGCTTGGCAGTATACATGTTTGTTATGTATTATTAAGATGACTTATATCCAATAAGAATTCAGAATTATTGTACAGGCATGTTTACAATTTTAATACTGATACATATGAAAATAAGTCACAATAAATTGATAGTGTGAGTTTGTGTCAATTGTTTTATATTTGTGTAATTGTTGTATGTATATACATGTGCCAATGGTTCATTATCATGTTAATTGTGAATAAAAATTATTTCTTGTATGTAGTGTTTTTATTTTTCTTTGATCCAAAGATCAAAATTGGCCCTTCCCCATGAGTTGCTTTTTTGCGTAGACTTTTTAAGGAAATCAGAAATATCTTGGCCTAGAGCTTAAATGTGTGTCATGTGACATTGCCTTGACGGTCTAATGGTAAAAATTGGCAGCGTTCTTTGCTCACACATTGACTTTTAATGAAAACAATATTAAGAATTTTCTCACCCAGAAATCACATTTCGAGAGCTTAGATATTTGGCATCCGGCATAACTATTGCCCACTTCAAATAGATAGGTATATAAATCATGCCTTTTGGGTCAAAATTGACCCCGCCCTTTGGGTTCTTTTGTTTATATGGACTAACACATACATTGTAGCATTGGAATATAAAACTTTTTGTAGAACAACATAACTAAGAGCTTAGCTAATTGGTATGGAGCAATGTCTGGTAGACTTTTATAAAGTTACTTTGGTAAATAGACACTGACCTAGGTGTCGCATTTATTTCATTAATTTGTAATAAGAATTTTTTTTAACAGACTTAATAAAAAAACAGTTACATACCCTTCACTTCTTGCATTACCTAGCGAATCTATTTAAGCTGATATTGGTCCTATTGACCTACTGCTGCATTATTCAAGCATATTGACCTTTTCTACGATGAATCGCAGGTGGCTGATATAGGACCATGATGGTCTCTTGTTTGTAAAACTATATTTTTTACAGAATTAATAAGGCATTGCTCTTTTTATAACATCCTCTTGTGGGAAAGAGAACTATATCGTTGGTCTTGACTGGTTTTGACATTACTATGCCCCTTTTGCGACTAACAATTTGAATACAAATGTACAGGTTTCCTCGAACGAGTATGGTGAATCAAAAGCAATGGTTATCTTATCGATAAATGTATGGCTCCATCATAACTACCTAAAGCCTGTAGCGTTGGTATACTTAAACAATTTTCCTAAGTTTACTATGTAATATTTATATGTATAGATTCTTATTTCTTTGTCGAATTAGCCAAACAGATTGACTGATAAGCGTTAGTAAGTTGTCTATGTAATAATAATAACCAACACATTTAAAAAAAAAATAAATTGGCCAGTTGTGAAAGATTACTACGGAAATGCAGCGTCATATGATTTTTATTTACCTGGCCTCTTTTTTCCGCCAAACAAAAGACCTTTTTTGAAGCTGAAACATGCGCCATTGTAATAATGACTATGATTCTTGCAGTACCACTCACAACTTATCGGGTATGAGACGGATCTCTTGTGTCTGATTCAATACCTCTTTGCAAAGAGAACAATAACCACTGCACTTATTGCCTCGTCGACGATTATTGCTTCCTTGACAACTATTGCCTCGCTGATGCTTATTTCCTGGTCGAAGACTTTTTGCATTGTTGACGCTTATTCACCCTGGATGAACAAGTTTTGTCACGTGACCACAAATGCAAACGCCGATTTTACATTTCAGCAATTACGGACCCGATTTCAGGTAATCATTTGAAGATATCTTTTTTTCTACTGCATCCACAAAATTATGACCTAGACCTTAGGACCCGGCCTTAATTGAGCTTTTATTTTATGTATGTAGTAATTGCGAGGCTTCTGAGATTTTTTAGAACACTTCAACACAAATTTTCGTTTTGGTAGGCAAACGCCGATAGGTTTTACCTTTTCTAATCTTTTTTGTTCACTGGAAACCCATGTTGAAGGAAAATAATAGAAATTATATGTTTTTTACAAGTAATTTTCGTACCTAACTTATTCATTATTTCATTAGCAAGGTTATATTCGAGATAAACCCATGTTTTCCACTTGTTGTCGATTTTGCAAAAGTCGTTTGATTATGTAAAATGGGCAAACGTCGGTTGGTCATTTGAAATACACTTAACGAAACTTATAAGTACTCCGATTTCAAAATTGCAGGAAAACTCCGGTTTTGAAAATATATACTAAATGTTGAAAATGTTTACTGACTCTACTTTCTGACTGCATGAATGATTTTATAACAAAATCAATCATCCGAAACGCAAAATGAGGATACTATGATTACAGTTTATACAGTATCGACTTAGACTAGTTATTAGTAATTCTAACACAATAAAATAAAACATTGGTCGGAGTTCTTATAAGTTTCGTTAAGTGTATATGCAAGCACCCGTTGATGTCTTTTTGAACGCTGAACTATATTTGTCTCATTTCCAGAGTTCTTCATCATATTAAACAATTTCATTGCAAACTGATTCTAATAACATTCTGGCCACTACGCCCATGGTTTCCAGATTTATTGAATGTGTCGGAAGCTCAAACGTTATGTCTTCTATTGGTTACAAACGTGTTACAACAACCAAAATATCAGATATGTCATCCAAATACAGGTGTTCTGAAATTGACTGCACGGTTGCTATCGACAGACAGTTTAGAAAACGTTTTTTTCAAAACTTCTTACAACCAGCTGGAGAACTGGTACTCAAAAAGATTACTCCAGTAAATTAAGACAATTTATGATATGGTGTCGTCAAAAGAATATTGATTCCTTCACAGCATCCTTAAATATTTGTGCTGAGTTTTTATCAGATTTGTACAATAAAGGTTTACAGTAGGTTACCGCTCTATTTTATCTACAGTTTTACCTCCAGTAGATAGCACTCCTATTGGTCAACATCCGTTTGTTATAAGATAATTAAAAGTATTCAATTTAAGAACTCCTGTAACAAATTAAAGTTGTTGCCTGAATGGGATTTGCCTAAAGTTCTTAGTTCACTACAAAGATTTCCCTTTGAACATTTGAGAAAAACATCTATTGAATTTTTAACATAAAAAGTTGTTTTTCTTACAGCTATCACGACATTCAGGGGAGCCAGCCACATTCAAGCGTTGACATTAGAGGAGCTATTTCTGTGAAGGCAGATGGGGAAACTTTTATCAGACAAGGTTTGGCTAAACAGGATAGACCTGGTCATTCATCGGCAAAATTTTTTGTACCAGCTTTTAAGACCATCCAAGAAGAGCACTTGCTATCTATCTTAAAAGAACTAAATCCTTCAGACGTAAAGATTAAACAAGTTTATTTCTGACAATAAATGTACCTCATTCTAAAGCTTCTTCACAAACTTTGGCTTCATATATTCTTAAAACTATTCAAGAGACTTATGAAGATAAACATAAAAACGAAACAGCACATTCTACAAGAGCTTTAGGTCCAAATTCTCAACGCTGCAGATGGGTCAAAAGAAAACACCTTCGTTAAATTTTTTTTTGAAACAAGTAACTCCAAGTGATCTCACTATGTAGTTCAACGTCGCTGTATAGTTCAACCTAAGAAGATGGGATTTTTTTCTACATTTTAAAATCAAAGTTTATTCCCAGCGGATTTTGTGTGGAATTGACTTTTGAGAAGATTATATGGTTTTATGTATACATGGGATATACAGAAGTTTTATAAAAGTTTGTTATTCAAGAAGAAGAATGTTTTAAAATAAAAAAAGAGAAAATAGAGAAGTTTTTTGTTCAGAGAATTGCAATATTTGCAACTTGACTTAAATAACCACCGGTTTATAAGAATCTTACACAAGGCTGCCGGTACAGACCGGAATATCTGTCGAGTTTCCGCTTAATAGTTACCTGAGAACTAGATATTCCCGTCTGTACGAACAGCTGGTGTTTGATTCTTTTTCTTGCATATTACATGTCAAATATTTTCGGAACAGAAATTATGAAAACTGATGTATATATATCGCACTTTTTTCTTATAGTAGCGTATGAACATACAACTTCATTCATAAAGGAAAAATGACGTCATCCTAATAAAGGCGCGTGTCAATGACGTCATTTAAAGCACGCGACTTGAACAGGCTCAATCAAACCGAGCCTGCAACATTTTCAATTTTGCCGTGTTGGGCTTTCTTCATGGATTCTGTTTTTATCTATTTTATGATCACATCCGTGTTATTTGTGCCGTGTGGCGGCTGTTAAAAGTCTCCCCGTACATTTAATCAATGATGTTATATTTTCGATCCTTGAAGATCGTTCAGCACGACATTATTGTTGTGCTTGTGGTATTTTTAGTTTCAAGTTTTCGGCATTTTCTAGTTGGGTGGTTCCAATATTCCTACTTGAATAATGTTGAATCACCCTTAGGATATGTTGCCTGCTTTTTAAATTTGTCTTTTGACGTCTTATCTGTGATACGCAGGCTTCATAACCTCTGATCCCCTTTCAAAATTCCATTTTATTTAGCTCCGCCCATTGTTTTCTCGTTTAGGGCACACGCTTTTTATTACTTGGGGACCATACGCCGCTTTTCATGGAATGGCACGAAAGTGTCACATTGAAGGTTCCATGATAATTGCCGTATGAACACATCTGCGGATGTTTCTAAATTCATAATTTTACTATCTCATGTTTAAATGTTGAATTCTGCTTAAGCCGGTGCTAGGGGGCGTGGACGGTAACTTGCACTTTCCAGTACCGTCCATGAACAGGCTCAATCAAACCGAGCCTGCAGCATTTTCAATTTTGCCGTGTTGGGCTTTCTTCAGGGATTCTGTTTTTATCTATTTTACATGGGGGTGTAAGACAAAGAGTTCCAGCACCGGTGTAAAGGTAATCGCTATTGACCCACCATTAGCGGTAGGTACATTTCGGGGACACCAGTGAGGAGAGGTTTCGGGAAAAAACCAACGGTAGATTATAAGAATCTTACATCGGCTGCCTGTACAGACTGGAATATCTAGCTCGAGAATAACTGTTTACAGCGGTAACGAGGCTCTGTCGAGTTTCTGCTAAACAGTTTCCTGACAGCTAGATATTCCCGTCTGTACTGACAGCCGGTGCTTGATTCTTTTTCTTGCATGTTACATGTCAATAATTTCGGAACAGAAATTATGAAAACTGATATTCTCATTACGCACTTTTTTCTTATAGTAACGTATGAACATACAACTTCATTCATAACGGAAAAAATGACGTCATTTTAAGAACGCGATTCATTCATAAAAGGTGCGCATCAATGACGTAATTTAAAGCACGCGACTTGTCTTACATGGGGATGTAAGACAGACTTTTCCAGCACCGGTGTAAACGGTAGATAATCCTATCTGAGATGCAAGAAAATCCTGTCTGAGATGCAAGAAATATTATATACATTTGTATATCTAATATGTTCAACCGGCGTTTGCATATTTTACATGTTCAAACGACGTTTGCAAATTAGACAATACGGGGAATGACATGGGATTATGTCAAATATAACTTTGCTAATGGAATTATAAATGAGCTAGGGACGGGAATGGCATGTAAAAAGACATATCCTGTATTATTTTACCTCCACATGTATTTCCAGTGAAAAAAAAATGATAGGAAAAAGTAAAATCTATCGGCGTTTGCTTTGCGAAAAAAACATTTGTGTCGAAGTGTTCTAAAAAACTACTAAAGTCTAGTAATGACTACTCACATAATATAAAAGCTTAATTTACGCCGGGTCCTAAGGTCTATGTCTTATTTTTGTGCTCGCAGTGGAAAAAAAGATATCGCAAATATTTGCTGAAATGTTAAATCTGCGTTTGCATTTGTGGTCACGTGACAAAACTTGTTCATCCAGGGTGTTATTGTTATGTTGACGTTTATCGCCTCATAAACGACTTTTGCCTCAACGTACAGTGCTTTTCTACTGGCAGCTCGAAACTTTGGTTTGCCAACAATATGCGCCACTTTGCGTTCATTTTAACTGAATAAAATGTAATACAAGTCTCTGATTTTATTCACAATGTATTAAGCTTCAACTTGCTGGAATTTATAGTTATTAGTTTAGAGTCAGATCATACCTATACGTCTTCATACTGTTGACCGACCATCTTATGAAAAAAAAACGGATACCCTTATACTTCTATCAACGAATTCGACATGGTAAGGGTTAGGAATTATCCCGCAGATCATCATCCATGCAATACAACTATTTTCAAACGAACGGATGGACAAATTTCACCGTCAAAACACTTACGTGTAGCAGAACAAGTTTACATTTTGCCTTCATGCATCAAAGCCATGCGAGTTAATAATATTGTTGTTTAAATATGCACATGTTTATACAGATATATTAAATAACACATACGATGTCAAATTTCAAAATGAACTAATATTAACTTCATTAATGTGAAAATATGTTAAATGGATTTTTAGCTGAATAAGTAGAGCTATTGTAGTCACCCGAGCGTTGGCGTCGGCGTCGGCGTAACCACTTATGTTAACGTTTTTGTAATACCTTAAATATTTTCAAATTCCATTGACATACGGGTTTGACACTTTGCACACTTGTTCACAATCATGACCCCAAACTGTAGACAGGAGGATGTAACTCTATCAAGCATTTTGACAGAATAATGCCCCTTTTTCAACTAAGAATTTACGTTATTAAAGTTTTTGTAATACCTCAAATATTTTCAAAGTTCATTGACATAAGGCTTTGAAACATGTTGAAATTTTATACTCTTCTTTAGAGCATAATAGGACTCTCTCCAAGGCCTTTAACTGTAATATGGATTTAAAGAAAAAATTTGCCTTTTACTTTACTGAGAAAATTTTACCTGTTAATCAAGGCTTTTTTTTTACTATCAATCACTAAGAATAGTCGAGCGTTGCTGTCCTACCGACAGCTCTTGTTAAACTTTTCTTAGCACGACTTTTCATTTCTTATTACATGTAACTTTAAAATATAGCACGACGGAAAAACGTAAACGACTGAAGACAATGTCAGACACAAACCATATTGGATGAAAACAAACAAAAAATTAAAAAAAAACTTTATGCAACAGTACGTTTAATTCAAATATACATGTATATTTAAACATCATAAGATACTTCTCTAATTTGGTTTCAACATTTAATTTTGCTAGCTTTTGAAAGCTGGGAAGACTGTAATCATGTAAAAATGTTAAAAATTGTCGTTTGTTGCATTTTTGAAAATTATGCCATCGTCTGGAAGAGCGGGAATTTATGCATAGAAACATACCACGGAAAATCGGCACGCCGCACCATGGGTTGCCGCCTATATACAAACATACTGACAAACGACTTTGTACATGACAAGAAACGTTGAGGAATACAAAGTCTGGTCGAGTGTCAGACAGTTTGTTTGCAAAGTCTAATGCAAGTGCTGCTGAGGGTATGTAACTGTTCTGTTCAATTACACTCTATGTGAAAACTATTCATGACTAATTTGAGGGCCATTATGTCCATCTAAGGGTTTATAGTGAGTGAACAGTTGAAAGTCAAAAACGTTAACATTTTGTCACTATTCCTTTCAATTCTATAATTGAAATATTATATAATTTATATGTAAGGCACATTTATATTTTATCCTGAACAGTTCCCAATATCAAATGATGGTCAATCACTATTATAACAGTCAATCTTTTGAAACATTCAGTCAAGTCAGTTCAAATTGGCCATGAAAATATGAGCATTTTGTCACTTTAATATGGATAGGCCATAATATCATGTGGTAGTGAAGTAAAGTTTGGACTGTTCACTATCTTCTCCATATTTTGTGTCATGTACTGCTTGCAATAGTCTTTGACAGTTTCTGAAAACAGATAAATACGCATGAAAACTGATGGAACATTATAAAGGAAAGTTATTCAACAAACGAAACTAATACGATATTATAGCCACTTTAAGTATCTCAAACTCATTCCGTCATTTAACATTAATATTCAGACATGCTCCTTACTTAAAACGGCCTTCAGTTTTTCTAAAGTTAATTTTTAGATAAACTGTTTCATATAATTGTCAAATCAAAAGAATTAGGGTGTAAAATGACATTTGCCGTGGATTAAACGATAAAATACATAACAAAAAGAAAACTTCTCCATAACCCTAATCTTCGTGTCCTCTTAGTAAAGCTGATGATTTGTTTCCCGCCGAACTTCTATTTTTAGAAACGAGCGTCATTTGGTGCTCTATAAAAAAAACTCTCGGGATGCTGTTTTGAAGAAGGCCTAACAATCATATGTCTTTTTGATGCATATTTCCAAGATAACTGAATTGCTAAATTTGAAGCAACGCAGATTTTTTTCTCCAACAAAAAAGTAAAAGATGAAGGCTGCTTAAAAATCTCGTAGCGTTAATGTTTTAAGAATTACCTATAACAGGAGAAGTTTCCGACACAGCTTTGTATATTTCTATCACATTATGTTCATCAACTTTGCTTATTATGCCCACTTCAATAGTAGATTTCATATCCTCCATTTTAAACTTATCACCAGCTGAAATGTTGGATTAAAACAAGAATTATAACTGACGTTATAAATAGCCGCTGGTTTCATTTTGTCACACCATGTTTCAGTAAACTCTACACATGTATTGGTATATAGTATTTCCATACATGTTTCAAAGTAAATATGATTCTGTTCTCACTTCTTTTTTGTAGACATGCTGTTAAAGTTAACAAGCTTTAGCCAGTTGATATTGTGCCATGGTAAGAAATATTTGTCATGGGAAATTATTCATTATATTTTGCCATGGCAATTTTGCCACTGCAATCTTAAAATGACAATCGTTTTGGAAAATATAAACATGATATAATACTCTATCTTTTGTTTAACACCAAACACCATCCCGAAATTAGGATTACCCTATGTGCATACGAATGTATAACACTTATATATGTACTTCCTACAAGGACAAAACTTTCAAATATAACGAATAGCTTAATATTTGATATGTTCAATCTTACCTCTCCAAACATCTATGAGCATTAAACATGTGTAGTCATTAAGAGATGTACCGTTCCAATCACATGTATCCATCACACTTTTATATCCCTCTGGTAACCGACTATGATAAATATGTTGTAATAACCCCAAAAATCCAACGTGAGAAATTCCACTTATTTCTTTCATTATCTGCAACACGTATAAAGTAACATGCTATATTGTACAACGCTTAAATGTTGGACAAAGTTTCGCTGTTTGAACAAACGGCTTGGATGAATAGTCATAAACTGTTAGTGATAAGTCACATTAATGGTCATAACATCTGATAGTCACTTAAAATTTATGCTAGAAAGTTTGGCAGTCCACAAACTATGAATACTTAGGTCATGTGACTGATTGTGTTCTATCAAAGCGATGACATTTAAAAAGAAATGGCTAAAGATAGGATACTTAAGTACTCTACATACCTTTCCATCTGATGACATCGGTTCCTTTGCCTCTTCATTAAACAGTTGTTTGATGTTTCCATTACCTTCACAGATGACTGCTTTGTGAGCGTATACAGTATGTTTGCCTTCTAACAGAAACTGACAGTCACTTGATGCTTTATCATTAATGACTGGCTCTATGAAAGCATGCGATACAGGTACAATAGGTGCCGAGGGCATAAGGGCTGGTTCCATCGAAGAATATACAGGAGGGTATGCAATGTCGTGATTCAGACTGTCATATGATGGTGGTGCATCTGAAATGGTAAAAACGCGGTGTTATTCAACCCATTCTTATTATTTTGTCGGAATCAAAAGTGATACGCTTTTGTAAACGGTATACTGTTAGGACAGCTGCACATCCATTAAGTTTGAAAAGACTTTATTTATACTGTTGGTAGCTCAATTTTAGTGTTTTGAAATCCCTTAAGCTTTTAATGATCAGCTCTCAATCCATAGCAGGACAATTCCATTACTCAAATTTAGCAGGTTAATGAAATGGTTGAAATACATAAGGATTGTGACATAGCAAAAATTGCTACACAACGCCAGAATTCACGTGACTAATGAAATGATTCTATTCAGATCGAAATTGATATATCACTTTCAAAGTGACTTACGTATATTTTTATGCCACTTCCTCCATTAAAAAGGATTAGGTGAAATATAACCTCTATCAAAGCGATTTAATAATATGCGTTTGAACATGCATGGATGTTTGTTGCCAGAACTGTTGCCAGAGGCAGGGGGGCAACATTTCCAAATGTCATCATTAATGTCGAGAGGCAAGAGTTTACACTATTCCACAAACACCGATGATTTAACTTATACTAGTGCATATGCATGAACATATACCTGTAGGATATCTGCAACCATGAAGACGTATAGCATCAATCTCAACATAGTAACGAGCTGCTGTACAATTTACTTCTATACGTATATTCTTTGTCGCACAGCTAAATGCCTGAAATAACTGTCTTTGTGTTTTATAATATATAAAATCATGTACAAAACTTTTAAATGTTATATTTGTGTACTTGTAAATTATAAAAAAAACAGTTAATTTTCTTGGGTAAAACCATAGAAAACTTTGATTGTGGACATCATCATTGAAATTTATAACTACAGTGGAGGTTATCATGATGAGATGAATATATACTAACTTGAGTATTTAGAGGAGGGGAGAACACTCTAGAAGATTCTATGTTTGTAGGCGTGTCTGTTTTCCATAATGTTTGCCATGTCCGGTCATCATTTAAGCCTTTAATTGCGACCACCCCGCCAGCGTGGAATGTCTCGTATATTTCTATTCCAGAAACATAAACTGGTTCGTGGAACTCTACCTGGAATCGAATATCAGCGATTAACAGTCAAACAATTTTAGAAATATTGGTAATGGTTAAATTGTTAAGTTTATATTATTGATCTTGGAAATAAAACATTTGATTTTAAAACATTTTCAGATACTATATTAAAAGTATGTATAAATTCGATGAAAGTGCACGAATTCTAAAGATGTATTCCTATCAATACCTACATTCTTCCTATTGAAACTGAATCAGATAAATATTTTTTTCAAGGGTACAAAAGCTTTTTGTACAAAAGAACGCTTGGTGCACTTTAAAAAAGAAATCGTAAGCGAAGAAAAGGTCAGATAGGTATAATAGTGCATAATGCAATTTAATCAACTTGTACTTTTAATCATTTGATTCCATGACGAGCTGCTCAATGTTCTTAATCCAAATCAGCTACCTCAGACCTAACCAGAAGAAAACAATACAGCATAATTATGTACATACCTCTAAAAACTGAAGCCCGTCTAAGCAAGAATCGTGTTGTGCCCAGGTTCCTGGTTTGTCACCATATTCTGGGTAAACGTTCGGTACCCCTATCACATTGATTGCATGCCAGCTGAAACAGGAACAAGTACATTAAAATAAAATAATTTCATTTTAGAACTGTAGAAGGTGCATAGTTGTTATTCCGTCATATACATGTATGTCATTTAGTCCCTGAGGTCGAATGAAAAAGAAAGAAAAAAATATAAAATACAATAAAGGGAGCATATGCTTTTAGACGGTCAATGCGTAAAATCTCTATATAAGTTAAAACATTTTGTTAAGCATTTTATGAATAATTGGAAAATCAATTTAGGAAGCTAAAATCATCCGGCCAATTTAATTATTTATTTGCAATTACAAATTCCAGTTCTTATCAAATTAATTAAATAACACTTCTGGTTCTTACGAGTACAGTTAATTTCATTTAATTTTAAAAACCTGTAATGTTTTTTTAAACCAATACTTTATTGCTACTGAGTTATCTGCCTTACCCCTGTTGATCATACTGAGAGGAGAAGTTGGTTACATGTTTCACCCATTGAGACAGATCAACTGTTTCTGTAGTACCACCGATGGCCCCAGAGCTCATAGCCGTAGAAGTATCAACTGCTGGAGTCCCTGAATTGGAGTCCCTAAAATTTCAGATGAAAAAAAAAGGAAGTAAATAAAACATCATCTAACAACAAGCTTTAATTTAATGTTATTGCATATAAAAACACAGCACGTTTCCAAATACATAATTATTGTATGTAAAAATGTTACGGCTATAAATCAGAGTAAACATTGTGAAAAGGTTGGAGTATAAAATGGATCCCAATAGAACAGGTATTTGCAACTCAATAATGAACTTGTAGCAAATGGTGATCTAGTGGTTAAGGTGTATGCCTCCTCACAATCCAGGGACTAAGAGTTCGAGCCCTTATTTGTCCTGGCTACGTTATCTCACATGATACCATGTTATGAGGTTATAAAGCATTTTTTTAGTTCTGTCTCAAATTGCATGATTTTCATTGGTCTTTGTACATTCAGTGGCAATTTACGACCAATCAAATGTCTGAATTCTAGTTTTGAGCTGTAAGGATTTCTTTATAACCTCGAAACCATTACTGTTATCTTCCGACAAGCAGACTCTATAAAAGAAATACAATGTAACTTAAAGATGCCAAAACTTGGTTCACAATCAAACTTAAATATATGCACGTATGTTTCAACTTACCTGTAACCATGAATCTGCACGGCATCTATTTCCACCCAAGTTCTGCATGCAGAGCAGTTTACATCAATACGAATTCTATTTGTCTTCCAGTCAACTTGCTGAAATATGGTATGTAAAAATAGATGTTTAGAAAAAAAGAAAAATTAATATGTATGAGCCAATAAGAAACCAATGAATATTATTATTAACATCTTTAGGTTTATAAAGTTGCTTTTGGCAATGAGATTTGGCTTGCATTGAAGAAAGTAAAAAAGTATGGCACAAAAATTGTCTTTAACATAGCGTTTTCTAAAACTCTATTGTGGTAATACAGTAAGTTGTTTTTTATATATTACACAATTTTAATATTACAGGTTTTCTCATTCATAATGTGTATTTACATCTTATCGAAAAAAATTTAGAAAGAGACTGATATAAAGTTTTGATTCAGTTTGAGGACTGAACGGTTATATCAAAAACACAAAAATCAAAAACATCTGTATATAATACTTGTTATATAACTACACCATCATGTATACATATATTGACAAAATACAACAAACCTTTATAGGAGGAGAAAATATTCTAGGAACAGTAATATCAAACGGTTGCACAGACTCCCAAAGTGTATGCCAATTGTTAGGTGAACGCAATGCCTTCACAGCTGTTACTCCGCCACAGTGGTATGTCTCGTAGATGTCTACACCAGTTATATATACACTTTCCTTCACTTCCAACTGATAAGAAAACAAATTCATACTAAATAGCAGAAATTAATTTGTGAACATCGTCGTCAAAATAACATAGGAGGGTCAGAATCAATGGCTGTGTGGAACTCGTTAGGGAAGATAGAAAATGAAATATACGTTGACCTGAATGAAAATTTGGCATTTATTTAAAATGCCTTTGGCATTTATTTAAAATGTCATAATGACATGGTTTAAAATAAAACTATCACAAATGAGTATAGCCATTTTTATAACAAATATCATATATATAAATTTATCAACATTATTTTACAAATATCAAACAATTTTCATTTAAGAAAAAAATTGTACGGTTTTAGCTGAAACTTGTTTGTTGATAGTGCTAGCATCGTAAAGAAAAGGGGAGGACAAAAGTGTAAAAAAAAATCAGGAAATAACAAAAGAATGAAAAATATCTACTTTAGTTTGGAAAAAAATAAAATGACTACCTCTAGATATTGATTATCGTCTGTCACTCCCGGGGCCCAGGCTCCAGCTATGTCTCCATAATTTGGATACACCTTTGGAGAGCCAATAACACATGTAGCAGACCAACTGAAATATTGAATTCATTCATAGGAATGATTAAGAATGATTAAGAAAATGGTTGAAGCAATGAAGATAAATTTAAAATGTCATTATGAAAAAAAGACAATTTCATAGTGTTCCTGTACGCGATCTCTTTGTATACTCCTATATTTTTGATATTCATCAACCAGTTTGATAAACTCTTGAAAGTTCCAATCAATAAATTGATTCATTTTTATATAAATGTCATATAGAAGAATACTGCTTTTATCTCGTGAAAGGTTGTTATATCAATGTAAAACATACTCGTTGCCATATTGTGATGAAAATGAGACAATTTTATCCACCCATTGTGATGTGACACCTGCCCGTGACGCTCCACCATCTCGTAATACAGCTCCTTGTCCAGTTGATTGACTAGTTGACAATTTTCTAAAATATGATCAAACAAAATTGGTATACCCTTTAAAATAAAGGAAAAGGACAATATAAGTATTTAGAATTATTCTGTAGTATGGCTTTGCTGCTTTCGAGTAGCTATCCGTTCTTTTAGCAGAAGTATTGAATTGACAAATATCGGTATCTTAAAAATTATGCAACACATTTGCCTTTCTTTTACTAACCGCTAGAAACAACAGAGACTTCATCAATTATGAAATATGTATTCAATTTAAACATATTATGTTTAAACTTTCGTACATCAGCTTTGAATAATTCTTCGAACTGGTTTTCCTGACATGTGCTTAAAAAAATCAGACAAAATAATTGTGCATATCACGACAAAACATAGAAGAGTAAAAATCAAGGAAACAAAAATACCTTTCTCCATGCAGCATTATAGCATCTATTTCAACCCAGGATCTACATGCTGAACAATTAACTTCAATTCGAATAGTTTTCGTTTTAAAATCAGTACGCTGGAAAAAATATGAATGCGTTATAATTCGTTGGATACTTGTAACAAAATAAAAATATTTTCTTTTTAATCGCTAGTTTTAAGCTGTTTTGAGAACTACTTTGTGTTGTTAGGTTTGTCGGCAAGCGCTGTCCCAGATATTGAATGTCGGCAATGTATTTCCTGATCTGTGATCAGAAAATACAAAAATGAGTATCACAATATTTTCTCGGACAATGCTAATACTATAATGTGTATTTTTTGTACCGTTAGTGGCCATGAGTAAAACTTATATATATATTTCAAAAGGAATGTTTATATTTCGTTTGCATTTATAAACATTAATATTTTTCTTCGAACTCTGACAAAATAGCGAGAGTTTTAATGAAAAGTCTCACACACGCAAGCACCGCTTTTAACAATATAGTATCATATCAAGGTATTAGAATAATTCACGCGTCAAAGGAAAATTTCTATAAAATGTTTCGTTATATATATATTGGTAAGACTCAATTCTTCAAGCCTTTTAAGAATTAAATATAGTTTATATCGTACCATAAACATTTTTCATGATCAATTAATGATCAATCACCATAACAGTAGCAAATCTTTTGATAAATATTCATTATTCACCTCAACTTGACAACGGTAAAATGAGCATAACATCACTTAAAATAACTCTTGAAGTATCTTTTCTTCTTGACATTCTCCATTACAGATTTTGGTGTCTCTGCTAACATTGACCACTTTCTTAGAAAAGTCTCTTCAGAGAATGAGACTGAAGTATAAAACTATCTTACTATTAAAGGAGGAGTAAAAACTCTCGATATCCGGCTATCAATTGGCTGTGCAGTCTGCCAAAGTGTTTGCCAATTGTTAGGTGAACGCAGTGCCTTTACAGCTGTTACTCCGCCACAGTGGTATGTCTCGTAAATGTCTATACCAGTTATATACACACTCTCCGCCACTTCCAACTGTAAAAATAATCTTTCTTTTTTCATTTAATTATAAGTCGTTTTAAAGACATTTTATTTAAACAATTTTGAGAGTAACATCCTGAAAACATTTGTCAACCAGATCAAAATATAACATTTATGAATCGTGTACTTATATTAACAATGCCATAAAAATGTGACATTCAGGACTATGTCAAAATGAAAATTGCTATCAACCGATTGAACTGTTTGACATCAACGTTGTCATAATATTGCAGAAATAGAGAGTGCGTATTTTGGGATTAATATATTTCTTTTCCCTTTTATAATATAGCGTAACAATTTTTTTATATTAGCATTGTTACTGAGCTGAAGCCAGAGGCCATTAGACCAAGGCTAATATGATTCTCTGTATCTCAACATTAAGGCCATTATGAAAACTCTGAATAATTAACAATTATTTTAATTAACATCGTAATGTAACCAAAACCACAATTCACGGTGAAAAATAATGCCACAGAAGAAAATTGTAAACAAGATTATTAATGACCTCAAGAAATTGCTTATTGTCTATTACACCCGGTGCCCAGGCTCCTGGTATATCTCCATACATCGGGTACACCTTTGGAATACCAATAACGCATGTAGCAGGCCATCTGAAATTATTAAAGTTCATAATAATTATTTAAGAAATGGTTAAACATTCAACAATTTATATCTTTAAGATTATAAGAATATTGTAAGAGTATTCCGCAGTGCAGATATCAAATCAGATTATAACATGTATCAAACCTCTGAATTCCTGAATTTTTTAAAACCTTAACCTGTCTGTAAACTATTTAATCCTTTACTAAATTGTTCTGTGAACAGCTCTACACGTTTTCCACAATATTGTTCTACCTCATTTATTTCATTTTATTTTATTTATCTTTGATACGACATTTATTTCTACTACGTAAAAGTGAGATTTTTGCCAACGGAGGGCAATGTTCAAAGAAAGCAGTCACTGGCAAGTGAATACCACCCAGCAGGACACCGTACAGAAACGGGCAAAAAGACGGTTGGAAAGTTCTAACTAATGACGCAGGCGTTTTTCTTAAACTTACTTTTTATTGTCATATTGCGAGGAAAATGAAATGACTTTATTAACCCATTGTGATGTAGCACAATCACTACTGTCACATGGTGCTTGTCTCTTTGGTAATACATCGCCTTGTGTCACAAGTTGACCATTCTTAGTTGATGACAAATTCCTGTAAAATAATCAAATATATCAGCCATATAACATTTCATATTATCTAGCGTGTAGTTGTATCTAGACTCTCAGCCTGTTGCGACCAGTGCATACCAAGAGCAGCAGAAAAACCCCGTTCCTTTTGATCATAGTCGGCACTGTTCGCTATTCGGTAAGTACTTATTTTGAAATTTCTCTTTAAAATTATGAATTTTTTTCTCAGTTTTGTTTCTATATTAATCAAGCATGGTAAGGATTAATGCTAAATCAACTAATTAATAACAATACGGTGTGTGTTTCTTAGAGATTGCACATAATTATTAAAAGCATAGAAATATGTGATATAAATGCTTTTATTTCGTAAGATTGCCCTATTGTATGGTCGGTGCTAGAAGAAGAATGCTTGACAGTATAATCAAAAATAGTTTCTCTCAAATAATTGTCAGTTTTATAAATAAGTACATAATAGATAAGATGCCTTTGAGATAATATGTTTCTACAAAAATTGGAAGAAAAGAAGAAAAATTCGAAATGATTATACAAATGTACCTTGTACCATGAATCTTCACAGCGTCTATTTCGACCCAGGTTTTACACGCTGTACAATCAATTTCAATTCGAATTATTTTCGTTTTGAAATCAGTTGCCTGGAAAAAGAGGCAAAGTAAAAAGTATTTTCTCAGTGGAAACAAAGTTTTGTGGAACCTTACTGATTTATGTTTTATATCAATATAGTTCTTACTTAACCAGAATGTAATTATATACAGAACAGAACAAACTAACTTATTTATAATATATAATTAATAAATACAATAATATACTTAAATGATAGCGTGCCTTTGCACATATTTCAGTATTTGACATTTGCTCATTACTTCTCCAATAATAAGAATACGACCTTTTCATTATTTTTTATTTAATTTTCAAACTAATCTTTAGTAAAACATACGAATTAAACTTGATAATGAATTGCAATTGCACTTTTTTTAAAAACATAATTCAGTGCTTTATTTATCATTTTTGTCTTCTGCATAACAAATGTTCGGGACTACAAAAAACCTACCATTATAGGAGGAGAAAATATTCTAGACTTGTTACTATCAAACGGTTGTGATGACTCCCAAAGTGTATGCCAATTGTTAGGTGAACGCAATGCCTTCACAGCTGTTACTCCGCCACAGTGGTATGTCTCGTAAATGTCTATACCAGTTAAATATACACTCTCCGCAACTTCCAACTGACAAAGGAAAACATAAAAAGCATCATTAAAAGAGGTATTTTTAAAGTTGACCTAGAATGACCTGTTACAGTCATCAATATTTGACTGGAAAGAAAAAGAAATAGACAAACTTGTATCTTGAATAAATTCCAAATTAATTTGCTCATACAATTTAAAACCCATCAATTTACAAATAATTTATTTCCAAACATTTTTCCAAGGTATCAAAAAATTACCTCTAAAAATTGCTCATGGTTGATGACACCCGGGGCCCAAGCTCCTGGTATGTCTCCATAGTTTGGATACACCTTCGGAGAGCCAATAACACATGTTGCTGGCCAACTGAATACATCGAAAATTAATCGATATAATATTACCATAAATAAGCTATATAAATAATAAATATATAAAATTCATCATGTTTCTATCAAACTTTTATTTATCAAAACATTCAATTGCACAATTTTCTTGTATTTCAATTTTGAAATACAGCAAAGGACATGCTTCCCACATCTGGCAACATGATTAGAGATTCACTTCCTCTATCTAAAAAAAACAATTATAAACTTATCTCAAAAAACACCAATGTTACTGATCTTATATGTGAGATGTTGCACAGAAAAGTAATCTTTTCATCATAATTTATGCAAGGCTGTTATATTATTTTTAAACTTACTCCATGCCGTCATATTGTGAGGAAAATGAGACAACTTTATCAATCCACTGTGATGTGACACCGGTCTGTGAAGCTGTGTCATTTTGTAATGCTGCCCCCGGTGATACCAGCTGGCCGGTTGACGTACTAGTTGACAAATCTCTGTAATATAATTAAACATACTATTCACCTTATTAAGCATTTGATAAACAAGTTAATGATATTAGCAATTACTTTATTTTGATAATTTTCCAGACTTGCTTCTAGAGGTGTGAAGCCAGCAATTTCTACATCCGTTCATGAACAGACTTTGTCAAACAACTGTCTGCAACTTTTCAATTTTGCTGCTTTAAGCGTTCTTAAAGAATTCCCTTAAAATTTTTAATGATTAAAAGACTACATATTATAGTACTATTTCAGTTACTACGTTCAACAAGTGTCATGTCTGCACCAAAGACACATGTTACGCTCAGTTTTATTGAAATGCATTCTATAGCAAAATCTAATAAACTGAATGTGAAATATATGAATAAGTTTAATTTTAGACACAATTTGAACAATATAAATGGTTTTATTTCATTATATTCAATTTCAGAACGTTAAATGGAACGAATTAAAAAAATCCCTTATTGTAAGGCCAGTGCTTCTGCATTCAATCTTGAAATATGTGCATGGGTTTGCAAGTTACATCAAATAATTTAGAAGTGCACTTAAATCAAAAGTGTTATAAATCATTTTCCCACTTTCGGTTTGTTGAAATATACAAACACGAATGAATATGTTTCTAGAAAGACAGAACGTTCAGATTTGAAGAATATAAAATAAATATACCTTGTACCGTGAATTTTTACAGCATCTATTTCAACCCAGGATCTACATGCTGTACAGTCAATTTCAATTCGAATTATTTTCGTTTTGAAATCAGTAGTCTGGAAAAAAAGGCAAGGTATAAAGTACAAAAAAAGAGAAACAAAGTTTGTATATAACCCCTCTGATAAATACATGTATATCAATATATTTATCAATACATCATATAGTAGTTAAACTTCTTACTACATGAAAATGTAGTTGTTTATAAAATTGAAACAAATATGACATTCACTTCAATTAAGGATAACGAATTAAGATGTGTCCAAAATTGTTCAAATTTCAATTTGAGCCGCGTCACTGCAAAACCAACATAATGTGTTTGCGACCGCAATGGATCCAGACTAGCCTGCGCATTTGCACAGCCTGATCAGGACCCATGCTGTTCGCTATCAGTTTCTTTACTTGTAAAAGGGTTGGTAAGCGAGCAGAGCGGATGCGCAGGCTGGTCTGGATTCATGCTGGTCGCAAATGCATTATCATGTTGGTTTTGTCGTGACACGGCTCATATCTGTTGTTTGATTTTTTATTGTTGTTGTTTTTTTTATATCTTTTCTAATAATAGATATTTCTAATTTTACTTTTTATCCTGTTTCATAATGAAAGTCAATTTTGATAGTTTTTTTTGAAATGGCACTGTTTCAATACTTTATTCATCTTTTTGTGTCCTAGTGTTTTGATAACAAAAGAATTCGAGTAAAATAAAACAAAACCTACCATTAAAGGAGGAGAAAATATTCTAGACGTGTTCCTATCAAATGGTTGTGCTGACCGCCAAAGTGTTTGCCAGGTGTTAGGTGAACGCAATGCCTTCACAGCCGTTACTCCGCCACAGTGGTATGTCTCGTAGATGTCTATACCAGTTATATATACACTATCCTTCACCTCTAGCTGATAGGAAAAACATATTAAAATCATCATTATTAGCGAAATTTAAAAAGTTGCTTTTGAATTACTTGTTACCAGTAGTGATATTTAAAATAAAAGCAAGAGATTCTTGAATGTCTTCCGAAATGTTTTGTTCACAATATATAAAACCTATTAATTAATATATACATGTAATTTGTTTTTACGCATTTTCAACACATAACCACCAGAATCGACAAAAATGAAAACTATATGTTTCGATATGATAATATTGTTTGTTAACAGTAGATATGAATTTGTTCTCATATTGAAATTTGATCTCTCTAATCAAAAACTTGGAAAGATTTAACCCTTCTGTTTTACTGTATTAACTGTCGTTAATACACACAATTTATGTTATCGACTGAAACTACCAGTTGATTGTTTTATTACGTAATATAATTTCCAGAGATAATGGATTTCGCCTTACATTGACTAGGTTTATTTGTATTTGAAGGACAATATAATAATATATAAACAATCTTATCAATGTTTGATTTTAGTGCAAGAGATATTCAAGTTTCGAGGTTAACAAGTGTATTTGCTGTTGACTGTTTAATTCGCCATATTACAATATACTTTGATCAATCTTCGCATATTAGGATGTATTGAAATGATATTGAATAGTGACCTCTAAAAACTGCTTTTGGTCTTTAACACCCGGGGCCCAAGCTCCTGGTATGTCTCCATACTTAGGGTACACCTTTGGAGAACCAATAACGCATGTAGCAGGCCAACTGAAATATTGAAAAGTAACCGATATTAAAGACATGTAAATAGGCTGCATAAACAATAAATATATCAAATTCATCGTGTATCTTTCAAAATTATATTCATGAATAATAATATTTGCAAAACTTACAAGTATCTCAATTTTGAAATACAGTAAAGGTCATGTGGTCAAGAGGTGGCAATGGGGATAATCTCCCATTGTTTATAAAGTGCTCCTCATAGCATGCGTCTCTTATTGCCTCTGACAACCAAGTCCAACTCCTAGCCTGCTCGAATGATTTGTAACAAGCCCGGCGGAACTGATACAACTGATAGGAGAAGGGGCAAAGGCGAGATATCTGGCGCCTGAAAACCAGTTATTTGGGTAGATGAGGCGCATCAGTCTTGAAGGACAGCTCATCTAAGAGAAGGAAACTCTAATATTAAACCTCCACTGCCATTCTGCCACACAAGATGAAGGAAAAACATCGATATGAAACCAAGTCAGCAGACTGTGCTCAATTTCCAGAGATGGAAAGCAGTCTAGGAAGGAAACTCCAAAATCAAACCAACTTTCCTCGAGTAAAATTGAAGTATGCGTCGGGCCAACATTCCTACCTAAAACAACACGTTACTGAAATTATGGACATAAGAAAAAAAACTAGAATGCTAACTATGTACATGTATATCCACTTCGTAAATTTCGAGAAGGCGTTCGATTCAGTGCACAGAGACAGTCTTTGGATCATATTGAAAAATACGGTATACCAAATTAGCTGATCTAAATGTTTAAATCACTATATGAAGACTTTAAATGCTCTGTGATTGAAGGAAAATGAGACCAAAGCCTCTTTCTTGACGTAAATCAAGGCTGCTGCATGTCAGAGTTCTTGTTCCCTTTGATAATAGACTGGGTGATGCAGCAGACAGTCAAAAAAAAACGAACTGGAATTCGATGGGATTTCATGGATGAGAGACTCCTTCCAAACAAAATGCCTAAAGAGGATCCTTATGATCAGATTGGCAACAGCGCATACCTAATCAGACTGTACTGGAGTTGGCAGAAGCAACTAACATCAGTGAATAGATCAGGAGAAGGATAGAACTGGATCAGCCGAGAAAGGATCCAGCAGATGATTGTGCTGTGGCTCTGGGATAGACGCCTGAGGGAAAAGGGAAGATGGGACGCCCAAAGACAACTTGGTGTCGAATGGTGGAGGTAGAAAGAAACAAGGCGGAATGGAACTTCTGGAGCACAGCGCGCCGAGAGGCTTCAGACCGCAACATGTAAAGGCAAATGTCCATGCCTTATGTGCCTCTTGGCATGAAGAGAATTAAGAATAAAGTTAAGATAAAGGTCATGTGGTAACATGATTAGTGATTTACTTTACTTTCTCAAGTATTCAAAATCAATTATAAACCTAGCTCAATTAACTCCATTGTAATTGATTTTATCTTGTAAGATACTTGTTGCACAGTAAAATAATAATTCCATCATATGCCAAGTCATTATATTATTCTCAAACTTACTTCCTGTCGTCATATTGTGAGGAAAATGAGATAACTTTATCAATCCACTGTGATGTGACACCGGTCTGTGAAGCAGCACCCGGTGATACCAGCTGGCCTGTTGTCTTACAAGTTGATAAATCTCTGTAAAAAATCAAACCTGGTTGATGCATAGTTACGGAAGAGTATACTGACCCCCTTTATATATTTTTTATGCCTTCAAGAAAAAAACCTTTGTATAATACATATCTTTAAAAACTTGACAAGTTATATGATATCTAAAATAGATTTTGCAGAGTTTTATCTGTTACTATACACCATAAGTCACAAATATGCATTGTTTCTTCGATGGTATTTGGAAATTTAAGAGAACAGAATGTTCTTCTTAACATACAGTAGTTGTACACTTTAGCATTTATCATAATTTATGAATCTCATGAAAAAAGATGTATGAATTTATAAATTAAATTAGATTCTCTTGGTATAATAAGTCGCATCTATTATTATAATATTAAATGGCCCTTTTCTCGTTTTGATATATAAAAAAAACATGTATAATCATTGAAAAAGATGTAAGAAATATTTATAGTATGAGTTACTCAAAGTTTCAATACCATTTATATAATAATAATATATATCAGTTAAATTATAACATTTTATATAATACTGGCAAGATACTCGTGTACCGCAAGCGTGTTATCATAACGATCAACTTATGTTAGGAAACATATAAAACATCATCTAAGCTAAAAACTCAGGTAAAGAATATATATATTATATATGATTATATCATCTCTATATCTGTCAAACAAATAATGACTCGAAAACATACTGTCTTCAAATAAATAAAAGCGTTTACTCCAAGACAACGTCTGCTTCTTGAGGTAGACTTTCAATGAAAAGAAGAAAAAACATATTTCTTATAAATAAAAGTAAGGTCTTAAGAAAGACTTAAGTTTATAATACGTATCTTTACTAGTATAGTAGCCAAAAAACAGAAAAGATCAATATGAACTATATATATAACTTTTAAAAAACCATTACGAACTATGTTGTTATCATGTATCGTCGTATTTTAAACAGGCATATAAAATATATAAGGGGGGTCAGTATACTCTTCCGTAATAGCCAGATATTTTTCTAAAACATTTAACAAGTAAATGTTCCATGATTTCACTGTTATGAGCCATCGTAAACAATCCGTTTTTTCTATTTTATATACAAAACGTGTGTGGCACAAAGGTGGGTCTGCATTCAATCTTAAAATATGCACACACTTGTGCAAGTTGACGATATCTCTAAGGTGTAATTTGGATATTAATTCTCTCAGATGATAGCTCTGCTTTTGTGATTTGAATATACAAAGTACAATTAAAAGAAAATATTTTACAATTAAAAAGTCACTTCAAATTAAAGAATGTCAAATAAATATACCTTGTACCGTGAATTTTTACAGCATCTATTTCAACCCAGGATCTACATGCTGTACAGTCAATTTCAATTCGAATTATTTTCGTTTTGAAATCAGTAGTCTGGAAAAGAGGCAACATAAAAAACCATATTTTACTGAGTCAAAAATAGGGAAACAATCCACTGACAATGTAAAATGCATTTTTCGTGGAGATAATACAGTGCGATACTTAAAAAACACATATATTTACCATTAACTAGTTCACTAAAAAAATCAACATATTTTGCAAGTGAAATCATTTTCAATAGGGAATTCTCCTAATACCATACTGTCAAATAACTGTAACTGATTATCAATTGGCAAACAATGTTTTGTATTTTTTAATTTTAGTCAAAATATTAAACATAGTCTTCCTAGCTAGATCTGTCAAATGTTTTTTTGTTTTATTTAATTTACTATGAAATTTAAATTTCTGCTCTAAATAACTAAAATTATCTATAGCTTCTAGAGGCGCACTATTGAAATAAAATGCAGGCTTATTTCTTAATTTACCACGAGAAAATACAACAACTTTTGTCTTCTCAGTGTTAAAAGTTAAGTGCCACAGTTTACAATACTCAGACATGTTTTAAAGTTCTGTTTAAAGGTCAGTTTGACTTTCAGCAAAAGCAAATGTATCATCGGCATATAGAAGCTGGTACAACTTCATCATTAAGACATATCTCTGTAAGGCCTCTTCAAAACAGTGTCCCGAAAGCTATTTATAGGGCACCTGTGGCGTTCGTTTCTAAAAGGTTTACTAATTAACCTATAGAGAGCGGAACGGAAGATAAGTTTCCTTAGTATGTATTTTATCGACGGCAAATTTCATTTCACACCTTGATTATTTTTATTTGACAATTATATGAAACGGTTGGTCTAAAAATAACATATTTAACCTTCTAATAAAGATCAATATCAAAAGAGATACTTCTAAGATAGTCATGAAATATACACTTTTATGTCCTCCCAGATAATATATATTTTAATTATTAAAATATTATTATTAACCTTCTCGTTAAATTTCTTTTAAGAGACGATGTTCAATTTGAGGAATAAGAACAGAACGAACAGAAAAACAGTTTTATAAAATATTTGTAAAGCAAGTATATCATCATCCATACATATAGATATTAACAAAACGTTTCGGAAAGCAACATACCATTAAAGGAGGAGAAAAAATTCTAGACGTGTTACTATCAAACGGTTGTGCTGACCGCCAAAGTGTTTGCCAGGTGTTAGGTGAATGCAATGCCTTCACAGCTGTTACTCCGCCACAGTGGTAAGTCTCGTAGATGTCTACACCAGTTATATATACACTCTCCTTCACCTCTAGCTGGTGAAATATAATTAAGAAGTAGCTTTATAAACCTCTCAGTATCCTTGAAAAAGCACTTTAACACATTAGTTTCGATAATATGGACAATCATGAGACCCCGAACCGCCGTGACTTAGTGTTCGAAACCCGCCGGTGACTCATGGGAGAAAGCTATCGAGCTAGCTTACGGACGCCGGTGGGTCTACCCCAGTGTCAGTTCTTTTCTTTAAAAAATAAACTGCACGAAGGAGGGCCGCCCGTTATCCTCAAGTAAAACTGGAAATTCAACAGTATGACTGTAGTGTGTGTGATGCAAATCCTAACAAAAAATACTTGTTTCCGGCGTAAATAAAACAAATACGATATACTAGTTGTAATAGTTTGAACATTAGAAATAAAATTCCTTAATTTTGTCGTCGTAAATGTTTCACACCATGTGATTTATAAAATTCCTATGGCATTGTATGGAACATTAAAACGACCAAATGGATAAAATCTAAATGTTTCTTGTTTTTGTGTTTTTGATTAATCAATGTCAGATACTAAATAAAGTTTTGACATCTCCCCTTTTTCTCCTCGTCCCCTTTTCGTCTATAAATGTTTAGTGTCTGTTCGGTTAACTTGCATTTAAGTGAACGGCGCCCTTCCTTCTTGATGTTTGTATTCATTTTTGCGCGAGTAAAATGTTTTGAAATATGGTATTAGGAAGAAAAAATGCTGCAATACAAAAAATAGATAAAAATGTATAATAACCTCCAAAAATTGCTTATTGTCTTTTACAGCCGGGGCCCAAACTCCTGGTTTATCTCCATACTTGGGATAAACCTTTGGAGAACCAATAACACATGTTGCAGACCAGCTGAAAATATAAACAACCAATCACGAATATTAAATGTACAAAATATCAAGTTCAATAGAAAATTTAACAATGTCTGAAAACGTATCTGCCTTAAATGGTGTCCATTCACTCTTTCAATTTCAATACATAAAATGTTTTCTGTTTCTGATACAAGAAGCCTAATATGTTAAAATGCCTAATATGTTTAAAACAACATTCTTTTACCAATGTCAAAAGCGGGTGCATTAGCGAAACTATACAATTAATATAAAATATTATTTTTTTTTAATCTTGGGTCTATTATTATTAATAGATATGGATTTTCATTAAGTTTTTGGCTCGTTTTTTGAAAGTCCATCCAGTAAACATTAAACTGTTTTATTTCTGAACTCTGATAAAAAAAACTGATTTTGAAAATATATTCTAAAATTCTATGTTAACAGGCAACTATTTATGTTGTTTTTATTATTTTATGCGCATGCCAACAAGACATAAGAACGGTCTAATTTGATAATTAATTGACAATATAGTCAACAAGTATTTCAAACACTAATCTGCGTCATCAAATTGGATTCATAGGAACTTGATGGCAAAATCGTTTTGGGCAAAATATATATATATATATACTTATACACACAAAAGAAACATATTAAATGTGTAATAGATAATTAATTATTAAAATCACGGCGGGATTACGATCTTAAAAAATAAATAAATTAATTAAAAAAAAACATGTTTGCCAACAATTACTTATGGTTGAGTAAACTTACTTTTTGTCATCATACTGCGATGAATATGCGACGACTTTGCGGATCCACTGAGATAGCTCGCCATGATTAGATACATTTGATATCGGGCGTCGTACTTCCCTGCAATATAGTTTGTTCATATGAGCCGCGTCACGACAAAACCAAAGTAATGGGTTTGCGACCAGCATAGATCCGTGCAGTCTGATCAGGATCCATGCTGATCGCTATCAGTTTCTCTACTTGTAAAATGGTTGGTAAGCGAGCAGCATGGATCCTGGTCAGACTGGTCTGGATCCATGCTGGTCACATTGGTTTGTCATGACGCGGCTCATTTAATAATCAGTTTATTGGCAAAATCAACAAAAAAACCAAACAAAAAAACAATTGTCTTTGCTCATTTGAAGTATATAACTGGGGGGGGGGGGGGGGGGGGGCATTACTCTTGTGAATATATTTGTCCAAACAGGGATAGTCCTGCTGGACAGTAGCAGTGGCAAAATTATAATACGTGAAAATTGGCAGTACCAGTAGCACAGCAGCAGTAGTAGCAATATTATAAAACGTGAAATTTTCCGTAGAAGTAGCAAATCAGAGGCAGTAGCAACCAAACAGGAGAAGATCTTTCAAAAAATTTGACACATGTCTTTGAAACATGTAGCAACATTATAAAAAGTGAAATTGGCAGTAGCAGTAGCCAAGAAGAAGAAGTAGCAAATAATAAAACCTGAAATTGGCAGTAGCAGCAGCCAAGAAGAAGAAGTAGCAAATAATAAAACCTGAAATTGGCAGTAGCAGCAGCCAAGAAGAAGAAGTAGCAAATAATAAAACCTGAAATTGGCAGTAGCAGCAGCCAAGAAGAAAAAGTAGCAAATAATAAAACCTGAAATTGGCAGTAGCAGCAGAACATCTGTAGCAGTACAAAATCATAAAACGTGAAATAAGCAGAAGCAGTAGTAAAATGATAAAATCTGGAATTTACAGTGCCAGTGGCATAATTATAAAACCTGAAATTGGCAGTAGCTGTAGCAATATTATAAAACCTGAAATTTGCAGTAGCAGTAGCAATATTATAAAACGTGAAATTGGCAGTAGAAGTAACACAGCAGAAGCAGTAGCAGTACCAATCAAACAGGAGAAGACTTTAAAAGAATTGACTCATGTCTTTGAAACTTGTATATGTCAGTTTTGATAAAAAAGAAAGAGACTCAGAAAACTGTCAAATTGAGTCATTTATCATCTGATTTATATATTCAATAATAACTATCTAGATACCAAGATCTGACGGGAGAGAATCCAAGGAAAAGGGCAAATATTTTAATGAGCGACCTTAAAAGCATCAACCTACGGTGGCATATAGGTGATATTTGCATATATTTTTTTATCTAGTGGCCTTATCTTGAGGCCTTAAGATATTGTCTCGTGGCCACAACATATTATCTTGTGACCACGACTCATTATCTTGTGAGCACGACTTATTATCTCGTGACCACGACTTATTATCTTGTGACCACGACTTATTATCTCGTGGCCACGACTTATTATCTTGTGACCACGACTTATTATCTCGTGGCCACGAGTTATCATCTTGTGGCCACGACTTATTTTAGCCTATGAAAATTGTCGTTTCATCTTGAATCACTACGACCGTATACTATGCTTTAATTTGATATTAAAAATATTGATAATTTTTACACTGCCTGTTTGTAAACATAAAATAAACATGTTTTGACTTCACAGAAAGTAGATCTGTTATGTTTTAAATTCTGCACGATAAAAGGTGTCACCATGAATATATATTATAGTGTCAGGTTTTTTTTTTAAGAAAAGATCAACTTAGTTGACCTGTTATAGGGAACGCAACTTCCGGTACATATCTTATTGATTCTTTCATTCAAGTTAAACACATTAAATAGAATTTCATAAATTTAAATAAATTTATGTGATTAAAATAGCTTACTCAAGGATGTGCTAAGTATATTTTTAAGGGACTTAACGAAGAAATTGAAGCGGTTGGTGCATACTTTTCAGGTCACTTGCCCCCTTTCCCTGTGGATTCGAATCCTGTTACAAAGTTGTATCTAGAAAATTATTATTGAAGCTATATAACGTTGTCACAATTATAAATGACACTATTTGTCTTGTTTTGTTATCATTTTGTGAGTTGTGTCCTGTGATACAGTGTTTGAGTTGTGTCCTGTGAAACAGTGTGTGAGTTGTGTCCTGTGAGTCAGTGTGTGAGTTGCGTCCTGTGATACAGTGTGTGAGTTGTGTCCTGTGAGTCATTGTGCAAGTTCTGTCCTGTGATACAATGCCTGAGTCGTGTCCTGTGATATAGTGTGTGAGTTGTGTCCTGTTAGTCAGTGTGTGAGTTGCGTCCTGTGATACAGTGTGTGAGTTGTGTCCTGTGAGTCAGTGTGTGAGTTTTGTCCTTTGATACAGTGTGTGAGTAGTTTCCTGTGAGTCAGTGTGTGAGTTGTGTCCTGTGAGTCAGTTGTGAGTTGTGTCCTGTGATGGAGTTGTGTCCCGTGAGTCAGTGTGTGAGTTGTGTCCTGTGATACAGTGTGTGAGTAGTGTCCTGTGAGCCAGTGTGTGAGTTGTGTCCTTTGATACAATGTCTGAGTCGTGTCCTGTGATATAGTGTGTGAGTTGTGTCCTGTGAGTCAGTGTGTGAGTTGCGTCCTGTGATACAGTGTGTGAGTTGTGTCCTGTGAGTCAGTGTGTGAGTTGTGTCCTTTGATACAGTGTGTGAGTAGTTTCCTGTGAGTCAGTGTGTGAGTTGTGTCCTGTGAGTCAGTTGTGAGTTGTGTCCTGTGATGGAGTGTGTGAGTTGTGTCCCGTGAGTCAGTGTGTGAGTTGTGTCCTGTGATACAGTGTGTGAGTAGTGTCCTGTGAGCCAGTGTGTGAGATGTGTCCTTTGATACAGTGTGTGAGTAGTATCCTGTGAGTCAGTCTGTGAGTTGTGTCCTGTGAGTCAGTTGTGAGTAGTGTCCTGTGAGCCAGTGTGTGAGTTGTGTCCTGTGAGTCAGTTGTGAGTTGTGTCCTGTGATACAGTATGTGAGTTTTGTCCCGTGAGTCAGTGTGTGAGTTTTGTCCTGTGATACAGTGTGTGAGTTGTGTCCTGTGAGTCAGTGTGTGAGTTGTGTCCTGTGATACAATGTCTGAGTTGTGTCCTGTGATATAGTGTGTGAGTTGTGTCCAGTGAGTCAGTGTGTGAGTAGTGTCCTGTCTGTCAGTTAGTGTGTTAGTAGTGTCCTGTCTGACAATTAGTGTGTTAGTAGTGTCCTGTCTGTCAATTAGTGGGTTAGTAGTGTCCTGTCTGTCAATAAGTGTGTAAGTAGTGCCCTGTCTGTCAGTGTGTGAATAGTTACATGTCAGTCAGTGTGTGAGTAGTGGCTTGTAAGTGTGTGAGCAGTGTTCTGTCTGTCAGTCTGTGTGTGAGGATGCTTTGTCAGTCAGTGTGTTAGTAGTGTGCTATCTTTCAGTGTGTGAAGTGTAATGTCAGTCACCCAGTGTCAAAATAGTGTCCTGTCTGTTAGTCAGTAGTGTTCTGTCTGTCAGTCAGTGTGAGTATTGTCCTGTCTGTCAGTTAGTGTGTAAGAAGTATCTTGTCAGTAAATGTGTGAGTAGTGTTCTGTCTGTCAGTCAGTGTGTGAGTAGTGTTCTGTTAGTCATTGTGCAAGTTCTGTCCTGTCAGTTAGTGTAAGTATGTGAGTTGTGTCCTGTGATACAGTGTGTTAGATGTGTCCTGTGCGTCATTGTGTGAGAAGTGTACTGTGAGTCAATGTGTGAGTTGTGTCCTGTGAGTCAGTGTGTGAGTTGTGTCATGTGAGTCAGTGTGTGAGTAGTTTCCTGTGATACAATGCCTGAGTTGTGTCCTGAACTAAAGTGTGTAAGTTGTGTCCTGTGAGTCAGTGTGTGCGAAGTGTCTTGTGAGTCAGTGTGTGAGTTGTGTCCTGTGAGTCAGTGTGTGTGTTGTGTTGGGTGAGTCAGTGTGTGAGTTGTGTCCTGTGATACAGTGTGTGAGTTGTGTCCTGTGATAAAGTGTGTGAGTTTGTGTCTCTTGATACAGTGTGTGAGTTGTGTCCTGTGAGTTAGTGTGTGAGTTGTGTCCTGTGATACAGTGTGTGAGTTTGTGTCTTGTGAGTCAGTGTGTGAGTTGTGTCCTGTGATACAGTGTGTGAGTTGTGGCATGTGAGTCAGTGTGTGAGTTGTGTCCTATGATACAGTGTGTGAGTTTGTGTCTTTTGATACAGTGTGTGAGTTGTGTCCTGTGAGTCAGTGTGAGAGTTTGTGTCCTGTGATACAGTGTGTGAGTTTGTGTCTTGTGAGTCAGTGTGTGAGTTGTGTCCTGTGATACAGTGTGTGAGTTGTGGCATGTGAGTCAGTGTGTGAGTTGTGTCCTATGATACAGTGTGTGAGTTTGTGTCTTTTGATACAGTGTGTGAGTTGTGTCCTGTGAGTCAGTGTGAGAGTTGTGTCCTGTGATACAGTGTGTGAGTTTGTGTCTTGTGAGTCAGTGTGTGAGTTGTGTCCTATGATACAGTGTGTGAGTTTGTGTCTTTTGATACAGTGTGTGAGTTGTGTCCTGTGAGTCAGTGTGAGAGTTGTGTCCTGTGATACAGTGTGTGAGTTTGTGTCTTGTGAGTCAGTGTGTGAGTTGTGTCCTGTGATACAGTGCGTGAGTTGTGTCCTGTGATACAGTGTGTGAGTAGTGCCTTGTCGGTCAGTGTGTGAGTAGTGGCCTGTGAGTCAGTGTGTGAGTTGTTTCCTGTGATAAAGTGTGTGAGTTGTGTCCTGTGAGTCAGTGTGTGAGTTTGTGTCCTGTTAGTCAGTGTTTGAGTTTTGTCCTGTGATACAGTGTGTGAGTTGTTTCCTGTGATACAGTGTGTGAGTTGTGTCCTGTGATACAGTGTGTGAGAAGTGTCCCGTGAGTCAGTGTTGTAAGTTGTGTCCTGTGAGTCAGTGTGTGAAAAGTGTCCTGTGAGTCAGTGTGTGAGTAGACTCCTGTGAGTCAGTGTATGAGTTGTGTGAGTTGTGTCCTGTGAGTCAGTGTGTGAGTTGTGTCCTGTGAGTCATTGTGTAAGTTATGTCCTGTGAGTCAGTCTGTGAGTTGTGTCCTGTGATACAGTGTGTGAGTTTTGTCCTGTGATATAGTGTGTGAGTAGTGTCCTGTGAGTCAGTGTATGAGAAGTGTACTATGATACAGTGTCTGAGTAGTGTCCTGTAATACAGTGAATGAGTTGTGTCCTGTGATACAGTGTGTAAGTTGTGTCCTGTGAGTCAGTGTGTCAGTTGTGTCCTGTGATACAGTGTGTGAGTAGTGTCCTGTGAGTCAGTGTGTAAGTTGTGTCCTGTGAGACAATGTGTGAGAAGTGTCCTGTGAGTCAGTGTGTGAGTTGTGTCCTGTGATACAGTGTGTGAGTTGTGTCCTGTGAGTTATGTCCCGTGAGTGTTTGTGTGAGTTGTGCCTGTGAGTCAGAGTGTAAATCGTGTCCTGTGATACAGTGTGTGAGTAGTGTCCTGTGATACAGTGTGTGAGTAGCGTCCTATAATACAGTGTGTGAGAAGTGTCCTGTGAGTCAGTGTGTAAGTTGTGTCCTGTGAGTCAGTGTGTGAGAAGTGTCCTGTGAGTCAGTATGTGAGTTGTGTCCTGTGATACAGTGTGTGAGTTTTGTCCTGTGATATAGTGTGTGAGTAGTGTCCTGTGAGTCAGTGTATGAGAAGTGTACTATGATACAGTGTGTGAGTAGTGTCCTGTAATACAGTGTATGAGTTGTGTCCTGTGATACAGTGTGTAAGTTGTGTCCTGTGATACAGTGTGTAAGTTGTGTCCTGTGAGTCAGTGTGTCAGTTGTGTCCTGTGATACAGTGTGTGAGTAGTGTCCTGTGAGTCAGTGTGTAAGTTGTGTCCTGTGAGACAATGTGTGAGTTGTGTCCTGTGAGTTATGTCCCGTGAGTGTTTGTGTGAGTTGTGCCTGTGAGTCAGTGTGTAAGTCGTGTCCTGTGATACAGTGTGTGAGTAGTGTCCTGTGATACAGTGTGTGAGTAGCGTCCTGTAATAAAGTGTGTAAGAAGTGTCCTGTGAGTCAGTGTGTAAGTTGTGTCCTGTGATACAGTGTGTGAGTTGTGTCCTGTGATACAATGTGTGAGTAGTGTCCTGTGATACAGTGTGTGAGTAGCGTCCTGTGATACAGTGTGTGAGAAGTGTCCTGTGATACAGTTTGTAAGTTGTGTCCTGTGATACAGTGTGTAAGTTGTGTCCTGTCAGTTAGTGTGTAAGTAGTGGTCTGTCTGTTTGTGAGTGATGTCTTGTCAGTCAGTGTGTGAATAGTGGCTTGTAAGTGTGTGAGCAGTGTTCTGTCTGTCAGTCTATGTGAAATGCCTTGTCAGTTAGTGTGTGAGTAGTGTGCTATCAGTTAGCGTGTGAATAGTGCCCTGTCTGTTAGTCAGTAATGTTTGAGTAGTTTAATACTGTATGCACGTCCGTACGATATCGTTTTTATCAGTGTCGAGAAAATGCACATGCTTAAGATAAATACGAAATATTATATTGTAGTAGCTTTCTGAGTCTTTGTATTTTGCTTCGAGCAGCGTTGGAAAATTTATATATAACATATATATATATATATATATATATATATATATATATATAATATATATATATATATATATAATATTATATATATATATATATATATATATATATATATATATATATATATATATATATATATATATATATAATTTCACGTTTTAAGACAAAAGATGTTCAATATACTTATTAAAGGGACTCCACTGAGGTTTAAAAGTCTAAAACATAACATTTGAATGTCTTATGCTGCCCTCACACATAAACCACGACCTTACTGCGACCTGAAAACTAGTAAAATACCATTTTTCTTTCGAAAATCGTTGGTTTTCTTTCAAATTTCCAAATTTCTCTCGCAGAAAATTTCTCTCGCAGACGGTCCGGGGCTCTGCAAACTTGTGTTCAGTACGTTTTCTCTATGTCCTCAATACGACCCTTCTACGTCCATGGCGTTTCCACTGCGACTGTATTGCGTCCCCAAGGCGACCCCACGGCGATCATCGGCGACCCAGCTGCGACTGTGCTATGTTCTCTGCGTCCTTACGGCGACTCTACGACGACATTGCGTTGGTCCGGCGACTGTCCTGCGACTGTACGACGACCCTACTACGTTCTTGCAACCTAACCAGGACTCAGCAAGAACGCAGAGTTTCTGCGACTGTTTTGTGCATGTTCAAAATAGTCGCCGACGGTCTGCGACCTTGTGCGTCCTTGGGTTCCTCGCTACGACCTCGCTGCGTCCTTGCTGCGTCCATGGCGACTGTGCTGCGTCCTGGGTCGTAGCAAGGTCGCAGTAAGGACGCAGTAAGGTCGCGAGGTATGTGTGAGGGCAGTTTTACATAAATGAGCTGGGACACTTTAACCAGTAATATATATGCAAAGATAGTTAATACATATACTTTGAAATAAATTGAAAATCGTATTTTTATACTTTTCTAAGCCTAATTTTAGTGAAAAGCGTTTAAACGCTTTTCAGTTTGGCTAAGTTTTTCACAATTTGAATTATTATTCTGGAAAAACGGTGTGCACGAATGATCTGAAATTTTGCACACAAAGATTAGTAGTCTAAACCTAATCAAATGGTACAATAATCTGGAAAAAATATTTTCAGTCCTTTCATGTGAAAAACCTCAGTGGAGTTCTATCAGTTATTTCAGAAACCTATGTATATGGAGCCGTATTTGTTACTAACATAATACGATTTTCCTATCTAAGCTTAGTAACAACTCATTGTAGATTGTCTTTGCACACCAAAGCACAGTCGACAATCATCTGAAAAAATAATAAATGGAAACAAATTTAAGACAATACAATATGATGATAATAAAGCCCTCGTTTTGAATTAGGCCTTAATAAAAGTACGGCATAGTACACCGATTTTAAAAATATGTTGAAAGTAGATTATATACAATAAACATCAAGCAGATAAGTAATTTAAACTTACTTTACTGAACCATTTCCCATGATAAAAATTAAAGGTAAATATCCAGTTTAAATGTCAGTTTAAATCATTATTAAATCATACATGATATTTTTCCACTTATAATCTCTATTATATTTATATATGGGTCGCTATTTGTTTGTAATATTGTGTGCGGTTTCTATGTAGAAAATAAATATTGATTCTGCAATGTTAAAAGGGTTTTTTTTTATATATATATAAACCTGCATAATCAGGTTAAGTTTAATGTTACATGAAAGTACTACTTTCGTTACACTTGATTTGATACTGAGTAACAATGTTTAAGCTGGTAGGAACTGAAACTTTCAAGAAATTAAAAAGACGAGAATAGTTCTTCAGATTACAGTTTTAAAAATATTTAATACTTAGGAAAGATCATATTGTTTTGTGTTTTTATATTTATGGTCATATGGTTTTGTATATGCATACTCGTGTAGCTTTGTTTCTTCATTTATGTTCATGTCGTTTTCTACATTCATATTTATGTTCATGGGATTTGATATATACACATTCATGTTCATGCGGTTTGGTACCCATTATGCTCATCATATTGTTTGGTATAAATCACCGAATACGATATTTGATTAATAAAATATTTATCAATCACTTTTGGGCATTTAAATGAAAGTTCTATATACTTACGATCTGTTGTTAAACTGTGATGATAGATTTATCAATCCGTTGACCAATCGCGACACCTCTGCATCAAAACCTGTCCTCTGTGAAACTTCACCACGTACCCTGTGTGGTTGTTGGGTATTCCTACAGTACGATATTTAGTCATTTATATGAAAATATGAAAATATTATGGTAAGCAAAAAAGTAAAATAGTAAAAAGAGCGATTTGATTCATCTGCCTGCTGGAGTTTTTGTTGTTGTTGTCTTTTGTTGTGAACTTTTTTTTTCATTTGTAAGTTATCATATAATGTATCACTCAAAAACGCATACGTATATTATAGTGACTGAAAAATAATTAATATTTAGAGGTATGTTTTTTATTATAACTGTGCATGTTTCTGTCCTCCATAATTATTAGATAATCGAGAAGTTATATCTTTAACAAACACGGCTGGTGCAAATTTATGAATTATTTTCTGATGGTAACCATTTTTTTAAAAGTATTAATAATGCTTTATATAGAGAATAATAGGTTGGTGCCGTGGATGGAGAAAGTTTATCTGGCGAGGCGGAGGAATTTATTGGGTGAACCGAAGGCGAACCCAATAAATTCCGGAGCAGAGCCGGATAAACTTTCTCCATCCACGGCACCAATCTATTATTCTATTTATCCTGTAACCGTTTTTTTTTAAAGAATTTCATTAGGCAAACTACCTTTAATCACACTATCGGAAATGTTTCTATATAAACAAAAAAGGTCCGAAGTGTGCATTATTCTACAACAATGCACTCACCGTTTTTATTTTCTCCCTGTGTATTTTCTAATGGTCTAGTTTCATTATCTTCAGTAGTAAATGATACTCTGAGTAACTTCGATGTTGAGGTTTATTTTAAATTGTACATACTACTTTATGCTGATGACACTGTAATGTTTGCTGAAACTGCAGATGAATTGCAAAAGGCACTTGATGCAATGAGTAGTTACTGTAATATGTGGAGTCTCCAAGTTAATCCTGCAAAAACTAAAATTGTTGTATTTTGTAAAAATGTACGTGGTATTCGTAATGCTCCTAATTTCATTTTTTAAGGTAATATGTTAGAAGTAGTCGACTCTTTTTCATATCTTGGCGTAAAGTTTTCGTATAATGGTAAATTTACTAAAACAAAAGAATACTTGTTACAACAAGCTAGAAAAGCAATGTTCTCTGTAATAGTAAAGTCTAGAAGGCTGAACCTGCCTATTAGTATGCAAATACATTTGTTTGATACAATGGTAGCACCCATTTTGTTATATGGAAGTGAAGTGTGGGGAATTGAAAATTTAGACTTGATAGATCAATTTCAGTTAAAATTCTATAAACTTATTCTTCGGTTAAAACAAAGCACTCCTAATTGTATGCTATATGGTGAACTAGGGGTGCTACCTTTGTCTATTCATGTTAAGACTCATATTTTATGTTACTGGAATAGAATTTTAAATGCTAAACCTGAGAAAATATGTCATATATTGTATAATGTTTCTTATAAGTTGTATAGTGATGATAACAATGTAAAACTACCTTGGATCAATTATGTACACAATTTATTGGACTCTCTGGGCATGTCAAATTACTGGATGTATAATATACCTTCTTCACAGCAATTGTTCAAGAACATTGTTAAAACTAGATTGAGAGATCAATATTTACAACAATGGCATAGTTTTGTGGCTGAGTCCAGTAAAAGCCTTAATTACAGAATGTACAAAGATTCCTTTGTTTTTTGAAAATTATCTAGATACTTTGCCTTACCATTTGTCTAATGCTATTTTAAAGTTCAGATGTACGAACCATAGATTACCTATAGAAAAGGGGAGATTCTTTGGTATCCCGAGAGATGAAAGAACATGTCATTTATGTAATACAAACTCTTTAGGGGATGAATTTCATTACCTGTTTGTGTGTGACTTTTTTAAGCAGGAGCGTCGTAAATATATTTCAGTAAGATATACTAGTAATCCTAATACTTTGAAATATTCATTGCTAATGAATAGTACAGACAAAAACGAGCTTGTTAAACTTGCTGTTTATTGCAGGAAAGTAATGCATGTTTTCAAATGATAAACGAGGTTGTGTAATATATGTATACATTTTGATAGTAAATAGTATTGTGTAGTATAATATTATGTTTCTTAAGGCTAACATGTATTTTTATCTCCTATGTGTTAGGAATGGCTCAGTGTCTGATATTGCTCAAATTTTGTCTGATATTGCTCAAATTTAGTCTGATATGATAATTTTCTGTTTATCTAGTCATAGCAAATTTGTATCAGGTCATTTGTTCATGTTATATAGCAAATTTTCCTATGTGTTAGAAATGGCTCAGTGTCCGATATTGCTCAAATTTTGTCTGATATTTCTCAAATTTAGTCTGATATGATAATTTTCTGTTTATCTAGTCATAGCAAATTTGTATCATGTCATTTGTTCATGTTATATAGCAAATTTGTATTACGTCATTTGTTCATGTTTAATATGTTGTATTCTGATGCCTCTCAGAGGCCTAGAATTTGAAAATAAAAGTTCAAAGTTCAAAGTTCAAAGTTCACATTGAGGGGTCCATTTTGTTTGAAAAATGTGATAAATAAAAACAATTTTTTTTGTCGAATTTTGTTGTGAAAACTATCTAGAATGAAACAAAATGGTCTAACTAAGAAAATGAATTCGAACACCAATATCTTTTATTCAGTCGTTAACGCTGTACAGACGTTTAAAGTATTGTTTACGTGACGTCACAATGTAGCGCCAAACAGCACGTGCAAAACAATCAAATCAAGTACGCTATTTTAATGTCGCATACGAGTTAAGTTTTACATTTATTTCACTTTTAATAATTTTTATTTCGCTTGAAAAATTATAGAGTGAAATAAAAAATAAACAAACAAAGTTTTATCAACGTTTCCAAAATTCGTTATTCTACACACAGAAGATTTAACGACAGTTTATATATTTTTTCTTGAAAAGTAGTCCGGCAAACATGCATACCACGTGATCAAGTGCCGTAGATCAGTAAAAATATACGGCACCTTGTTATCGGGCCGAAATTGATACAAGTGACAGGATAAAATGATTTTGACAAATTATATGACCATTGACAATTATTTGCTATATAACCATCGCATTGCCGTTGATACTGGGTCATATAATTTTTTCAAAACTGATAATCACTCGATTTTTGACAGGTTATATGGCCATATATATAAGCGATTACCGGGATTGTAATACAACCGTTTATATACGGTCATTATAATCTGTCAATAGTCTTTTTAACATATTTATAATGCAGCAAACTTTCCTTTTTAGGAGGAAGAGATCAAACACTTTTTTGATATTATCCCAACGCTGCTTATTCGTAAGTCCCAAGGCAATGCCAAAAAATTATTTCCATTGTTGAGTATCGATCTCAAGTTTAAAGTTTTTATTAATATCGCAAAGACTAAAGATTCGGCATACCTAAAAGGATTTAATATGTTTGCACTACTGACCTTTTTAATAATCAGTCTTATTGGTAATGAAGACTCCAGACATAGGACTTATTCACTTTCCTAAAAGTATTTTTCTAAATAATAACACGTACCCGATATAGATCAGTTGTCGTCTGCATTACTAAATAGAAATTTAAAATAATAATAATGACGACAACGACGAAGCTTATGCTGATGATAAAAGATAAACTTACCTAGAAGAACCATTGCCCATAGTGAAAAATAAAAGTCTATATCCAATTCAAAACTTTGTCAAGATAATTATAAAATAATCCATACTATTTTCATCAAAATACACTTTTTGGCTAAACTTTCTCACAGATTAATAGCTTGTCATAATATTTTGTGCGGTTTCTATTTTGAATATAAATATTGACTGTGTACATTATAATGACTTTATTATACATACATGTATATATTACTTTTCTTTAATCTATCTATAGAATTACTATCGTTGTTAAATTCGATACTATTTTTAAACCTACATTTAAACCTACATTTAAACCTACACGGAGAAAAATTATGAAATATTTCGCTTTGAAAAATCGATCTTACTGAAATGAACTTAAACTATTAAATGTGCTTATTTTTTCATTGACAAGTTCAGCTGAACTGACTACATATTTGAGCCGAGTCACGACAAAATCAACATAATGGGTTTGCGACATGCATGGATCCAGACCAGCCTGCGCACCCACGCACTCTAATCAGGATCTGTGCTTTTCGCTTTCAAACCCTATAACATTATCAAAACTGATAGCGAACAGCATCGATCCTGATCAGACTGCGCGGATGCGCAGGCTGGTCTGGATCCATGCTGGTCGCAAACGCACTATGTTGGCTTTGTCGTGATGCGGCTCAATTATGGTAATTGACAAGCAGTTGATATTGGAAAATGTTTGGGCAAAGTTTTGCCATGTGACTTAAATATCTTTTGTTTAAAGTAAATTATAAAATTGAAAGGAGTTATGGCAGGATGTTAACCTAATTTGACTTTCACCTGGTCACCTTCTATATACCCTTAGATGGAAAATATGTCATTTTACTCACGAGTAAGCACTAACCATAGATTTGCAACTGAGATATAGCCATTAATATAATACAAACAAAATAATGGAAAGATAAAAAAAACCATAGATTGTTAATATATATAAACACGAATAAGCAAGTAAAAATGTTTATATACGTGTATCGAATGTAGTTTTTGTTTATGTATTGTGATTTTCAACACAGCTATACGCAACAACATTGAAATATTATTGCGTGCGCGTGAGCCGTGTGTACGCATGTGCGAGCGTCCATATAACATATTTGTAAATTTTGTTTTTATTGGATTATACTTCTTAAAAACCAATGCATACTCAAAATTATCTAGTGTCTCTTTCAGATTTCTCGGCCTTGTGACATTTGTCATCTTGATTGGGGACTGTGACAAAAAAGCGCCCTCTAGTGAACACACTTTTTAAATGTACCATTTCTGCTACAAATTTATTTCATATGACAAATTTTATACCTTTTGAAGTTAATAACTCAGACTCAACAAATTTCACATATATTTCCTGAATAAATAGTGTCAAGTGTGTCTTGTGAGTTATACTTAATGAATGAATAGTGTCCAATATGTTTCGTCCATGTAGTGAGTTATGTTCACTGCATGAATAGTGTCTTATGTGTCTTGCACATGTAGTGAGTTATGTTCACTGCATGAATAGTGTCCAATATGTTTCGTCCATGTAGTGAGTTATGTTCACTTCATGAATAGTGTCCAATATGTTTCGCCCATGTAGTGAGTTATACTTGCTGCATAAATAATGTCCAGAGTGTTTTGTCCATGTAGTGAGTTATATTCACTGATTGAATATTGAGTGCTCGGCGAATAATTTTGCTTATATATTGCAGTTGTGTTCGCAAAAGCTAACCTTTAGATATAGAAAATAACTATATTCACTAGAAACAACTAAACTTTTAGTTTTGAATTTGCAAGTGCTTGATATGTAAAGTCACACAGTGTTACCAGCCTATCACATCGTAAACTGTTTTTTGTTTGTTTATCCAATACAGCCAAAACGGACAATGTTTGTCAAAAACGCGTTCTCATTCAGGAACATTTTTTAACATGACCGGACAGAAACATTCAGTTAGAATGACTGCAGTGAATGAAAGTAAAATATTTTTTTAATTTAAATTATTGATAGGAGCGAAAATCGGACAATGCCTACGTCACAACTATGTTTAATAAACTTATGTTTAATGCATGTTTTCTAATTAATTAATTCGCGACAACAACAGCAGAATCCAATAAGTCAACAAACCATTTGAAATTGAAAAGATTGGGTCAATATTCTATAGGGCTTTAAGCTTCATGAGGATTCAGTTGATCTTGGGCTCTATTGGTAGCAAAGGTTAACCACTTTCGCTTTTTTATTCAAATTTGCCATTCAGTACTATCGCAATTCTAAATTTTCCGTTTTTATGAAACATTAAATAAAAACATTGCATTTTATATGTATGTACGAATTTGAAATCTATATCCATATTGTTCATTCATATTAATTCTTGCTACACAAACTCATAGATAGAGGATATTGAATGAGTGTAAGTTCAATACTGAATTTATTGCACGAGTTGAATAAAATTATATTATGCGAGCCTCTGGCGAGCATAATAAAATTATTATTTTATTCAACGAGTGCAATAAATTCAGTAATGAACTTACACGAATTTAATATTCTATTTATCACATACCCAAAATAAAGACCGTTAAAAGTGAAATAAGAGTCTTTTTTCATTGACGCGCCTATAGTCATGATAGTATAACACTAACATTTAGCGCGTCTTTACACTATGTTTGCATAACGCTAATGACGTCACGTCAAAATATATGCATAGCCGTGCAATACCATATTTACGGAGTCGCAAAATCGGCACGGGTGTGTGATAAAATAACATTTGTAACAACATACTTTTTATACATTTTTTTATGAATCAATGCAAGGAAAATGGAGGATTCAGATTTCGCCATGTTTTTCGGTAACACTATAATGTTAAGTTAAATAAAAAAATAATAGATACACGTCAGACCCATTATGTTATACTTTCATCACGTCAGTAACGTTGTCATGACGTAATCATAATCTAATACTGTGACGTAACTTGTCATAGAAACGACGTTCCGCAACATAAGATATCAACACTTAACGGTATGTGGATGCGTTTTTATATAATTATTTTTAATTTCTTAATTAATTCGTTTAACCGAATGTAATGGTCAGTAAAGTGTTTAGAAATGTTACACAACTTATTAAGTTTCAATTATCATTTTTATTTTTGCTCGTTTGTGATGAAATATTAATTAAATCCATTCTCAAAGTCCGCTTCCTCACATGCATCATGACTCCGGTCTGACTTGGACCCACCATCTTATCAAAGGCCATTACATCTACATCAAAGTCTACTGCCACTATCAATTTGTAGTTTTGAAAAAGTGAAACTATGATTCTATTCTAATTTAGACAACAATATTTCAGATACCGGTAAAATCAAATATGTTGAACAAACTAGTTTGTTTTGAGGACACTAAATTAATTTAAAATCTTGTTACAGCTAGTGAATTATGAACAGATTATCAAGAAACGACTACAAAGCTCACTCAAGAATGAACAAAATTTGTTCTTCAAATAGGCAAAGGTCTATATGTGGCACACATAGAGGACACGTCTCCCAAAGAAAATCGACAAATAGCAGAAAAGGTAAATTTTGAAATAATTCATAAATTTTCTTAAATGTTAAACATTGTTCATTTGAATTATGCATTAATCGTTGAGAGTATTATTTGTAACTTTTTAATGCTTGACTATCACGTGGGTCCATATCTACAATGTTAAGTCACCCTTTGACACGAGGGTCGATCTGATGACATTACAGCAATAATTTGTCTTACAGGGTTATTTAATTATTGTAACGCAACTTTTCGGTTCCCTCCCATCAACGAGATATTTAAGGGGAGCGATGGCCTATTGGTTATGGTGTCTGCTTCTCAACACATAGATCATGGGTTCGAGCCCTACTCGGGTTACGACCATCTTTCTTCATATGACACCAGTACTGGTTGGTTCCAGGAAGTGTACTCGAAAGTGATTAATATAAGTTGCAAGAACTTGTTTCGCAATCGAGCTTAAATAAATATTTTTAAACCAACGAGGTATTCCAAATGGAACATTAACATTATCATGACGTTTGTCACTTGATATTTATATTCTTCACTTTCTTTATATTAACAGCTGATATTAAGACCACACAGAAGAAAAGGCGAAGTAAGAGCGCTTTACCACCACAAGGTCAGAGGAGGTCGATGCCACAAAAACATTGTCAAGCCCGGCAGCGCAAAAGACGCACAAATGGACATAAAAGCTCAAGAGCTGAAATAAGAAACCAGTCTGGATATGGTAAATTGATTTTAAACGATTTTTAATGACTTCTATTGATAACTACATGAAGTCGAGAAGTTTCAAAAGTGTTTAAAAAATAAGACACCATAGATACCCTAGCTATCAACTGTATAAATTTGCGTTGAACAGAATAGTGACTTATAACAAAGTCTGGCATTGTAACGATATTTTATTAACATACCTGAACCAAAGGAAAAAATTATAAGATAGATTTATGTCATTTGTGTTATGGTACTTCTTTGCCAGCATTTAGTATGATTACGTACGCCGTAAAAACTAATTTTGTATTATGCTTTAAACGGTTTCTTACTTTGTTTTTTTTTTCCAGAGTTGAGGATGTATCTTGACGATAATTATGACTACAATCAACATACAAACAGAAATGAAAGAGAAATTTCCAAAGTACCCGCTTCTCAATGGAATGATACAAAAGTGTCTTCAGTAAGCAACCCTAAGTTAAAAAGGTATCAAATGCTGCAGAGATATATTTTTTCTCCTTCCTAGCTCATAGTGTCAAAAAATGACCGTCATATTTTTTTCATGTGTATATTTGAAATGAATACTTTGGACTTTCTGTTTAAGATTAAGAAAAAATGATTTACCATTTTTTTTTAATTTTTGAATATTAAGCATGTAATTATTTACGATGCAAGCTTTTCAAACAGTTATATTGCAATTTTAAAAGTCGTTATATTTTTTATGTTAATTAGGGACAATCGAGAAGCAGACGACATCCAGTGCCAACCCGCAACGCAGCAGACGTCAGGTGACCAAACTGTGAAATCTACTCAACATGGATACTTAGACATGAGCAAATTTACAGGTGTCTGCTCAAAGCCACAGGCTACTTGCACTCGGCAAATCAGTGAGAAGTTACTACAAGATGCTATAAGAAATGAGTTGACTAGCAAGAAGAAATCAAAGAAAGGATTTTTCACCAGCGCATTTCGCTCTATTCTCGCTTGTTTTGGAATTAAAAATGACAGAAAATGTAATGATCCGTTTGGAAAAATGTTAAAGAAGTAAATCTATTTTGTGTTTTAAGTATATGATTTATTTTTGTTAAATATAAAGTTAATCGTTTTACAAATGTCGTGATTTTGTTTTCATTGGGGTTTTATTTACATAAAGGTATGCATGCATGATATTTAAAATATATGACATATAGAAATAAATATATAAATCATCAAGTAATTCTTGGCCCTTGTGGCAGGAGTTGCCTAAAAGGGTTTTATGGCATCAGAATTTTCAGCCACCGTTTACTTTGTTTTAAGCCTGCGTGATCTTAAGAGATATGAGATTGTAACACCCGAAGTTAGCCAAAATCATCTTTTCTGTTTCGGCTCCATATTACCTAAACTGTGTTGATGCGCCGTAAAACCAAACAAAAACTGTCACAGGAGACAGCGAAGTTCGACTAATAAAATACTGGACGCAGTAAGGTAGACAGAACTATGAAAGAAAAATCAATTATGTATAATTATGTATTAAGTTATAGTAACAAAATAACATTTGTTAACATAGATTCAAAGTTCAAGGGAGAATAATTCTGGAAATAGTCATGCTAGAGTTATGAACCTTGTCACACAATATATGTTTAATGATAAGAAATCTATATTTGAAGTTTGAAGTAGATACCTTAAAATGTAAAGTAGTTATAATATATCTTAAAGAAAGTCCTAAATTCAAAGATAGATAAATCTGAAAATATTGCTTCAAGAGTTATGAACCTTGTCACATAAGATGTAATTGATGATAAGGAATGCATATTTGAAGTTTTAGGTAGATACCTTTAAAACTAAAGAAGTAATAGTAAAAAACAACATTTTCCAAGTAAAAAATAAAAAATCTAAGTTTATGGGGGATCATTCTTGCAATAATGGTGCGTTATGAACCTTACCACATAACATGTGGTTAATGATAAGGAACATATATTTGAAGTATTAAGTTGATCCCTTAAGAAATAAATAAGTAACAGTAAAAAAAGAATTTTTAAGGAAAATTCTAAGTTCAAGGGGAGATAAATCTGAAAATATTGGTGCTAGAGTTAGATAATCTAAGATGTGGTTGATGATAAGGAACATGTATTTGAAGTTGATACCTAAAGAAATGAAAGTTATAGTGAAAAATATTTTACTGCACCAAAACTTTAATGGCGAATAGGACAGCTCTCCATTTACTTCGTATAGTCGAGCTAAATACGAATCAAGTAATTCCTATTATGTCCAAACAGTAATGCGTTCAACATTACTGGCAAAATTCTCTTCTAAATAACATGAATTATGTCTCTAAGGTCCAATGCCAATACACCTGAATATAAATGACTTGACCTTTAGTTGGAGCAATGTGGCCTTTTCTGGCAATGGATCTCCTGTGAAAAATGTAGGACTATCATAGAAAAATATGACTGGACAAAAGTTTCTGCTGTTTTAAAGCTCCTTTTCGTGTAAGCTACAACGGACTTGTACATTGCACATTTCTGCATAACAAAACATCAGGAATTCACGGATTATGAGGAATGTTCCAAAAAATGACATTTGGCTGTTTTCACACACATTTATTAATCCTTGATCCTGCCCTTTAAAGTACTTCATACTAGTTTTGGGGCGACGACTTTCGTAACGTTTTAGTAACAACAAAGTTCTATAAGCTAAGCAAATGAGGTATCCAAACTAGTGTTCTTTTTCTCTAAGATTTCGATTTTTTCAAAATACTGTGAACACGTGCTAGCGACAAGTTTGTCAGCGAGCCAATTGCGTCACGGTATATATTGCGATTTGGTGGATTTTTACATGTTATTATTGGTTGTAAATGTTGCAGAGCGACCTTATAGACAGGACTGACTTTGAGAATTTGGCTCCCTATAAGATGCTAGAGGCATTCTGTAGTACAAGTGGCATCTTGGTGTATTTAACCTATTTAAGGTTTGCTGAATCCGGTGAAAGTGGATACCAAATTGAAAAACTTGATCTTGACCACTGAAATGGCCATTTAAAATGGCCAAATTTCTTTAACATGAAATGGATGATATATCAAATGGATGGATATCAAAGGCATCTTTCTCTATCGGTCGTCGTCTTCGTTCTTCTATTATCGGTCCTCGTCGCAGTTCAACTTTTTGTCAGATGTTCTTTTATCGGTTCTCGCCTCTGTTTTCGGTCGTCGTCTTTGTTCTTCTGTTATCGGTTCTCGTCTTTGTTCTTCTCCGTTCATCTGTCATCGGTTGCCGACTCTATTCTTCTGTAATCAGTCCTGGTCTCCGTTTTCTTGTTGTCAATTCTTCTGTTATCGGTTCCCGTCTCTGGAATCAGTCCTCGTCTATGTTATTCTGTTATTGGTCCGCGTCTCTATTTTTCTGTTATCAATCCTCGTCTCCGTTGTCTTGTTGTCAGTTCTTCTATTATCGGTCACTGTCTCTGTTCTTGTGTTATTGGTCCCCGTCTCTCTTCTTCTGTTTTTGGTCCCTGTCTCTGTTCTTCTGTTATCGGTCCTCGTATCTGTTCGCTTGTTGTCAGTTCTGCTGTTATCGGTCCCTGACACTGTTCTTCTGTTATCGGTCCCTGTCTATGTTCGCTTGTTGTCAGTTCTTCTGTTTACGGTCCCCGTCTCTATTCTTTTGTTTTCGGTCCCTGTCTCTGTTCTTCTGTTATCGGTCCTCGTTTCTGTTCGCTTGTTGTCAGTTCTTGTCTCCGTTCTTCCTTCTGTTATCGATCGTCGTTTTCGGTCTTGTACTGTCGGTACTTGTTTCCTCTTCCGTTAAGGTCTTCTCTTGTATACTATGGTTGCCGTCATTCTGTGTCGATGTCCTGGTTTTGTCAGTCTTGTAGTCATTTTTCGTTCAGTGGAGTAGCGGGGGATCGAACTCACGACCCCTTGATTTGTAGGCATACAGTTTTACCACCGCACCATAGCGCCCGCTCTGAATAATAACCATTTTTGAAAGTCCTTTATACATTAAATACTATTTCAATGGCTAACAAAGGTGTATTACAATTATATTTTAACACCTCTACTATGTAGCCAACCCTCGTGACTTTTATATATGGTCAAAGAAAATATTACTCGATTTATTACAAGTAATATTTTTACAGATAGCTTTGCTGTTACTTAAAGATATCCTGGATTTATTGGAGGGTACCCGGAATTCTAATGTATATCAAATGATGTGATATTCTTCATGTAGAATTTTCTCAAAACCGTGACTGAATTCCAAAATTTTCGAGAGCTGCCATGGTAAAGCAAGCACACGTAGCAATCTCCCGGTTTCAGACATTTTATGACTCGATGAAAATATGGTGTTGTTATTGTTGTTGTTGTTTTTAACTTTAACTTTAAATTTCAAATAAAATAGTCACTTATTTTTAAACAAGATGGTAAACATTTGGTGTTTTCTGTAATTTTTGTTAAGAATGTGATGAAGTATACACTTCTAAGTTTAAGATGACTTTTTATCCATCGTATACCCTAATGCAGTTATAATTGAATCTAAAAAATGAATTATGCAGATATTATTTTCAGCAGAAAACAACAAATACAAACAAAACCACACACAAAAAAACTTTGTGTAATGTTCACAATGTGCTGAAAAACGGCTCATTCAATATTTCAATATTTCAGCAAGTGACATATTTTATAAAAGAATGGGACAGAAATGTTGTTGTAACCATTTAAAAAGTAGGATTTGTAAAAAAAATTGGATATTTTTTACCTAGTTTGCTCAACACTCAATTAACACATTTTTATATATAAACCTGCGGTAGAAAACAACTTTCATAGATTGAGATAGAGCCATAATGTCGTAGATATTTGGGTTACAACAGGAGTTTTTGATCCTGATAATGTTTTAAGTAGGATAAACATATTAGAAGCTTATATTCTTAAAATTTTGTACTGCCTTAATTCGTTTTTTTTTCTTAAATACGTGCAATTATGTTATTATTATGTCTTTAGTTAATAGTTTCTAGAGAAAAGGCTGAACAAAGGTGGTATCTTTTATTTTATATATAAGTTTTATAATGTGTCACATGTCGCCTTTAAAAAGATTTTGTGGTGATTTTGCGCATACTTAATCCCGCTTTTGCATGTTGGAACAACAAAATTCTATTTGTTTGTATTCACAGCCTAATTGCTTATTTTGTATTGACCTGTCAATTATGAATACATTACAGCACTCATTGAAATATTAGATTCCACTTCGATTTCGTTAGTAAAGTTTACGAGAATTAATAGAGGATATTTGTTTGTTTGTGTGTAAGATGAAATTTTATTTCATCGAGTGGGCTCCCACGAGTGGCGTAGCCACGAGTGAGAATACTGTTCTTAAAGTTCACGAGTATAGAAAACTATAAAACTAATTTTAGTGAAAGTCATATCTGCTAAAAATGTAAACGTTATTGTACCATAGCCGGTTAAGTGATTGACTGATGTGTGAGAGGTCTATGGTTCGGTTCCTACTGTTTCCCTTTTTTAAGACCTACTGTTTTTTTTGTTATTTGGGGGTGGGGGATGGTTGCAGTATATATTTTAAAACACTTTTGTCTCGGTTTGTGTTGTGTATATGGCATTGAAATGACATTTTTGACATTTCAAAATAATTGAATTAAATATTAATTTTAAATCATAAATACTTTAATAAGTGCAAAATAAATGAAAACAAAATGAACAACTTAAAAAAACCATAGCTACAAATAATGTTGAAAATTACGGAACACATGTAGTGACATTTTCCACACTTTCTCCCGGAATTGTATTTACGAGATAATAATTCCCAATTAGAAATATTATTTCGTTTAAACGAAATATAAAATCTTAATTACGAAATATTGATTCGTTATTACATGTACGAAATATTATTTCGTAATTACGAAATATTAATTCTTTATTACGAAATATTATTTCGTATAGTTACGAAATATTAATTTGTTATTATGAAATATTCATTCTTTGGTAATATTTATAAAAAAGGATTTGAAACTAAGTTTAGTCTTTAAAAAATATAAGTCAAGTAAACAAAACATAAACAGTGATTTTTTTTCAATCTAAGTCTTATACCTTAACGCGCTGTATATAACTGTTTATTGAGCCATTAGGCTTATTATCGTTATATTTGGTGGCCAATCTCATTAAATTCTGATCATATTGAATAATCATTTGATTTTGACAAGAATAATTAATTGCATCATATTGTATCATAGTTTTAATGACCTATTTCAGTATTTTTAAGCGGCCATTTTGAATTGACGTTTTGAAGGTCAAGGTCAATTTTATTATCTTGGTATCCACCCTCATCGTCTTCAGCATACCCATATTAGGTTAAAACTCTCAAGATATACTTGTACTATAAAATGCCTCTAGCATTCATATTTTCTTAAAATCAGTCCTGTCTATTAGCGGGGAGCATCTTTGAGGTGTTCGTAACCAGTTTTGAATTTAGCAATCCACCTACAAACAGACCTATGTGACACTTGGCCATTCCCATATATACCACAGACCTCACGTTGAATATCTACGGTAAGGACATGCCTTTTATATAGGCCCTAATCTCAATTGCATTTTTGCTCTTTTGCCAAACATTTTGACTATCATGTAATGAATACCTATATAAAGCAATGCACTGAAACATGAACTTGTCTTCCGTTACATAGAGGATATTTGTTTAGTTCAGTGTAAGATCGGAATATATTTCACCGAGTGAGCACCAAAAAGGTATATTCCACGAGTGGCGTAGCCACGAGTGAAATATGAACTCTTGGTGTTCACGAGGTGAAATATTTTTCGATCTTACACTAAACTAAACAAATTTTCTCTTTATTATATGCAAAGAAACGTTTAAAAAGACATTTAATTAAACGTAATACTTAATGAAAAGCGCGCCAAATTATAATACAACGTGACGTCATTTACGACGTCACGTCATTAAGTTGGTTTCCAGTACTGTGCACGCTGGTATTTCATTGAAACAACGTAAAGGGCTTAAATTTAAAACAATGAAATTTTCAAATTGATAATTTCACTGTTTGGAACAGTGAAATTATCAGTTTTATATTTCACTGATATATTTCTATAAACCATCAAAAACATGTAATAAATGGAGGATATTTGTTTAGTTCAGTGTAAGAACGGAATTTATCACACACCCGTGCCGATTTTGCGACTCCGTAAATATGGTATTGCACGGTCGTGCATATATTTTGACGTGACGTCATTAGCGTCATACAAACATAGTGTAAAGACGCGCGAAATGTTAGCGTTATACTATAGGCGCGTCAATAAAAATGACTCTTATTTCACTTTAAACGGTCTTTTTTTGGGTATGTGATAAATAGAATATTAAATTCGTGTAAGTTCATTACTGAATTTATTGCACTAGTTGAATAAAATAATATTATGCTCGCCAGAGGCTTGCATAATATAATTTTATTCAACTCGTGCAATAAATTCAGTATTGAACTAACACTCATTCAATATCCTCTACTTATCACACACCCGTGCCGATTTTGCGACTCCGTAAATATGGTATTGCACGGCCGTGCATATATTTTGACGTGACGTCATTAGCGTTATACAAACATAGTGTAAAGACGCGCTAAATGTTAGCGTTATACTATAGGCGCGTCAATGAAAAATGACTCTTATTTCACTTTAAACGGTCTTTATTTTGGGTATGTGATAAATAGAATATTAAATTCGTGTAAGTTAATTGCTGAATTTATTGCACTCGTTGAATAAAATAATATTATGCTCGCCAGAGGCTCGCATGATATAATTTTATTCAACTCGTGCAATAAATTCAGTATTGAACTTACACTCATTCAATATCCTCACAGATTTTTTTAAAATTTTGATTATTAAGCATGCCATAATTTACGATCAAATTTTGTAACAGTTACAGATTGCATTTTTATAAAAGTCGTTATATGTTTTTTAATGTTAAACAGGGACAATCGAGAAGCAGACGACATCCAGTGCCAACCCGCCATCCAGCAGACGTCAGGTGACCAAATTGTGAAATCTACTCAACATGGAAACTTAGAGATGGCCATTACAGAAACCTGCCCAAAGTCAAAAGCTACTAGCATTCGGCAAATCAGTGAGAAGCTACTCCAAGATAATACAAGTAAAATGGTTTCCTGCGGGAAACATTTTTAATGATATAAAGATATTTCATTTAACTATTTTCAACATTGTTTGGGGAAAAAATAAATACACGTTTGTATCAGGAATATAGTTAAAAATAATCGATCAATAGAAGGAGGTTTATGGAGACTGGTGACCGTTGAAGACCGGAGGCCGGAGAGAATGTCGAACATAAAACAATTACGGTATTTCTTTTTAAGAAAATGATTAAATACTGGTACCATTGTATGAATAATTCCGTGCAAAATTTACACAAATTTACGCAGAAAATATCTCTATTTATTATGGAAGATGCCTCTACGAATGTTTTGTAGATTTTCACTATAAACAATTTATTGTTTGTAAAATTTGAGATAGATATTAAAGAAACATTGATCATTGATAATATTTTTTTTTCAAACACATCATGCAAGATTTTCCACCTTAAACGGTAAAATAATTATAGAAAATTGGAAATATCACGTAATGGTTCTATGTTCTTAATCAGATGTAACTCGAGGTAAATCCGTAACGTACCGGCTAACGGTATTTAGTAAGGTTTTCGAAAAGGTCAATTAACCAATCATGTACGGTTAATAGATCACATGCTCCTCCATGTACCGAAAACAGGTCACGTGCTCCTCCATGCATCAAAAATTAAACGCGTAGTAATACCCTGCGGGCTCCGGCCCGCAGGGAATGATTAAGCAGGAGTTCATGTATAGAATCTGGAAAAAAGCAGTTTCATGCCGATGTAGTTTCACTTGACTTAAAACGGGCTATGTTTAACCTTGGAACATACCATACGATGCTTTTCTAATGCAATTAACAAATAGACTCGTCCGATTTAAAGGGGGGAGGGGAACACAGTGTATTTACTGAAAACGAAAAACTAATCTAAACACGCAAAATAACAATTATATGGTAGTTCAGATACAAGGTGTGATGAGTAATAACATATTTGTCGGGTTTTTTTTAACCAAACTTTGCTTCTTTTGTTAAATGATCACAATCATACTGTTTTCCTATCGTCTGCTGCTAGTAACTGTGTTTACCTCTAAATTTACAGTAAAACTTCCTGATATCAAAATGGCGCTGTCCATTGTACAAAATGGCACGCTCCATATATTTTCTAAATGCTTTGGATTTCTAGGTGAAATTTAATATCGGCACGTCTCAGTGAATTCCATCAAACATAGTTCTTCCTTCTCATAAAAAGGAAGAATAAGTCTGTAAAACGTGATGCTTGAATGGGTAATTAATTTACTGAGAACATAATTAAATTTGTGTGAGTAATCTCCCTGGTAATTATTAATGCCGCCAAGGAATTAAAGGGAAGTTATTTTTAGGGATTGATATGTCTTTAGAAGCAATGCTCCCTGATAACTTGAAATGCCGTTATGGTTCAAAGGAAATTAATTATTGGAGGATTAAAGTGAAGGATTAAAGGGGAAGTAATTTTGTTCTATGTCCAAATGCTGTTGCCAATGCAATTGAATTAGTACAATATATATGACAACAGACGTCAGTGCTAGGAGGCGTGGGTAAGGGCACACATTATCCACTATGAAACCGATAATGTAATATTTCAAATATGGCTGTGTTGGACGACCTCCATAGTTCGCTCCTTCGACTTTTTTTTCATTTTGGGTGAGCATTAAATAGACACAAATGTCGTGTGACTATAACTTATACAGTAAAAGATGTCAGTGTTCCCGCATTCATAAGTTGGTAAACATATGTCAAATTTCAACGGCGCACATCTGAAAATGGGTTTCGTTATCAAATATCATATTATCTCTCTGGATTTATTTATTTCGATGCATGTATATTCATTTGACAAAAACTTTTTCGGAAAATCGAAATGTCTACCTGATATATTATATGGGTGCACATTCATAACGCCTGGAATATTGCCAAATGATATAATACAATAGTTGTCACGTTTGTAACTGAAAAAAAATCTTGAAAAAAGGAGACCCCCTGTATATTCAAATTATTTAACTTCACTAATCATGGTTGGAAAACATAGAAGACGGCGAAAACGTTCAGAGAAGCAAGAGTGGAGCAATTCATCTCTGTTTCCTTCTGGTGCCCACATGAACGGACAACCTGAACGCGTCAACGATCAACTTGACATTAGTGAGCGGAATACAAACAGTGGATTTGTAAGATTGTTCCATGTCATTGGTTTACATAGAATACTACCAGGAGGTCGAGTTGCGAGGAAACCTGACATTGTATTTCTGGTTCCAGTTGATGAGGAAGAAACTGGACGAAGGCAAAGCATTCAAGCAGCAAGGAATGAACAATCAGGTACACACGAAATAACTGATTCGCCACTACTTTTCATAGGATTCGTACTGTTTTGTTTATTCGTCGTGTTAGCTCTCACAGTGCTATGTAGCTAATGCACAAGATTTTCTGTATGAAATTTTGTTAATATATCTACTTGATTTAATTTCAAGAAAACATGGACTAATTTATTGGCTTCGGGGATATATAATCATTTTCTGAAATGACAATACTTAATCTCTACTTAAAATTGTTTAAGATTGTTTACGTGCAAAGATAAAGAAGGTTTGCGTTTATCAATTTTCCGAAATCACTCAGTATTTTCCGACTGTATAGATTAGGCTACTTGGTTTACCAATATTCTAAATATAGCAACCAATCGTGCCCCGATAACTGCATAATGAAAGCAAGAGATGCTAAATTGCAAAATTTTGGAAAATACTTTTAAGATAAAGTGGTGTATAAAGAGTCGCTTGAAATGAACAAGGAATTAATTATATTTCAAACAAAGAACATATAAGTATTGTTATAAGATGAATAAAGAAAAAAAGAAAGAATTGAATTTGGATATGTGCCGAAAGAATTCGGAAAGTAAACTCAAAAATAACGTTACCGGAGATGTTAAGAATGAGAAATTAGTAACATTGGATGCAGCAAAGAAAGATAGACCCCGCCGCAAAGCAAAAAAGAGGAAATCAAAGAAAACCACAGATTCAACGAATGAATTGGCATCGACAAAACATAAGGACACGTCTACTAGTGGTGACCGAAAATCGACAGAATCAAAAAACAAGACCACAGCAGCAAAACAAAGTAACACACATGTATTGGAAGAAAAACAAAAAATCAAACCAGCAAAAAAGGTGAAGGTCACACCTTCGAAGAAAGAAGAAATCAAATTCCGGCCGTCAGAAATACGTTATTCACAATCGTCTATTTCGAAGCAATTTTCAGATGGCACAGATATTGGACAGTTATTAGATGATATATATTTCGGCCGATGTTTCGCTTCAGATATTCCGCAAATTGAAATTTTAAACCTGAAAGGAAAATGGGTTTCAGCAGACAACAGGCGACTTTGGGTGTTCAAGCAACTCGAGATTCTAGGAAAAATCGACTTCATCAATGTCAAAGTCTCGAGGAAAATTTATTCTCGAAAACTTACGAGTGAAAATGGTGGCAACAATGTTGAAATACGAGGTGAGAATCCAGGTGGAAAATTGTATCTTTTGATAAACAATGTGAAAACTGAGAAAATTGAAGATGGTTTGAATGAGAAATGCATTGTTTCAGCAATAGAAAGCTCACAAAAACGAAAAAGAAGCGCTAAGATCAATAAAAAAGAGCAACAAAATACCGATTCAAATCAAAACGAACTAGTTAATAGTTCAAATTACTCCGAAACTAACACAAGTGGAATGAATGTATGCCAAGAAGCTAGAGAAATAGAAAATGAAAAATTACATCATTGGCAAGACCTTTCCGATGAATTCAATGACTTAACGTTTTATGACAGTGATGAATGGACAGATGATGACTTTCCTTACACTTGTCATAGTGATGATAATCATACATTTACGGAATATATACAGGATAATCCTTGGGGTGAATGCGAAAAACTTCTAAAAATGATTCAAGTCGAAAACGCGTTTGATGAATATAGTGATAGACAATCTACGTTAGCACAATGTAGAACTTTCCGTCTGTTCAGATAGCTCCGACCTTTCGGTATATTTTGATGAAGTAACAACGAACGTGACAAACAATGACTTTTCCAGTAAGGTTTTCGAAATTCCAAGAAAAGAAAGCATTCCTTTCTCGAAAAGTCTTTTTGAGAATCCGTCAGCGCAAACGGAAGTTGGTATATCATTTGATGATCTTGTACCCGGTCATTGGAACGAATGGCCTGATATTCCGGCAACACCTGGATTCAGTTACGGACCTGAAAGTTATTCGGATCTATGTGGAAACCTTAACTGTAGTCGATGTTCACGGATGATTTTCTACCGTGAAATTGACAAGGGGTATTACTACGAGCCTCCATGCCAATACATAACTGCAGGGTACAGATCACGTCAACATTCAGTATTCAAAAACATTCTGAAAATGATTCGGTTTTAAACAAAAATATCCCGCGGTATTGAAACATTTTCAGGCTTTTTAAAGGATATATATTTCGTTGATTTCGTATAACCTTTATTTTTTCTCAAGAGCAAAAATGCTGTCGTTTTTGTTGTTGTTGATTTTTCTTTTATTTTTTGTTGTTGTTTTTGTTGTTAATTTTGTTTTTGTTCTCCATATTTCGATACTGAATAATAAATTATATTGTATTCGGAATAGAAAATATTGATTTGATTCCAATATGTTGGATTTTGAATAAAATTTATGTTTAGAATTGCTGTGAATTTTTATAATAATATTTATTAAAAATCAACTTATTGCGTTGTTTTCTTTGTGAATGAGAATCTTATATTGCATTGTCGAAGATGTTTTTAAAAAATCTAAAAATAACTACTTTCAGTTTCGGTTTGCAAAAGTATGAATCAAGCAGCTCTTCAAGGAACAAAAAACCCATTAGTTATCTTAACATTTTTAAGAAACTACTATCATTATGGAATGCCGGTAGGGACATGCCACTTATTTGCCAACTACTTAATTGCTTATTTGCTAATTGCTGATTTGCCAATTTGCTTATTTGCCAATTTGCTTATTTGCCAATTTGCTTATTTGCTAATTGCTTATTTGCTTATACATGTATACATAATTTTTTATGTTACCGTCAGGCGACACGTCCGACTCGCTAAGTTCTTGTTTAATATAAAATAACAAGTCTTTGTAGACTTTATTTCAAGCTCATGAACCTATATCATGTTAATATTATGTTTATAAGGCTTTGTTAATTATAACTTGTGACAATTATGATCAATCCATCATTACCTAGAATATAGGTAGAAAGACAGATGGATACATTTTAATCAATTTCGAAAAAAATAAATTCAGTTTCAGAAAGTAGTTTTTTTTTTTAATTATCTTGAGTTTCCGTTTTAGCTCCACTATTCAGAGAATAGGGATGCTATTTTTAGTAACTTGTTTTTCTGTCATATCTCTGTTACTTTTGCTGATTCATGCATCTTACTGCAACTTTGCATAAACTTTGCGTTACAAGCATGCATACAAAGTACATGAAGAAGCTGTGCCCGTTATATACTGAATGTCAAGGTCACCAATGTATTGTACTGAGAAACCTTTGTTTTTCTGTCATATCTCTGTTACTATAAGCAAATTAGCAATTCAGCAATTGGCAAATAAGCAAATTTGTCATTAAGCCTATCAGCCATTGGCAAATAAGCAAATCGGCAATTAGCAAATAAGCAATTCAGCAATTGGCAAATAAGCAAATTGGCATGTCCCCACCGGCATTCCATACTATCAGAGAAAATGTTATCTTTACACTTACCGAGCGATTTTTACCATTTTTAACAGCATGATCAAGTTCACAGGTAGATGTCCTATTTAGATTGTTATAAGCTGTTTATGCACGGGGGACCATACAGTGTTTGAATGGTATATACTGCTTGATGGTGACCTTAAAATGAGATTTAATTCAGTATATAAATACAGACATTTATTATATACCTATAAATTTTCTCCGCAAATACACGCAAATATTGAAGCGCAAATACGCTTCAACGGATAGAAATTTCCGTATTATGTTAGTGACAAATACGGTACCATATATGGAAGTGCCGGACTATTTTTGACGTTGGTTCCGATCTTAGCTTTGTATAACGTTGCATTTGGAAACGGGAACCAAAATTATTAAAGGCGTGGCCAGTTTGCAAGAATTACGTATTCATCCGTCAGTCATGAATTTATTTCTTGACAACTACATTTCATTTTCTGAATAAAACGTAAAGGTATAAAATAAAAGGAAAATTATGTTATAGTAGCTTTCTGAGACTATGTATTTTTCTACTCGCAACGTTGGAAAATTGATATCTCGCTCGACCTTCGGTCTCGCGAGATATCAATTTTCCACCGCTGCTCGTAGAAAAATACAAAGCCTCAGAAAGCTACTATAACATAATATTCCGTATTTATATACATATTATAAGGTTATGACTTAAATCTCATTTTAAGGTCACCATCAAGCAGTATATACCATGGTCCCCCTGTGCAGGTGGCAGTATCAGTGAGACATTGATATAATTTTGGACGGGCGATGTCAGTATGAAAAAAAGTTTGTAAAATGGGTCAAACTGTTCACGCCGAATTAATTAGGCTAACACCACCCCACCCCAATCCGCCTCTGGACCCCTGCTACATCCCTGAAAAAAGTAATTCAACACTCTAAGGCTTTCTATAAGATACCAAATTCAAAACCACCGATAAAATAATAATAAAAATATTCCACCATCAAAATTATAGCTATAGAAAGGCGGAAAGTCTACTTTAAGGGAAATCGTCGTTTCGGCGACTCAGGTGTATTCCGGCGGCATATCGCTGCATCATTCATTTACACCAATAAAAAGCACTATATAGAACTGCACAGCTCTAAAGAATATCACTATTCTAACATTGTGTATACTTTCCACCTTAATTTCTATATCTATAATTTTGATAGTGGAGAAAACATTTAGTATTACTTTATCCGTGGTTTTGCATTTGGTATCGTATACTTTGAAAAATTGACCGGAAGTAGTATTTTCTCGTGCATGCGCAATCTGCGTTGGGCAAAAAAGCGTTGCCCTACATATAAATGTAGTAGAAGTTCATAGATAATTCCGAGTAAATTTAGGGTAAAAATTAGGAAATCATATAAAATAGCTTTTTACACAAACATGAAAGATACATTTAAAGCTTTGTGGCCAAATTGCCACAATAAGGCACGGAAAAGACGACTGTTTAAGAATTCCCCCTTACGATCACGGACATGACAATGAGATAATTGTTATAAAAATGTCGAAATATATATATTATCAAATAAAGAAGTCAATTTAATTGTTGGTGAAATTGTTCTTATAAAAACTATAGAAATTTTATAACATAGAAAATAGAGGTTTATTATTATTCTGAAAATAAGTCGGAACACGTAATATTTAATACATTTTTAGTTTTTAGCTTACCTAATATTATCCTTGATCCGACTTGACTGTGATGCCAAGTAGAAACTTTTTAAGACACATAGATATATTTAAATAATGTTTCAAACTCTTGATAGGTTAAGATGAGTTATGAAACACACATTTTATCCGGTTTCTCGTAAAACATTAGAATGCACGACACGTACACTATTTAATTGTCACTTCACAAAATTAATAAACATTGATGGTATAAACTTAAAAAGTTACTTAAATTACGATGATTTCATAATTTTATGTGATTAACTATGTCATGGTACTTAAACGTCCCGGTTGAATGATACGTAATAGTTATAGCACATAAAACGAGTTAGTTACGAGGATATAACACTGGCTGGGGCGACATCAAGGGGTGTTTCTGCTAAAAAATGGCAAGGCTGTTAGGCCGAGACAATTATTTTTTTCAGAAACATCTTTGTTTGACTCCCAAGATTGACTTGCAAAACCTCAAGTGCACGCGCTCTATTTCTTTTGTTTTCGAGAAACCCCAAATCGGACAGGCATAGTTTAAGATCGAACCGACAGATAACGATGGGTTTAATTCATATTTATTGATATTGTTTAAAAGTATGTTTGAAGCTTTAATCGCCTTTCCAATAACGTACTGCTTATGCAAAACGAATGAACCGGTATAATTAAACACGACCCCCAAGTAATTAAAATCATTTACTACTTCAAGAGGTTGGTTGTTATAATACCAGCGCTCTTCTTGCTTAACAGGACCCCTTTTACGGAACACTACGACACTAGCGCCGCCTATCGCGCTGTTTTCGCTTGCTTTGGTGTTAAAAGTCATAGAAAATGAAAGGATTCATTCGGAAATTGTTAAAGAATGCACTATGTTTTAAATCGTTTTATTTTAATGATTCATTTGATAACGTAAAGTAAAATTATTGATTTTTTTAAACATGTCTTCGTTTTGTTTTCTTTGGTGTTTTATTTAAATGAATGTTTACTTGACAGAAATATAATACTTAATGATACGTGAAGGCGCGAGGCAAGTTTTTTAAATCCAGTGTCCCTTTAGAGAAAGAAATGAGTTGATAGACAAGAAGAAATATAAACAAAGGATTTTTCAGCAACGCATTTCGCTCTATTCTCGCTTGTTTTGGATTTAAAAATGACAAGAATTGAAATGATCCATTCCGAAATTGTTAAAGAATGCACTTTGTGTTAAAATCGTTTTATTTAAATGATTCATTTTGATAACGTAAAGTAAAATTATTGATTTTTTTTAAAAAGTCTTCTTTTTATGTTCTTTGATGTTTATTTAATTAAATGAATGTTTACTTGAAAGATATATTATACGTTAATGATACATAAAGGCGCGAGGCAAGTATTTTAAATGCAGTGTCCCTTTAGACTTTTGGTCGAATATAGGTGAAAATTAATGTATATCTGTTTCTAGTATTTTCTCAGAACTTTGCGAACAGGAAACATGTTGTTATCAAGAATGACAATTTTCTGTCCAGAATAAACAAGTTGATTTGGTGAAAGCTTTGATACAATACAGTGGGTAATATAATATTTCAACGAAGAAGATTGAACTTTGAATAAGTTTCAGGCCATGTACTATTTTAACCAAATAACAATTAAATTTAACCATTCACAAACGCACATATAATGATTTAATAAAAAAGAGTAATAGTCAGCCTTGTAAATGTTAAAGCCTGCATGAAAAGTTAAAATTTCTATGACTTTGCGAAGTACGTTAGCAGAAAGGTCATGGCCACGTAAAGATCAAAGTATGTCCTTATTTGCCTAGAAAAGAATAGACCGCGAACAGTCTCAATCAAACCGATTCTGAAATTTTAACATAATATTGATGGTTTATTTGTGTCTGAGGATCTCCCCTTTTACATACTTTGTTATTTGGTATTAGTAGACTGAATTATTCCATTGAGCTAAAATAGATTACCTACAGTGTGTAAAGAGTCGGTGTCTATAAAATATTAAACTTTTTAAACATGTAATAAAAGCCAGTCAATCCATTCACGGGGTAAGTTTTCAACTTTTTAAACATTTATGAAAAATTAAAAGCTGTTTTTGTAAAAAAAAAAATGTGATTCTACCCTCCTGACTTTCCTCTATATTTATCCATGTATGTTTCGAATTTTTATGATATCCTTCGGTCGTGGCTTCTGGTGTGTCCAAAACATACATTACGTATGAAGAAAGTGTCACTACACATACTCAAAATATAGTTTTTACAAATTTTACAACCGCATGATGCTTAACATTCAAACAAACCCTTATTTAAACATTTATAAAGAGTTGGCTCCAAACAAAGAAAACGCCGGTCAAAATTCCATTTCAACTCCATGTGTGCTGGAGAGATCCATATGTGCATATAAAATATCATCATTATGACGGATCACTTTCAAAAAGCAATCTATGTTTCTATCTTTTGTTTATCCTTCTGTAATTAAAACTAATATCTGAAAAAAGACGGATTTTCTCAATTGGAGCCTGAATAGCATCATCCATAAAGAAATAGATAAAAGAAATTCAGCATACTAAAGATATTGATTATAGATTTTATATTGATTTATTTTAAACGTACGTATAAGAACTTCTATATCGTCACTAATGCTGACGTAAAGTTTTTAAAAAAAATGTAGTTTGAGAAAATAAAACCGCCCTGGTCACTTGTTACATAAAGATTATTTCCAATTATTTCACACCTTAGTACAATGTGGACAAAGATTTGGTATATTTTTATTTGTCAGTTGTGACCTGTTTTATATATATATTCTGCAGCATATATCAAGCTCGACTGGAATTTGTACCAGCGATTCCTTAATTTTGACCCATATCTTAATAAGTGTTTCAAAAAGGGTTTGTTTGAATGTTTAGCATCGTTCGGTGGTAAAATTTCTTTAAAACTTACTCTTTGATTTTTCACATATGGTGTTATAGTACACATCTTGATCAGCGGAAATTTACATATAATTTTAACTGATTATCACTTTTTAAGACCCATATGGAGTTTATAGGTGGTGACTTCATTATCACTGGTCTGAGTTGTGGATTCAAATTAAGAATAAAAAACAGAATTAGGACTGAAACTGGTGGTCTTAATTAACAGTTGGTAAGCGGGCTGTTCTTAATTGTAGATCATGTAACCATTGACACTGATAAACAATAAAAAATTCCGTTCTTTTAAAAATGGTCTTAATAGCGGGTTTGTCGTAATTCCGGGGTGGTCTTGAGTAGAGTTTTTTTTTCTAAAAACGAATGCATGGTCTAAACTGACAAATGTTGAAGAAGTTACGGCATCGGTCATTATGTTTTTTATCAATTGTTTTATAAAGACATTTTAACTTTTCGTATTGAGACGTGTAAAAACGTGGTGACAAATGGCCTGCCCAACTGTACTTCAGTACTTTGATTCTTCAGGAGGAGTCAGTATTATATGGAAGCGCAGACTGGCCTGGTTCTTTACTGTTTCTTTTTCAGGCTACCACTTTCGTTTCCAGCAGGTAAAGGGTTAAGATTTGCCACTCAGTGCAATCGCGACTCTAAATTTCCCTCTTTCCTACAAATGTGAAATACATGTAGAATTATTGTATTTTACCTTGTATTTTACATTGGTACGAATTAAAAACGTATCGCTCATTCTTATCAATTCCTGCTAGATTAACTCTAAAAAATGGTATGTTTACAATATTCTTTCCATACACAATTTTATGAAGCTAAGCAAGGACAATAAATGATCAAGACTCTCGATTAATCTTTCGCCATGTTTATTGGTAACGCTTGTGTAATATATTCTAATGTTAATTGAAATAAAAATTAACGATTAAGAAAATTGATCAGAGATTAAAAGATTTATGTCAGAACCATCCTGCTATACTTCCATTACGTCATTAACGTTGTAATGACGTTATTATAATCTTATTTTGTGACGTAACTTGTCATAGAAACGACGTTCCGCAACATAAGATATCAACAGACTACGGTATGTGGATGCGTTTTTATTATCATTATTTTTAATTGCTTTATTAATTCGTTAACCGAATGTAATGGTCAGTAAAGTGTTTCAAAATGTTACACAACTAATTGAGTTATAATTATCATATATATTTTAGCTCGATAGTGATAAAATATTAATTGATCCTTTCTCAAAGTCCGCTTCCTCACATGGTTATGACTCCAGTATGACTCAAAGGTTTAGAAAGACACCTTAATAGCAAAGTATTCTGCCACTATCAATGTGTAGTTTTGAAAAAGTGTAATTATGATTTCTGTTCTAATTTACACAACAATATTTCAAATAAATCAAATATGTTGAACAAACTTATTTGGTGCGAGTACACTAAAAGTCTTATTGAATATAAAAATCTTTTTTACAGTGAATTATGAACAGGTTATCAAGAAACGACTGCAAAGCTCACTCAAGAATGAACAGAAATTGTTCATCAAAAAGGGCAAAGTCTTTATGTGGCACAAATAGAAGACACGATTCCCAAAGAAAATTGACAAATCGAAGAAAAGGTAAGATTAAAAAAATTCTCATAACTGGTCCTGTCTAGATTGTGTATCAAATGCTTAATTAAGAGAATTTTATTGTACAATTTAAAAAGGAAACTTCAGATAATGTTATAAAACTTGATAACATTTTAGTTATAATTTGCCTTACAAGGCAATAGCAAATTTTCGGTTCCCTCTCTTGCATCATCATAAAGTTGTTCACTAGATTTTTACATTCTGTTTTTCTTTATATTATCAGCTGATGATAAGACCTCACAGAAGAAAAGGCGAAGTAAGAGCGTTTTACCACCACAAGGTCAGAGGAGATCGATGCCACAAAAACATGGTGAAGTTGGACAGCGCAAAAGACGAACACACAGACATAAAAGTTCTAGAGCTGAAATAAGGAACCAGTCTGCATGTGGTAAATTAATTTGAAATAAATTGTTTAATAACTAATTTTGATAACGTACAGGTTTTCGGGAAGTTACAAAAATATTAAGGCACTTAAGACAATTTCTCACAACTGCTAGTTTGAAAAGATTAGTAGTGACTTATATCAAACTTGTAAAAGTGTTTTGCACGGTATGGCATTGTAATGATATTTTATTATCGAACCTGATTTCAAAGCTTGCACAAAATGAAAATGTTACAAGATAGATTTGTATGTTATTTGTGTAACTGGTACTTCTTTGCGACCAATGCATTTTCACATTTAGTATAATCACGTGCGGAGTAAATTTTAAATCTAACGTTGCATTATGCTTTAAATCGTCTCTTTTTTTTCAGAGTTGAAGATGTATCTTGACGATAATTATGACTACAATCAACATACAAACAGAAATGACAGACAAACTTCCAAAGTACCCGCTTCTCAATGGAATGATACAAAAGTGTCCGAAAATGTTTCATCAAACTGCCAACCGAAGTTGAAAAGGTATGTAATTCTTGCAAAGATGTAAATTTTTCTTTGTCTACCTCATAGTGTCAATTAGTAACAATCATTTTTTTCATTTGTTATTTTGAAATGAACACTTTCCTGTTTAAGATTAAGAAAAATGGTTTACCAATGATTTTTTTTAATTCTTGAATATTAAGCATGTAATAATTTACAATGCAAACTTTTCGAACCGTTATATTTAATTTTATAAGTCGTTATATTTTTTATGTTAAACAGGGACAATCGAGAATCAGACGGCATCCAGTGCCAACCCGCCAACCAGCAGACGTCAGGTGATCAAACTGAGAAATCTACTAAACATGGCAACTTAGACATGAGCATAACAGATATCTGCCCAAAGTCACAAGCTACTAGCACTCGGCAAATCAGTGAGAAGTTACTCCAAGATGATATTAGAAATGAGTTGGCAGCCAAGAAGAAGTCAAAGAAAGGATTTTTCACCAGAGCATTTCGCTCTATTATCGCTTGTTTTGGTATTAGAAATGATAGAAAATGAAATGACCCATTTGTTAAAATTAATCTGTTTTGTGTTTTGATTATATATTATTCATTTTTGTTGAACTTAAAGTAAACTTTATTTACTTTTACAAATATCCAAGTTTTGTTTTCTTTCATGTTTTATAAAAACAAGAGCCGGTTAGGTTTACGACACAGAGAAGTAGTGTATCCATAAAGTGTATACCAAACCAAATTTAGCACAAAGATATTATGTTATGGGTAGTTCCTGGCAAAGGCTATCAATTCTTTAAAAATGCAATGAAGAAAGCGTTTCTTGCTGATACCTCTTGTGGATTGCACTGCACTTGTACTCAATGAGATCTATCTACCTACTAATTTTCTTGTTAATACCTCTTGAATAGTGCTCAGTGAGTCTTGTCCGTGTAGTGAATTATGTTCACTGCATGAATATTGTTCATATATAGTGTCTTGTCCGTGTAGTGAGTTATGTTCACTGAATGAATAGTGTCCAGAGTATCTTGTCCGTGTAATGAGTTATACGCACTGCATGAATAGTGCTCAGTGAGTCTTGTCCGTGTAGTGAATTATGTTCACTGCATGAATATTGTTCATAGTGTCTTGTCCGTGTAGTGATTTATATGCACTGCATGAATAGTGTCAAGTGTGTCTTGTCCGTGTAATGAGTATACGCACTGCATGAATAGTTCCCAGTGTGTCTTGTCCGTGTAGTGAATTATGTTCACTTCATGAGTAGTCTCCAGAGTGTCTTGTCCGTGTAATGAGTTATATGCACTGCATGAATAGTGCTCAGTGTGTCTTGTCCGTGTAGTGAATTATGTTCACTGCATGAATATTGTTTATAGTGTCTTGTCCGTGTAGTGAGTTATGTTCACTGAATGAATAGTGTCTAGTGTGTATTGTCCGTGAAGTGAGTTATATTCACTGGATGAAAGTGTCCAGTAAGTGTTCTCCTTGTAGCGAGTTATATGAACTGAATGAATAGTGTCCAGTATGTCTTGTCCGTGTAGTGTAAGTAAGTAAATTTTATTATAGTGACATTGTGATATGTACAATATGATAACATACATATAACAAATTACAACACCCGGCCACGTTGGGCCTATAAGTCACTTTAAACTATACTGAACCAAAAAAGAAACTTTCGCAAAGTATGTGCCAGTTGTTCAAGGGTACTACTTAGATGTACACACTTATATACATGTAGTTGCTTGTAAAACTCGTTTTGTTTGCAAAATCGGTCAGCTAATCCCCGTATAAAAGCCCGATATGTTTATTCAACGTAAAAATCGAGTTTCAAAAGGATTGAAATACTGTACTTACATATCTACATTCAAATTTGGAGAAAGTTTATTTTTTGTTTCAGTATATATACAATTCATATAAATGATTTACAATAACACGTGTGAAGCATAGAAAAATTAATCGGAAATACAGTACTTGTATAAACAAGCAAAGCATATCAAAATTTCAAAAGCCAGAAATTATAAAAAAATGTAAAAACAGGATGATTATAATTCATGCACCAGACTTGTACCGGTACTATTTATTATATCTGCTCATCTTTATTTTCTGACATCGATGGACAATGGACAGTTCTGAATTCAAAGACATACAGGGCTAGTCTATTTCACAAAGTCGACAGTGTAAGGCTTAAGGAGTATTTTAAGGCATACAATTTTAGGATTACATGGTATTTATTTATTAACATACCCTCGAGCAATGATTTGAAGAATATATAATTAAACCCACTCCGTAAGTCAGCAATAACGTTTCAATATTGTTTCGAACAGTAAAAACGTGTAAATAAATTAAAAAAACATAAGATAATAATTTTTTATTTTATTTTCCATCATTAAATTTGATAAAAAATAATTTAATGATATCAATAAAATTAACAAAGAATTAAGTTGCATTTCCCTTCACATTGTCATGAAAGTAAAGGTATATAATATCAAAATAATAATATGGTAGCAGTTAACCGTATGCAATCTAACAGGCAAATAGCCAAGATTGACAGGTTGACTGTGTCATCTCAGCTCCTGGTAGTGATGAAGACATCTTTGGTCCTCCTCTCATGATGAGATGAAGGACAACCATGATGTGTGTATGTGGTCGCACGGTTGCATTTTAACACAAATGTCCTTGATGCGTGTATGTGGTCGCACGGTTGCATTTTAGCACAAATGTCCTTGATGCGTGAATGTGGTCGCACGGTTGCATTTTAGCACAAATGTCCTTGATGCGTGAATGTGGTCGCACGGTTGCATTTTAGCACAAATGTCCTTGATGAGTGTATGTGGTCGCACGGTTGCATTTTAGCACAAATGTCCTTGATGCGTGTATGTGGTCGCACGGTTGCATTTTAGCACACATGTCATTGATGCGTGTATGTGGTCGCACGGTTGCATTTTAGCACAAATGTCCTTGATGCGTGAATGTTGTCGCACGGTCGCATTTGAGCACAAATGTCCTTGATGCGTGTATGTGGTTGCACGGTCACATGTTTGCACAAAAGTCCTTGATGCGTGTATGTGGTCGCACGGTCAAACTAAATACAGATACAGTCGAGACTGCCTTAGCGACCCCCTGGTTTAAACGACTCCCTGTCTTATCCGACCTTGTTTCAGTACTCCCAACGTATTTTCCTATATAAATGGTCTGAATTAAACGACTCCCTGTCATATGTGACAAACGACCTTAATTGTCTGGTCCCAATGCAATGTTTTGTCTGATTTAAACGACTTTCACACCTTTTTATTATCCGTTAATCAGAAAAAGAATACTTATTTTAACACCCAGAGGGCCAAAATAATTAAGTCCAATTATAATCCAGTACTGTAGCAAACAAAGTCTACACACCTCTATCTCAATTACACAATTAGCGTGTATATACCGGTAGATACATGCAGGTACCAAGTGACGTAGCGTCTGTTCATGGAAAGCATGATGTAATCGATGTGTGTGTAATGTACAAAATGGCCTGAGTACTTGTGTTAGATTTTTTTTTAATTATAGAGTGCCCACGGAAGATTTTTTAGGCAGCATTTTTTTAATTTACCTTTCTATGGCTGCATAATTAATACGGAAAAAATATTGATACCGAACCAGAAAAAGCTTTGGATATGGACAATTGTTTAAAGATCCTGTAACACAATTTTTTCATGGTTTTATTTCATAAATATGATGCTCAAATTAAGATTTGTCAATATTGTAAGTTCAAATAAGCATTATTTATAAAGATACCACCCAATTTAACATTTCATGTAAATAAAGGCCATTAAAGGGAGGTAATTAGAACTTGATTTCCTATAAATTCTTAGTCAAATTTTCCAATAAGAAATCAATGCATGTAATTTATTCATTAAATATAATGTGAACAAATATTTGCAGTACACATTTTACATATTCTTTGATGTTTGAAAATTGTTTTATTTGCATAATTATATCCATAATGGACCATATATATTTTTTGGCAAGATACGTAAACACAGTAACAATATCAATCACAAAACATACAGGATCTGTAAGTCACATTGGTATATAGACAGATAGATGATATTTAAATTTAATTTTCTTTGAGACTGTATTTAGAGACTCCCTGTCATATGCGACCTTTTTCTGAAGATCCCTTGGAAAGTCACATATGACAGTCTCGACTGTAATTCACAAATAACACTAAAAAATACTCACTAAAATTACACATGACACCATTAATCACATCTCTGCTGGAAATATCATCAACACTATTAAAACACCTCAACACTAAAATTGCTCACATCATTTTCAACACTATGTAAAACTTAATCTACACTTACGTGGTAATTACTACATTATTCACTACTAAACACATTGTGATCACTACATCCTGATACAATCACTGTATCACCATACTTTTGGTTCCCCTTTAGAGTTACACTAGTTAAAACTTTTAAGTCACGGTAATTATCAGTACGATTTCTTATCATGCTTTTGAACAATGCAAATACTGAAAGCTTCACAGGTTTCAGTGTCATTCATATTGCTTCTTATAAGGTTGCTGTAAGAATATTTCCTTATCACTTAAAACACATGCCAAACATCATAATACTGCTTTAAATATAATGGTTATTATGCGAGTAAGAAACAATTAGAAGTAACTTACTGGCTGTAAGAAACAAATGTTCAGTTAAAGTTTTCATTCTTTTTCTTAAACTTTCTATACAGAAAGTGTTGAAACACTTGTACTAAATAAATTTCTTTTGGAACAGTTGTGGCTCATGTATGTTGTGACCATTATTTAGAATGTTGAAATATTTTGAATATGTGGCTTTCAGCAGCCAGGGTTGGTGTCTCTTCAATTTTATTTCCTGTCTTTGTTCCCTCTTGTGTAAAGATAAAGAGTCATATCTCTTTTAACCTACTTACCGTAATTCTGGAACAATTTATATAAACTCCTGTGAAGTTTGGTCAAAATCCAGCAAGAGGTGTAGGAGGGGATGTTGTTTAAAGAAATTAAAAACAACAACAAAAGATGGATGTCTTCAGAGGCATTGCCATCAGAAAAAAACTCACCAGAGTTCTTTGTGCTCAAGTGAAATAATAAAAGACTTCATACATTTAATTTTGGCAAACAGTTTATGGACAAGGGCAGTCATAGTAAACTTGGGACCAAATGATCTGATAGTTTTGTGATTCTTAAGCCATTGTTTCAAGAGAAACAGTTATTCAATTTAAAGGTTTTGCGATTTAAATTCTTGTAAAGTCTCAACTCAGTGTAGCTAATTAATGTAGATACCAGACGACTAACCTTTGACCTTGTTTAAGAATCTTTAGTGTGCTGGGGATATACACAAAATAAAATCATAAACAAATGCATTTTGGACAGAAAACTTTAATACTGTAAAACAAGGATGGGTACAAAAATAAACAAAATACATCATAAATATTTTCATACAGAAAGGTTATTTAAAAGCAAGCAAAATACACATTATATTTACAGGATAATGTGATCATGATAAAGTCATTTAAATTGAGCAACATAATTGCAGGAAATATCACTTGAAGAAAAATATTTTTAAAAAGACCTTCAAAGGTATTTATTCATCTTAAAAGAAACAAAAATGAGTTCATATGAAATCAAAAATTTCTTACATAATTTGTTTACATTAAACAAATTTCAACAGTAACAAAATGGATTTCTAAACAAATGAACCTTTCAAACCCCCTTTAACAAATATATCAATCTATATGTAAAAATGAATTACAGAATATGATTAAAATTAAGTGGGCCATGATGGTCCTGCAGCTCTCACTTTTCAGAATAAATGGTACCTTGGTGGATGAGGAGAAGAAGTTGTTCAAAGAATTTTTTCTCCTTCAAATTTTACCCTGAATGATGCACATGTTATTTCACCAATGTGGTCATAGATTCAAAAAAAAAGATTGAAGTAAATTTGACCAGAGCTTTCAAAGAAAATATTTCTTTTAAATACTGACATATGGTCATTGGTGGATACTGTAGTATCAATCTACCCTAAAAACTGACACTGAATCTTTTGCTCTGATGAGACAAAAAGATGAGACAAAAATTCAAAATATGATTCTAGTATCTGGTCCTACCCTGGTATCCATCTTTCCAGTTTTTAGCAATGAAAAATGAAGCCCCCGCCTTTTTTATTCAATGCAAGGTCAACTGCTTACAAACAAAATCACAAACAAAATCATGTGTTCTTTTTTTTGTAAAACAGGTCAGCCAATGACCATGTAAAGCCCCTGTGATTGGATAACCAATCAGCCAATTTGCATAAATCATGTAAACACTGGAAATGTCCCTTTCCTCCAGACTGTAATACATGATCTTTAAGTGTAAAATCAAATAATTTGAATTCTAGTTAGGCACATCAATAAATTCCAATAAAAAATAATTATCAAAATAAAATATTTCTCTACCAATCCATATACTATCAATGTCATATCATTCTGACACAATTTAAAAATTAAAGAGTGGAAGAAAATATCACAGGTTATCAAATATATATCACATGTGTACATCAAGTATTTTAATAAAGTTATCATTAACTGAATAGATAATCAATAATAATCAGCAGACCTACATATAAACATTTTTTATAAACTAGTAATTCATAGTGTTTCCATATTTTGTAAATAAGGTAAATGTGCGTCTTGTAATGTTGTAATAACGATTTAATAATGTTGTAATAATGATGTATTGTAATAATGATGTATTGCAATAATGATGTAATAATATAGTAATAACATTGTAATAATATAATAATAACATTGTAATAATGATGTAATAATGTTGTTAATTAATTTAAAAAGCAAGATGCTCATCACATGAAGAAAATATTGCTGAAGAAATAAATTGTGTTAAAGGAAGCAAAAAAGTATACAAAGAGGTATTTTAATTTCCATACAATATACCCATACCTTTACAAATTGCCAAAATGCAAACAAAGCAAAGGAAGGCACAGCTATAAGGCCAATGAGTAACATTTTGAAACCTTAACAGGAAGCCAATAATAAAAAGATTTAAATAAAGTATTTTTACCCTTAATGGGTCTTAAATGATAAAAATCAAATATATTTTGATATAAAAATTAATCAATATACCCACATTAAGATTAAAGCAATAAAACATGTGATAAATATCAATGCTCAAGATTTATTAATAAAATGAGCCGCGTCATGACAAAACCAACATAATGGGTTTGCGACCAGCATGATCCAGACCAGCCTTCGCCTCCGCGCAGTCTGATCAGGATGCATGCTGTTTGCTATCAGTTTCTCTACTTGTTATAGAGTATGTAAGCGAACAGCATGGATCCTGATCAGACTGCGCAGATGGGCAGACTGGTCTGGATCCATGCTGGTCGCAAACGCACTATGTGACACGGCTCAAATATAAAATCAATCATTTTCTAAAGGAATATATAATCTCATTGGTTAATAATGAAATGAATAATTTAAAATGATTAAAATTAGGCTATATCTGAATATCTGACATATGTGAAATATTACCTATAGTAAAGTTGTGATGTGAAAGTTATTCCAAAATTGAAAGCAGCATGCTCCCAGATTCATGCTAATTTTCGTGAAAATTTTGAAAATGTACTAAGAAAGTAAAATATTGTGAAGTGAACAATGAAATTTAAGCATTGAGAACGTCACATGCATATTAACATTAAAGTAAATTACTGATAGTGCAAAAATAAGCCCAGACTGCAAAATAACTGCCATTGCAAATAGTAATTAAACTTTAAATATTTAATCTAATGATATAAAGTATCTAAAAATAATAATAATAAATAATAATTCTTTGATTGAATGCCATGCCATGTTTTTTAAATAAGGACAAATATCATAGGGAAAATAGGCCAATATGAAGACTTTAAATATCAAAAATAAAGCATAGGGATACTCTACATGTAAATTATAAAAAAATAAATTATTATAAATGATTAGCATACACACATAATAATACTTATAATTATGGCATTATATGGCACATAAATATTTAAAAACAAAAAACAGCCTAAATAGGCCCGGACAGTTCAAGAAAGGCCATAAAATCTTATGTAATCATTAACAATAACCCAGTATTTGTAACAAATAACTTTTGATTGGATATACAATTTTCTTCTCCCTTTTTGCAACAAACATTTTGTAGAAACGGTATATATAAAATTAATTCTTTTGAAATATTTAATATTAAACAGGACTATAAGACAAATCATGCAAATCCATTTTGGCATGCTTTATGCATTCACCAGCAGCTACATAATTCTGCCATCTTTTATCACTTCATACTGCTGCTCCAGTTGCGATAAATGTTATCAAAAATATTCTTAAAATTGACAATTTACATAATTTTCAATTAAGTGAAGTAACGGATTATGTCCTAAATTTAATAGGAGTTAACCAGTTATTGCACTCAAGTGACAATATTCAAATATTGAGACATGACAGGTACAGTCCAACAAAATCAGCAGATAAAATTATTCAACCTTTAAAGTGCTAGATCCGAAAGCGTCAGCCTTTGCCACCAGTATAGAGCCAGGCCAGCCTGCACATCCATGCAGTCTGACCAGGCTCTATACTGTTGGCTGATAAACTTTAAATATTCAAATTGGTATCCCTAAAATGGCTAATGGACACTCCCAAAAATGGAAATGGGACAAGTCCATTTAAAATATTCAGCATGTTAAGGATTAAACGTGTTTCACAAGTGATTGATGTTCGAGTATTGGCGTATAATCTCTATCGTTAAGCTGATCTATAGCTCGTTGTACAGCGTCAGGAAAATGGTCAGATAACATCTTTGGGCTGACTAGAACTTGGTTGAAATCTTTGGCTGTTACCCACGATGCCTGGTAATCAGGAACACCACAACATGGTCTGAAGAAAATATAATATTGGTTTAAAGATATATCTATTTTAGCTCAATTGCGAAACAAGTTCTTGCAACTTTTATTAATCACTTCGAGTCTGCCTCCTGGAGCCAACCAGTGCTGATGTCATATGAAGAAACATGGTTGTGACCCAATTAGGGCTCAAACCAATATCCCTGGGTTGAGAGGCAGACACCATAATCACTAGGCCACTGGTCCCCTTTTAAAGAAAATATATTGTTCTTCAAATCAGTGATGTGGTACCTTAACACTTAAGCTTGTTAAATATATTTTAGTGATTAAAAGATCAGAAGCTAAAGATATGTCAAGTTGAAAATAAGATTATGATCCACTCATCTTTTCAAGTGAAGAAGAGGTCTATTTTTAGCATCAGTGACCTTTGACTTGACCCTTTAACTTCCTGAATTACCTCAACCGATTGTCTAATTTCAATGAAACAGCCCATTACATTGCAAGAAATTTAGATGTTAGTCAGCAAACAGTATAGTGCCTGGACATAATTTACAAATAAATAAGCTAGCATAGTTCTGTACTGAAGAAAAAGGCATGCAGTTTTGATCTCAGAACCCTGAACCTGATGGCACCAAAAGTGATTAGCTTATACTACCAGTATAAAGCCACATGTTCAAACTTAACCCTCATCTTGCTGGTATGTAAGCCTTTTCCATCAACAAAGAGACAGGTTAACAAAGCAGTCCATGAAGTTTGACCAGACTCTATACTTTTGTCTTACTAAAATTTTCATTTTTATACCCTCATAATTCATATAAACAATTCCAAAAATGGAAACTGGACAAGTTCATTGCACAAATTCAGTAAATTAAGAGTTAAAATACTTAATAAATAGATATAACTTACACTTTTTTGGTAGCTTCAACAATATGTAATATTTGTCCTGGTGGAAACATCTGTGGATGTGTAATCTTACACTGCTCATTGTGTCGCTGTGCTTCATGTAGGGCGTTCTATAAATAGACATGATGAAATATTATCATGAATAAAAAGTTTACTTTAACTAAAGTTAATGAACAGCAAGGATGAAATTTCATTAATGTCATAATTATGTATTAAATAGAATTTTAATCAGACAATGTAAAATAAGGTAGGTCAAAATATACTAAATTGTCTTCCTTTAAAAAAAGTTGTAGCATAATTTAATCAACAATCTGTCTCAAAGTTATAAATATCAATTACTTCTTTTGTGTAAAAACATTTTTTTCCATAAACATGTAATAATTATAATGTATATTTATTTCATCGTGCAATGCCAATGAAATTTAAGCCAATTTGAGCAAACTGACTAGAGCCCAAAAATATATTTCCTCTGGGCAATTTACTTAATTGTGATATGATGTATGTTGATGGCACAAAACTACTTTGTTTAAAATGTAAATTTGAAGATTTTTTATGACAGAATATGGGATAACAATCACTATACAAGTATACCATTTTATCCACAAACATCCATTATCCTTTGTTTTGGTAACAATTATGAATATTATTAAATTCCTTCCGTATGATAACAGAGGACAATGAATTATCTAACCCTGAATAACTTCTTATTATTACCGAGATTCAAAGTCTCTGTCATTATGTTATAGACATCTAGTCATTCATATAGCAGATTTACCATAAAGGAAAATCTAATCAAGGGAGGTAAATCTACTTTTGACAGAAAAGCAGGACTGGATTATCAAATCCTGCAAAACAGTTGAAAATAGGCATATCTAAGGAAGCTACATGCAATTTTTAAGAGAAGAATCATTATAATGTTAATGAGAAGAAGTTTTTTTTTTTAGATTTGTAATTCTTTAGTCAAGTACAAAAATGATAACTATAAATTTCAAATCAACAAAATAAAACAAGAGCTGTCGGTAGGACAGCAACGCTCGACTATTCTTAGTGCTTGATAGTAAAAAAAATGCTTGATACAGTTACCTCCTCCTGTTTACAGGTTGGGGTCATGATGGTGAACAAGTGTGCAAAATTTCAAAGCCATATGTCAATGGACTTTGAAAATATTTGAACTATTACAAAAACTTTAACGTAAATTCTAAGTCGAAAAAGGGGCATAATTCTGTCAAAATGCTTGATAGAGTTACCTCCTCCTGTTTAGAGGTTGGGGTCATGATGTTGAACACAAGTGTGCAAAGTTTCAAAGCCATATGTCAATGGACTTTGAAAATATTTGAAACTATTACAAAAACTTTAACGTAAATTCTAAGTCGAAAAAGGGGCATAATTCTGTCAAAATGCTTGATAGAGTTACCTCCTCTTGTCTACAAGTTGGGGTCATGATGGTGAACAAGTGTGCAAAGTTTCAAAGCCATATGTCAATGGACTTTGAAAATATTTGAACTATTACAAAAACTTTAACGTAAATTCTAAGTCGAAAAAGGGGCATAATTCTGTCAAAATGCTTGATAGAGTTACCTCCTCTTGTCTACAGGTTGGGGTCATGATGGTGAACAAGTGTGCAAAGTTTCAAAGCCATATGTCAATGGACTTTGAAAATATTTGAACTATTACAAAAACTTTAACGTAAATTCTAAGTCAAAAAAGGGGCATAATTCTGTCAAAATGCTTGATAGAGTTACCTCCTCCTGTCTACAGGTTGGGGTCATGATGGTGAACAAGTGTGCAAAGTTTCAAAGCCATATGTCTTTGGACTTTGAAAATATTTGAACTATTACAAAAACTTTAACATAAGTGGTTACGCCGACGCCGACGCTCGGGTGACTGCAATAGCTCTACTTATTCTTATCGAATAGTCGAGCTAAAAATGGAGAAAAAAAAACTTAAGCTTAATTTTATGAATAATCTAACTTCACTATTAAAGTAGAACAAACAAAAATAATAAAAAAAGGTCACAAAAGATTCTGAACTAAGACAACCATTTGTTTCTACTTTAAAGTTACATTAAATAAATTTCATAAAAAAAGAAATAGCGACATTTCATTAATAAATTGGGTTTCATATCGACTCCAGATCTTATTTTGGTGTCCAGTCAACCAAAATGAGTTTAATAAACATACAAATGTGCAACCTCATTGTGGCGCATTCGGAAGTACAATTTCTGTTTGCATGAGAAACTCCGCCTTCAGATCATCCGTACATCAATATTAAATCAACAAACATGACTATAAGTAGCAGTCCTAATTTAACGGTACATTTCTGCATTGTAACGGATATTTTCATACAAATTTAATCTTTTTTATGAGATGATTTTTTTTTCTGAACCACAGGCCTAGTGCACCGTGAAGCTTAAACGGTAAAAGTGTGTTTGCACAAGAAAATCTTATATTTGCTGTGTTCCGGATAGCAATTATTACACCGTGACGTAGCGCATTATAGTCTTCATTTGCATGTTAAAATTCGTATACGAACTTTAGTGTTACCGTGGGGTTTTCCATTTAAAATCCTAATTTATGAACAATATTTGATGAGATTTACAACGATACTGTTAAAAAGGTTAATGAAACTGTAGAATGCTTAGTTTTTAGGCCGAAGGCAAAAATATTTTAACATATTTATTTATTGTAGCTTTAAATATATATACAAGTACAGTCAACCCCACTTATAAACAACTCGGTTATAGTGAATAATTGTTAATAGCGAACTAAATCTGACATCCCCGACCGATTCCTTCTTTATCATTCTTTATTTTATATTAAATCATATTGCTTAATATGTACCCGCTTAAAACGAATTTTCGGCTATAGCGAACCATTTTTTCAAGTCCCAAACGGCTAAAAACATGTAAATTTCCTCGGTTAAAAACAAACTGTTATAATTGAAATATTGGGATGCTCTCGATTAAAATCAGTACATGAATACTGCTATCTGATAATTATTCAATCGAGTGATTGCACAGGTTAGAATAAAGATTTTGATAAAATGTTCTCACAATGATAATTTCCTATTTGTTACGGAAAATTTGTATTTTGTACCCTCAGTTGAATGCTGTAAATACCCGGTAATTACCAAATAACCGATTTTTTGTTTGCAATATTAACCAAACATAACAAACAAATAGTAAAAGAATACAAATGGTAAGCACTTTATAGACAAGTACTACATGTCTAAATACATGTACTAAGTACATAATATATTATTCAATATAATGACCCACATTTAATTACCGCTGCCGTAAAATACCGGTTATACCGGTAACCAGTGACCGGTATGCCTTTTTCACGGCAAATTTTCCCACTCAAACAAGTCAGCAAGTTGTTGCTACTTCGCTTTTAGTGAACTTCGGATATAATGAACGAATATCTAAATGTCCCATTGAGTAAGTTATAAGCGGAGTTGATTGTATATCTATATTTTTAATCTTAAAAATTTATTTGCTTATCTCCAAATAATTATGCTATTTCACTATTTGATAGTGAAGAAATAAATTACCAACATAAAGGGTTGTAAAATAAGTATAGAAATACATGTATAAGAATCCATGTAGGTTTAAAAAAAATAGAATAATTTTGTGCATAAATACATTACACAACAAGAGCCGGTTCAACCCGTTGATGCTCCCCGAATAGGTTTTGGACACAGGTAGGTATAGGCTCTTGTAGTGTCAGAGTTATGTCACAGACAAAGTTCAAAGTGTAAAAACAACCCAAATGTTGCCCACGAATGTCGTCTCAATATGTTGATCATTTCTGTGAAATAGTTGTAAAATCTGACTTGAAATAACAAAGTAATGGGCCGAACGAGTTTTTGCTGCAAGGTGACCTTGACCTTCAAGATAGTTAACCAAATGCTGCGTGTGACACCTTGTCTTAGTATGGTGATCATTTCTGTGAAATAGTTATAAAATCCAACTTCAAATAAGGAAGTTATGGGCCGGACACTATTTTGCTGCAAGGTCATGCTGTGACCTTGATCTTCAATAAAGCGACCCAAATGTTGCGCGCGACACATCGTCTCAATATGGTGATCATTTCTGTGAAATAGTTGTAAAATCCAACTTCAAATAATGAAGTTATGGGCCGGACAATATTTTGCTGCAAGGTCATGCTGTGACCTTGACATTCAAGGTAGCAACCCAAATGTTGTGCGTGACACGTCGTATCAATATGATGATCATTTCTGTGAAATAGTTGTAAAATCCGACTTCAAATAATGAAGTTATAGGCAGGACACGAATTCGGGATGTACGTACGGACGGACAACCCAACGACTATATGCTTCCCCAAAAATTTTCGGGGAGCATGAAAACCTGAATGCAAAACAAGAACAATGAGATAAGCTAAGGTTACTTTCTTTACATTTTGTTTAGTCAAGCTAAGTATGCATGTATATTGCACCGACTAAAAAATATATGTAAGCTGCTAATAGAATGCAACTACACATGCTATCAGACTGGAAACAAACTCTAATGTTCCCTCAGGTTCAAAGGTTCAAGCCAGCATGCAAAGGCCAAAAAATAAAAAATAAAATAAAAAATAACTGAACCCAACAAAATACCAGATATATTTCAGAAAGAATAGATAAAAATATTACCCTTAATCCATTTTCTCTTTGAGGCTGTTAGTTGAGTAAAATATTATATAATAAAATTCTAAGATTTTTATCTTTTTAAAACTAAAAATATTAAATCTATATTCTGATGTAAGTTTAGCAGGGTTCACACTACTTAACAATCTACTCAATTCAGCATGATCAAGGACTGGTCTCAGGTTATTTTTAGATCAGTCTCGGAACTTTTGATTTTCATTGGTCAGTGTACATTCTGTGTCAGATTCTGACCAATTAAATACCTGAGATCTGAGTTAGAGCTGATAAAATTTCTATATAACCTTATACCCAGGTCTTGCTTTCTCAACAGGGTAGTTCGGATAGTCTAATTCTGTCAGCACCAGTCAAGGTTCTTGCCTCAAAGTTTTTTGACATTCGATTGGATAGAGTTTTGGTAAATGGTCAAGTAAATGTTGATTAAATTGGAAAACAATAGTAAAGAAAGCTAGTTTGGTCTGGCAAAAAACTAATCTGTACAAAATCCTCTGGACCTTTTGTTAAGCTGGCAGAATAAGCATTATGTAGTGATAGTGTTCGGGTTCGTTTGACTGAGTACAGATGAGATCAGATTAGTAGTTGCCGTGTCAAAAGTCATAGAGAAGTTGCAAATGCTTCTGGTAGGTTCTTGTGAGCTTGTATCGGACAAAAAATCAGTTAGACCTGGTTGGGACTATTGGGACTAATTGGGACCATAGAGTTGCTTGGATAGGCAGTCTGAACCTTGCTTAAGGGATATCTAATTGTAACATATTATTTTCTCTGTATGATATAAGATCAAGAAAATTAATTCTTCAATCGAAAGAATTAGTTTAACAATGATAATCTATCTTCTAACAATTTACTATCTATCTCCCATCAAAAACAACTATATATAAAACAGGCAACTTTTATTACTGATACCTATTAAAACCTAAATCTTCTATATTAGAAAATAGTATCTCAATTTCTTTTTACTCTGAATTTCAATCAACTTTACATTGGATTCATTGCCTAGCCCTATACTGTTGACAAATACAGATGATTTTCATTTCCAACAGTTTAAGAGTATAATATCTATAAAATGTTACGTACCTCTAGATTTTGTTCATCATTGCCACAGTATGACGGTACACGAGAGCCATTATCAAGCAATGGTCTGTTACTTGACGGTTCCTCAGCCTCGTCCTTATTCAGGCCACAAATCAGCTGCCATACCCCATGAGCAAGTAACTTGTACTGGAATAGTACGAAAATATATACTTCATTAGATTTTAGATCATACCAACACTGTGAAGGTTATATGGCAACTGTTTAGCTTTACTGGGGACAGAAGACGTTAGATGTCTCCCAATGACCCTGATTAAGATAGCTGGGCAGTTTCTCAACATGTAAGAATCCATTTAAGTCCCTGGTGGGTATTTGAGAGGCAATGGTCTATAATAGAAGCAGATCAAATTTAGTTACATAGCATAGATGCACATTCTGGCATGGTTCTAAATTGGTGGTGTTGTCAATTCATTAGCATTCAAAAGGCTAATATCTGTCATTTTATTTTATGCTTAAATAACACATACTGTCAAATGAGAAATTTTCGCAAAGGATGATTTTCATAAATTTAGCAAATAGTAGATTTTTTGAAAATAAATGTTTACTTAGTAAAGTATCATATAAATGAACAGGACTGAAAGAAGAAATTTGGGAATATTCAACCATGCCAATGGGTCCAAAATGTTGATTTTGTGAAATTTTTGCCTTGAGAATTTATCTGATTTTACTGCAGTTTTAAAACATAAATACATACCTTTGGACTATCTGAGTCAGTTATGGCCTGTAACAATCTTGTTTTAAGATCCTCCATGGTGTGAATACCTAGTCGTGGTATAATATCTTTACCTAGAACTACTGAACACACAAACTCCTGGCAGTATTGACTAGCACTTAAACTGTAATACAAGTTATAACTCTACATAGTTACAAGGTAAACGAGACACAAGAAAATTTATATATAAAATTTATATAAACCTCTTTAAAGGGACTCCACTGAGGTTTTTTCACATGACAGGACTGGACATAATTTTTTGAGATTAATTGTCCATTTCATGACATCTGGACTTATAACTTGAGTGCAAAATTTCAGATCATTAACTCATTCTGTTTTTTTTTTCCAGAATGATAAATGCAACGCTTTTCACTCAATTTGGGCTAAAATAGGTCAAAAATATGATTTTCAATTTATTCTGAGTATATTTCTTAAATATCTGTTGCATCTTTCTGTTTCAGGAGCCACAGTTTATCTATATAAGAAATTCAAATTGAATGTTTCCATGCTTTTGGACCTCAGTGGAGTTCCTTTAATAAATGTAATTTAATAAATTTGTTTATTTTAACAACTTCTTGTCATACTTTTGAAGAAATGTTTTAACAAAATTTAATATACCGTTGTCCTGATAACGAACATTGCTATGATCTAATAGACATTTTTTTAATTGTTTTACAAGTAATCCCCTGGTACAAAAAAGCTTTTAGCACTATAGCTTCACAATGCATTACTGTTAACAATAGACAAGTCAATCTGTTGCACTTATTTTTAAAGTTGTAACTATAAAAAGTTGTTTGTACAAATAAATTAGCTGGAAAAGTCCAAACAATTGTTAATTCATGAGTAAATCTATTCCAAAAAGTGGTTTTAAACAAATGAGTAAACTAAACTTTCATAAAATTAAGACAAAAATATCTCAAATAACCAGAAAATATAACAAATCAATGCTCTAATCACCATCATTGTAGCACTAGCAGAATGCACTATGCCAGCTTACTCCAGAAAATCTTTCTGTCATACAAGTATATAAACCATCACAGTCACATTGTGATTATAATGATATAAATATGTTCCACAAAATATGCCTCACATTAAATGATAACTAATATAAAATGATTTTTTTTCTTGAAAATATGATCATACACACATATTTTACCTCATCAGGCCACCAGGTGGCGAGAACGTAAAACAGATAAGGTCCGGATACTTCGGTTTGAGCAGAATGGCTAAAAGAGCAGCAGTACCCGCACCCAAACTATGACCTGTAATAACTAGCCTAGCTCCCTGTAATATAAACAACAACAACAACTATCAAATTGCAATCTTTATTTGTTTTATAGTGAAGGAGACCTGTGTTATTCAAATTATGATAAAACAGTGTGTCTATAGTGCCAGTTCAAATGGATGTTCATGTGACAAGAAAGAAATTGTCTATTTTTTTTTGGTAATAAAAACCCAAAGTCAAAGAAGCAAGGGCTTTTGCAATTTTTATATGAAGCCGATTGTGACACTTTCATCATTATTTAAGTAAGACGTCTTAAAATAATCATTACACTTAATTGTCCTTTAAATTACTGAATGACTAATCAAAATGACATTTCTAAATTAATCTTCATAAGTAAGAAGTTTTTAATATAAGATACCATATAACATCATTTACCTCTGCATTTTGGAACGCTTGGTCTAGAATACGCAGTCTTTCTAATGTTGATTGCACATATTTGGCAGCTAGAAGCATGCCTCTGTGAGCCATACAGTTGTCTAGGCCATCTATACCGAGGGAGTCACACTCAGCCGTTAGGTCTGTTATAACATCCTGAAACCATAATACATATCCAGTTAATGTGTGTTGATCATGAACAGATTTACAAGGTTTTAAACAACATTGATCTGTCTTAATGTTAAAAATATTTTTTTCATTTTGGATTTTAATAATCTAAAATTACATCATGTCATTAGTTTTCTTGTAACATAAATAAAACAAAGGTTTTTTTGTTTTTTTTTATCCTTTTATGTCATTGATCATATTGCGACTTTCCAACTGTACTTGTGGAGGAAGACCTCAGGTTCTCACAAAAGAGCACCTGAGTAGAACCACCGATGTTCCGTAAGCTAGTTGGATAGCTTCCTGACAAGAAAGAACCCAAAGTCCCTTGAGGGATTCAAACCAAAAGCAGTGAGGGCCATATAGTGCAAAGTCAATGACTAAAGCACTCGGGAACGGGTGTCCCCGTAAAAAAAATTATTGTACTGTGGCATATACAATGTTTATGCTATTTTAGTGAATTTTTCAAATCATTTAATATTGTGCTATATAATTATACTATACAAGTACTTATTGCTGCAGACTAAATATTCTGCCATTTTTTTTTAACACGAAGGAAGATTTAAAATTTATGCTACTTTCATTTCTGCTGCAACATCAGCCTTGCAAAAAAGTGTTTTATCTTTGCTTTTCTAAGGAAATGATATATAACAAGTATGATATATAACAAGTTATGAAGATTTTTTACATGTAATATGACCATATGCCATATAAAAACAATTGTTTGTATTATATAATCCAAGCAGTTATAATACTGCAAACATCCAATTTAAGAGGGGAAAAAACACAGTAACATCAAAAATCGGCAACAGCCATGTATATAAAAATGTAGATAATATAAATGTCACAAAAAGTAGCATTACAAATGTCATGATTGATACTTATCAAAGTGGACACTCACCTTTAATGACAGAGTGCCTCTCACTGAAACTACTACACTTTGTTTCTTCCTATCTATGCTAACAAAAAAAGGTACCTCATAAATCTGAAAAAGAATAAGCCGTAATCAGAAGTCGGTCCAATACCTCTTTTTTATTTGCATTAACTTTTATCAACTTATCTATCTTAGAAAAATTGGACATCTGGAATAAGCTAACACTTTTGAATACCAGCAAGTATAGTGATACTAATATAGAGTTGTGTTATTAGTTTAGTCAAGTGTAGTTTTATATACAACAAGAGCTGTATGTAAGACAGTGTGCTATGACTATTCTTTGTGCTTGACAGTGAGAAAAGGGGCATAATTCTGTAAAGGTACCTCAGAGTAACGGGACCAGTGTCCATCAAGTCAGATAATCACAGAGAACGAGTGTGTAAAGTTTAAACCCTTTCCGTTCAGTAGTTTAGGAGATACCAACTTGCACGCAAAAACTTAACCAGCGAAGCAGACACCAATGCCAGTGTGAGTACAATGACTTTCCTTATTCTAAGAATAGTCCAGCTAACAACAAATTTCTCACTTACTTTATTATGGAAGCTAGCATATATAATATCATCTGGATGTATGCCTGTGGTTTTCCTGATGGAAGCAGTGTTACATCTACAACAGTTATCATCTTGGATATAACTGCCTTGCATACAACATGCACAACATCTGTAAAATAATTTGATATCATGAATTAATGCCAGGTACAGTATAATTCAGTCAACCCTCTGTCTGCTTGTGCCCAGTGGTAATAACAAAGCAATGCTACCAGAACAGAATCAGAATAGCCTGATTTCTGAAATCTGCTCAATTTTGATATTTTGATATTAAAATCTCTTAAACTACATATAGGCAGTTCCTATTCAAAGAAGGGCATGTCTATTCCAAATATTTCAGCTGTTAAAGACTTTATCCTTTTCACAATGGCATAAGACTCACTAATACAAGAAGCTTTATCACTTTTCTTTAAACTTTTTTTTTACAACAAAATTTAGAGAAATACATTATTAAAATTTGGAAATTTGTTCAGTATTGTAGCTTTATGCTTCATTTATTTGTACTTTTAATGTAAATTTTTCTTTTTGAAAGTTATATTTTGGGAAATTCAATTGATTACCACAACCATTCTTTTCAGTGTAAAATTTAAAGTATGTAATAGCAATTACAAGATCTCCTTAACTTTTTAAGAATCTTTAATAAACAAACAAAAAGTTAGATAACACAAAAAAGAGCAAAAATTGTCTTGTTACCGTATGTTTAGTTTCTTAGTAACTAACAAACAATTCATAGAGCAACATGGTTTAATTTCAACTTTATTATTGCAATACTTCATTTCAGTGTTATCATAAACATATACAAATATTACAATTTGCAGTACAAATGAACAACAACTGGATTGAGAAGGAAGCCAATGTCTTCTGTATTTTCATTCTCTTGCAAAGAGATCATCCATTCTTACATTACAAAATGTGTGAAAAGTGAAATTTTTCAAAAAAACATACTTTCTGAAAAGCATTTTTTTTGTTCTATATAAAGAAAAGAACAAAGGGCCATAACTCCTGTACTCCACAACAATTCCTATAGAATTTGCTGTAAAAAGTTTTATAAAAAAAAAATTACTCAAACAATCCTAAATAAATGTTCTACAATGAAAGACAATGTCAAAACAATATAACTCAATAATAGGGGATGATAACCGGTGATTATAAAACATAAGTTTTATCTAATTAGATACATAACAGATTAAAATCACTTTCTCTAAATTTATGCTAAAATACAGATAAGAAATAAAACAAGCTTTGCTAGTAAGTACATGTACGTGAAAAGTTAGATGTTTTGAGGGAATAAAAAAGGAAGTTTAGCTGACATTGAACCTGCTGGAATCCAAAAATTATTAGCCTTTGCCACCAATATCGAGCCAGGCCCCATGTTCGCAAAGATTTAAGGTTTTAAGGACCAAATCAAGATCAAATTTAAAAACTCTAATAATCTTCATTGTTTATCCTCATAGATTAAATATCTAATATTAATTTGATAAAACTGGACTTGCAATAGCAAATTTATGAAATTTTAAAATAAATTGATTGTTAATTTTGCAAGATACGAACATTTTACAGTTGATCCAAATATTGATCCTGATCCTAAAATTGATCCTTATTTGATCCGAATATTTTTGTATTTGTTTTGTTATTTGTTGATTTTTGTTTTGTTTATTTGTTGATTTCAAACTAGTTTGGTTTCTTTGCAAATCAGCAATTTGTACATTTTGAATATTTACCATTTAATTCTAAGCACAATTAATTTTAGTAACATAAAACAATGAAAATAAAATCAGGATCACCAGGCTCAATACTGTTAACTGACAAATTTTAAATTTTCATCTTGATCTCCCCAAATTAATAATGGACAATTCCAACAGTGGATATTGGACAAGTCCATTGAAGGAATTCAGCAGGTTAAGGGTTAACTAAACTCTTAGAGCAAACTATCAGACAGCTAGTATAGAAAATAGTCAAACTAGTGTAGTAGTTACTAGTATACTAAAAACAAAAGTGAAAACCACAAAAAAACTAAATATAAGTGATTTAGTATAGAGTTAGAAAAAAACACACCAAAATAAAACACTAAAGATTACTGTTTCTACGTCCAAATACAACACTAGTGCAACTGAGGAAAACACTTTTGAGCTATAAGCCTATGTAAACATTTCCATTTTACTTAAATTTTTCTGATAAATTACAGGCAGAATAATCTTTAATAGCGATGTTATTTGTGAATATAATCACATTGGCAGAAATACTGGCTACACTGGAATACTGACAATACTGGTAAAACTGACAATACTTTCAACATTGGAAATATTGGCAACATTGAAAATAATAGCAATGCTGTAAAATCATTTTTGTTCACATAGGATAGATTTTGGTGTATCAAAAGTTTAAATAGAAAGTATTGTCCGGTGTATAAAGTATAAATAAAGAAATCTTCAGCAAGTCAAAGGCTGCTCTTACAATCAACATTATAGTAATTTACTTAAAATCCACCAAAATATTAGTTATTGGGTAGAAATATTCAAATAAACATTAAATATGTAATATTAAATCTGCAAACATTTTTTAAATATTGAGAATATTTTTATATTCATACTTTTAATAAGTTTTCCCTTAACTTTCAAATTTCTTTCATCTGGAGAAAAGAAGCTTTAAACTTGTCCTTATATATTTATTAATATATTCAGAGACATTACAGCTCAGAAAGTGTTCCTTAGTTGTTTGGGGTGTTTGTTTGTTTTGTTTTGGTTAAACAACTCACTGTAGGGACAAGCAAAGCTCATTCAATTCCTTTTCTGTTTCAATTACGGTCATACTCTGTGTTTTAAAAACATGAAAGCAATTGAAACATGCATCCCAACATGATTGATCCTCATGTTTCTGGTTATATCTCAAACTTCTCGGTAAACATGCATAGCTGAAAGATAATATATCCATGCCATACTGTCATTATATTAAAAAATTACAAACACATAACATAATACGTCATGCCATTCTGCCATTATATCAGAAATTACAAATATATTACCTAATACACCATGCCATACTGTCATTATATTAAAATAATTTATGAACACATAACATAGTACGCCATGCCATAACGAAATACATGATGCTAAGTAATACTGTCAATATATTGGAAATTATGAACACATAATGTTACACATCATGCCTAAAGTCATTATAGCGGAAATTACCAACACATATAGTGGAATAACGAACACATAACATGAACACAAAGTACAATCAGAACGAGGGCATGCTACATTTATAAATATAGATGCATGTACATACAAGTAGAAAGATAACATTTAAAAACGTTAATAAATTTCAACAAATAAAACTAATCAGAAATACTATTATATGACAGTATCATTATGAATTTCTCTTGAATATTATACAAATAATGAATCATTAATGATCATGATGATAATAATGATAACAATAAATTTATTTTTTCTTAGTTGACTTTCCTGGGGACGTTACTTGCTATGTGTGCATACCATGACTATTACATGGCCATGGGATAGATATTGCATGTACTTATGCCAGATAGCTTACAACTGCAAGTGCATGTGGTGGCTGTAATGTGGGCAAACAAAAACCAACAGCTATTGCATGCGGCACATGTAGTAAATAAAAGATTTCCTATGTCCCTTTTGTGTCATTTATCATTTTTTTCCATTGATGCCTTATAATGTTGCAGTAACAATTGGCATGACCTTACTTTATGTTTGTATTACACAAAAGATGTTGTGTCAAAATATATGTACGGCCTTGCAATATCATTTTAACAGTCACAAAAGTGGCACAAGAATATGACAAAAAAACGAATTATTAATCTTTGAATACCATCTGCAATAATCATATGCCTTTGTCATGTGTACATAGAACAAGGACAAAGCAACAATTTAAAATAATAAATCAAATCTATTGAAAATACATGTATTTTCAAACCATACTATCAGTTCTATCTTCGTTTGTAAAAAAAACCACAAAAAAACACAAAATAGCCTAAAATCAACATTTTTGAACAAGGACAACTGTAACAGCAATAACATATTATTCCTAATAATTTCAAAAATCAATGAACCCTTCAAAGTATACCCATTACGGAATATAATCACTATATACCTTTTGATCAATACTTGATTCATATGGGAAAGAAACTAGAACTGTAATCTTCTTTAACTTACTTGCACTGAGAGGTTAGCTGGCAAGCTCCGGTCATAAGATGGGTGAAGATGTACAATGGCCAACCATAACTAGCCATGGCGAACTTCATATAATGTGCTAACATTTCTACAGTCATCCATGGTTTAGGTGTAGGAATCCCAGGATCTCCAGTGCTTGGAAGTGCTGAGGTTGAACTACTGGCAGATAAAGGCCTGTATATAAAATAAATATCAATTAATTTGACTCTGCTCAAACAGAAAGTGATAAGTCTTTGTCACTTGTCATTAAAAAGCCAGTCCAGCCTGCACAATTGTTCAGTCTGACCATGCTCTATACCATTCAAACTTCAACTTCAGATATTTTCATTTTGGTTTCCCTAAACTTGACAAAACGGATAGTTCCAAAATAGAAAGCATAGCAAATCCATATAAGAAATTCAGCAGGTAAAGTGTTAACTATCCAAACAATTACATAAAAGACAAGTGAAGAAATATTTGTGTTAATTATTAAACAAGAAGATTATCATTTAACTATTCATGCAGTGCAGATTATCATGTTGTGGCTTTGCCATTTTATATATTCATATATTACTATTATCTTAGCCATTAAATAAAGTATGTGAATACACACGTTCAGCAAGCTAATCACGATAATAAAATCTCAGACAAGCCCAATGATTTGTGATTTCTGTCCCTTATAATGAACAGTTGGAATGCTAAATTTGAAAGGGGAGCGGTGGCCTAGTGGTTAAAGTGTCTGCCCTCAACCCAGGGATCACGGTTTTGAACCCTAATTGGGTTGCGACCATGTTTCTTTATATGACACCAATACTGGATGGACTCGAAAGTGATTAATATAAGTTGCAAGAACTTGTTTCGCAATCGAGTTTAAATAAATATGTTCAAACCAAATTTCAAATGTTTGACTTAAAAGAAAACAGAAAACACTGATTTGAATGTTGAAAACCTGCCTTGGTAAAGAAAATTTTTTAAAATAAACAAACAACAATTTGTTATCTTCTTTATCAGAAAAACTTTTCTATATCACTTTTTTCTAGTATTACCTTTGCATATATTGCTGCTCATTGTGTGACATACCACTTTGACTTATAGACCTCTGTGGAGCTTCTATTCTTATAGACATTAGCGTGTTAGCCTCCCTCTCTTGTTCTCTGTGTACCAGTATCAGACCACACGCAACATCTGTAGGTACCAAATCTACACCCTGTAGAAAACAAATGCTTTTTTTATCTGTACAGAATTCATTTTAGTTTGTAAAGAAAGCTATAAGCTTATTAATACACTCTCGGATCCATTCCTGGAACCAACCAGGACCTAGCAATTAACGTAGTTTCTTGCTAAAGGAAATGACCGCTTGCCATCGACGGGGTTTGATCCTTCATGGCTGGTGATTCTGACACATTAACCACTGGGCCATGCCATAATTTTTACATCTTTGGGTAAATTTTTCATTGCAAAAGTTCCCTAAATATAATTTAATTATAATTATTGTAGACCATAATGGAAACAAGTGAATTCAAACACAATTTTTGTGTCATCCTGGGTATATGAATACTTTTTGTGGTACATCTTTTCATTTTATTAATAACTTGGAGGTATTTGATATCTTTTATATAATGTCTTTCAAAATGATTATTATTTTACTGTGTTTTAGTTAGACCTCTTATGTTTTATACTGAAATAAATTACTAGAAGGTTTTTTTTCAATCTATTAACAAACAATGAAGGACTTATAAGATCACAAAAAAATTAGATTAAAAACAATACTGTTGATTTTTGTGTTAATTGGACACCCTTATTATCTTTATCACTTCACTTGAACTGCAGTTCAAACAAGAATAATTTGTAATATGAAATGTACATTCACCTGGAAAAAATTCGAGAAGATCTCTGCTATACCACTGAAGGCATTTGTACTTTGTTCATCACATCCAACACAACAGCATAATATACGACATCTGAAATTAGTTCAAAAATAATGACTGTACATCATAATTATTTTCATTGAGAATTATCAAAAGCTGAAAATCTATTATAACGGTTAATTTGACTTGACCTTTAAGTCAAGTAAGTGTAATGTACATGTAACTTTAAATTTCTTACTTTTCATCCAAAATAAAAACATTCATCAAACTACCATTGTGCTGACTTTGCAAACAATATGTCTATGACAGACAATACACTATTACCATTAGCAGTAAGATAGAAAGGGCAAACATGAATTTTGCAATATTTAAATAATGGATTATGATGCTTGTTACCTGAAGAAAATAGCGATTAATGTGAAAAAAATGTCATAAAAGTAGCAGAATGTAAACAAAGTAGTATTTTAACTTCATACAAAATACTAATTCACTATAAATATATTTTTTGCCAAAAAACAACACATGAAATAGTTGGTATAGGTAATTTGCCAATAAATAACATTTAGGATACTATACAAGTACACCAAAGTTTAAAAAAAACTTTTGAGAAATAAAAATAAAAGCATTTATGAGGCATAATGGGCCTTTAATGAAACTTGTTTAATTTAAACTTCCTACCTAGTCTCCCATACCCTTTTAGCCGAGTTGGAGATTTCCTTATCAGCACTGTCTCTCTGGTGCTGCCCACCATCTGACTTTTGATGTAATGCTCCCAAAGGATCGAACACAACACCTATGCCAATCAGAACAACTATACCCATAACCCAGCCGAAGATAACTACCCCCTTGACAGTGAGCACTATATGCTTTTCACATCCACTTGATACTCCGAACGCCCAGTACGTTCCCATGATATTCCAAGCTAGCTCAGGCAACGTGATGGCAAACTTTGTATAAATAAGTTTAGATATTTTCCTCCTTGGTGAACAGTTTGTGATTGTACCTTGCATACTGACGTACACAACTGCAATTGTCATTAAAATACTAATGGCAAGAAGGGACAGAAGACCGATGTAATATGTATGCAGTAAATTACCATCGTGGCAGTCTAACGTATCCTTGTGCATGTGAAATATTGCTGAAACAACTGCAATCCTAGAAAAAAGGTATGAAATTTGGGTAATACCTCTACAATACAAAGTCTATAAAATGCATAAACAAGATCTCAAGAATAATCAATACATGTACATGTGTTATGTGTAGAATATGTAATAAAAAAGATGATAAGCATCTTATATCAGGTTCTTAAAACTTTAATAACACATCTGTAAATAAATAAGTTTTACTTTCTGTGTGCTTACAATGTAAATTTTGTTTTCCTTTCGTGTTTATGGTCTTTATACATGCCACTCAACATCATTCTACGTTATTGTGTTTCACAATATCAGATGTGAGTAACAAGTATTTTCTGTATCATATTGTTTAAGCTAATAAAGATTTTCAGTTTTAGCAGTGTTACTGTCCTATTACTTAACAAACAATGGCATGTAATATTCCAACAATTGGTCCATTATCACCTGCATAATGTCCAACTCAACATGGTTATTAATAAATTATAAATAGTATCATAAAAAAATATTCTAAATTAATAAACTGCTCTGAGTAAAGGTTAAAGTTTATTCATACAGGCCTGATTCATATGTATTTACAAAATTTAATTGGTTAGGTGCGGCATAGCCGTGTGACAATTTTAATTTTGTAAATTTATACATACCAATAAATTTTAACCAAATTACATGTAGTGTTTTAAATTATTTTTTTATAAAAAAAACTCTATTTACTAGACTGAGTAATTACTAGTTTGCCGATTTTTCAAAGTAAATGTGTTACGATTCATTTGAAATACTGCAATCCTATTGGACAAAAAATAATTTCAAACACTAATTATAATATGTATATGTTTATAATGATATTAAAAGGAAAACAAAGAAACATCAATATTTAAATATTTTATTACAATAAATCACAGTTCGCCTCGTCTCGAGTCACGGTCCGCCCTGTCCCAAAATATGGCCCGTCCGTCCAAACATACGGTCCGCCCTTGTACAGTTCGCCTTGACTCTCACGGTCCATCCTGTCTGTAATTAGGCTTTTTGTGCCTTTAAATTAAATGTAAAACAAATCTCACCATATTGCTCTAAGGATTATTTCTCCAACTCCTGGATAGACAAAGTCATCGCTACCAATTGACCACTTTCTATTGAAAGCTACAAGCTGTGGCATCTTAAAATTAATTGCTCAACTGTAAAATAAAGAACCACTATATTATAACTAGGGCTGGATCAATATACCGGTAAATCGGTATTTATCGATTTTCCGTTTTTCAATACGGTACGGTTATCGGGTTTTAGCTATACCGATTCAAAGGGAGACAACCTAATAACACTTATAAACATGATGGCTTTACATTAAAACTATCGTCTTTAAAATGTCCGCACAAAAGTCAAAAGTGTCGAATTTTCTCTTAAGTAAATGTTAAGAAGGCCCTCATCAATATTTGAAAGGCTGCATTGATTAGTTCAGGTGGAACAACGAATATGTCAAAACACAAAATGACGGATAAATCCGTGTCAAAATTTATCCGGCCATTCAATCTCCTATTTCTAACACTGGTAAAAACTACTTTCAGGTCGGCAGTAGTTTGTATTAGACCAAACATTTACTTGTAATTTTTTAAACACATATTGTGAACACATAAATCCAACAAATTTATTGATTTTCCAAGATGTAGTTTGCTAACTAAATAAATGTGACTGCGCGAAGATGTAGCTAAACACCGTTTCCCGGTACGTTACGGATTACGACACCACAACATCATGACATGATATTTATATTTTTATTGTAATTTTACCGTTTAAGATAGAAAAAACATGATTTGTTAGAAAATTTTCAATGTTCCAATACTTTCTCAGCGTATATATTTCAAATTCTACAAAAATTTGATTTTATTATAAAGATCTTATAATTTAGAACAGTTGACTTGTAGACAGTACTAGACTCCTGTCATAATAAATAGTGATGTTTTAATTATTTTCTGCGTTAACTTTTCCTAGTATTTACATAATTATATTTTTGCATTGAATTATTTCTCTACAAAGCTTTTTAATTTTTTTTTCAAAATAATTGTTTTATCTAAAAAAGGGACCATCATGTCATTTTCAAAATATTACCTCAAATGTACTAATTAAGGTACCTATGCACCTGCTCTGTATTATATATCATCATTAACAAAGTCAAAATCTAAAACAGATATAAGAAAGATTCAATAATATTTCACCAGGGCATCTATGAAATGTAAATAGTACTTTTAATAAGTACATCCTAACAATGAAGCATCATTGTACTGTATCGTCAATACATATTGTGTATCGTTGGTCTGTATCGCAATGCGTATCATATCGGAAATTTGTGATCAATACCCAGCCCTAATTATAACACACTCGCTTGAAAAAGTTCATCTTTAAAAAAATGTAGTTTAGGATACAAAATCATACTATCAATATTCCTATGCCAGTATGATTCCTTAGTTTGGTGATATTCAATATAAAATTATACGCATGTATATTTGATAAGCTGAAGCAAACAGTCCACTTTTACTTTCCATTACAAGCTCAAGTCAAAGACTTTAATTTTGAAAGAGAACCATCAAATGATGCTACAATTTAAATGATAAAATTTGCAATTTTTTTTGTATTTTTGCCTTAGATTTCAGGTTGTTAACCGACTTTTGACCAAGACATTTAAAGAAAATGTTATTATTTTTATTCAAGCCGAAGCATAGGCAGTAAACAGGTAAACCTTGAAATAGCTAAACAGCTAAAAATTATTTATCGATAAATCAATTTGTATGTGGTGTCTAGTAAAACGTCAGCATATTACATGTTTTGAAAAGTGGAAATGATTTATTAATTAATTGAAAATTAACCTTCTTTAAATCTTTTAAGTATAAATTTAACAAAACGTGTATTTCGTTTCCTGTTTTCCTTGTTTTGACATGTTGATAGTGGCCATGTTGACAACACGATCTAACCGCATTTGATAAAAGCGCTCCGATTGGGTCATTGAAATCTAGATTGTCCAATCAATGAAAACCGTACATTTCTTTTTTATTTACCGATATAAGCCATACTAATTTGCCGTACCTGATACCGGGCGACAATTTTTTTCAAAGTTTGTTTCCAACTGCTCCCAAAAATCTCCTTTTCAGCAGTACATTGTATAAACATATATTTAATAAAGATATGGCAGGTTTAGATTTCAAATAGGCAGTATATGATGCTGCAGTATAGCTTTCAATCAGCTTGAAATAAATGATTTATGTACAGAAGAATTTTCCAAACTATTTTTAAAATCGTTTTTCATAGAAATGGTTTCAGTCGTCATTCTCAAATTTTATCACAGAAAGATTTTTGGCTACTTTCTGAAATTATTCGTCCGTTACAGATGACCAATTCCTCAAGAATCAAATTTGCTCTTTATATCAGAAAATACGTGGTGTCATTTTACAAGTTATCGCAAAAATTAAGGTCTAGCAATATAATTGGCCATTAAAAAAGCTGCAAAAAAATGCATGGTACCCACAATGAAGTTTCATGATGGTAATGTGATGATGTAGTGGCGTATGAACTATACATGGTGAAGACTGTGTGCCATGGGTTTCTTTAAAAACTTTGCCTTTGCTTTTTCTTATGCACATTTTCTTTTACTATGTACAGCAAAAATACTGGTACAAGAATAATAGTGTACTACATGTATGTCACAGTATCAATATAGTCACTGAGATCCGGGGCCATGGTGTGTCTAAACAGACGATCTCAGTCATTAGATCTTATAACTTCTTCAAGAAAGTTACCGCCTACCATTAAGAGCGTGCTGACACAATGTAACCCTGTCAACCTAAGAATATCTTGGAACAATGATATTTGGACAAACACAAGTGTTTGAAAAGATTTATCAGATCCAAAACAAAGAGATAACTATATCAGTTATCAATACGAAAATAAGACGATGATGACAGCTATATATGTAAGTTGATATATGTAAGTTGTGTATGCATCAACTATTTTTGATTTCCTTGGTAATTTGTTATCATGAATTCAAATGAATTGTTGCTTATCGTTTTATTTTCTTAAAATGACTTCTTCAACCGTTAAGGTCTAGGTCCCTAGCATCCAGAGTTGGACAAAATTTAAGATAGATAAGCTTAATTGGTTACAGTCAGTTATATCAAAGTGATAAGAAATGTATAAAACCTTTGTATATGAACCGCAAAACAATTTAAGGAGATGTAATAATAGTAATGTTTTTTTATGAGTTGCACTGTATATTACTATAATCTGGGACATTATTTATGTCCCAGCTATAATTGCTTGGTAATGGCAATATTAAATGTGAAGTATATCACGGCTGTAAAGATGCATGTTTCTAGATAAGCCAAATATTTTTAAAAAAATAAAACTTGAGAAAATGTACAAAGTATTGAAGAAAAGTAAAAAAGATTTACTTGTAATTTGCAATTAAAAGGACTGTTTTTGCAGTAATTATCACCATATTTTTCTGCGTGACTAACACATTAAGGGCTACTTTTGCATAATTATTTTGACCTCTTTTTGGTATTTTTCCATGGATTGTATTGTCATTTGAAATGTATAATTTTTTTCCTTTTTAATTCGCAATATTTTTTTTTTACTTTTAAATACATTTTCAAAACTTTCATGAAAATTAGCAGGGATCTGGAGGCATGCTGTTATTTAAGTTATCAGTTGAAATCCGGAGACCGGAGACCGGAGACCGTCGATTAAATGGTTCCCTGAAAAGTGTCAACATCCGGTTGTCTGCTTAGCGCTAAATTTGGAAGTCTAATGTACGATAAGTATCATTCTGACATCAGTGTTCCCACTAGAATTTAAATTTGAGGGTACATGTACCCCCTAGGTCATAATTTTGGGGGTACACAGAATATTAAGGGGGTACAAACTATAATTTAGACAAGCAAGTCAGTTAAACACAGACAGTTTTAAGTGTTTTTTTTTCATATATCTCGCATGTTAAACAAAACATTTTCCCGTTGTCTTTGTCAAATCTAAGCCATGAAAATTCGGACAACCAGGAGTTCTGAAATCGTTTGCAATGTTTCTTTTTGGGGGTTCAACACTATTTTCACTAGGGCCTGGTTCTTGATTTGCGCTAGAGGATTGAGTAAAGGTCGGCGATTTTTCGCTGGAATCGCTTTTTATGGAACCATTCATTTAAATTGCATTGCATTTTTTAATAACTTTTCCAGCGATTATTTAATATTTCAGACGGCTTATTTGTATTGCCCGGATGTAGACTTGTTACTGCGTTTAATATAGAGCGTCGCTAAGCGTCGTTAATAATTATGAACCAGTCCATGAGCTAAAAATAGCACAGCTGGGAAACCCGAGTTATGACCTCAGATTAAATTACGGTCGTATCGATTTTTACGGTCTTGTAAACAATTTCAGAGATTTATGAGTAGAATATTGATTTGTGATTCGAATTTGCGGATAATGTTTTGGCAGTTCAACTTCAATTTTTATACGTGCATGCACGCACCTAGTTGTAATTTCATGCGTGATTTTTGTAAATTATACGTGATTCACGTACATTTGTGCGTGAATGGGAACACTGGACATTCATTGAAACTAAATAGATGATGAAGAAAAAATATTTTAACCAGATAATTTGATACAATGCCGTTCTGCCACGTTGTGTCGAATAAGATTTTTCTTTGGTATTGGTGCGACTTCAGCTGGAGATCATTGAGTTTCGTCCCAAAACAAAACGTCCCATGTGTGTTAGCACACAGACAGTCACACTGTGTGTGTGTCAGAATGAAATTCTTCTTCTGTCTTCAGCAAGGGTTTGACTCAATGGAAGACAGATAAGTAGAGTAGATCCGGCAATTATCGGACACCTCCGGACGAAGCGGACTATAATTCAGTTGATAGTAATCTCCTCTTTGTTCCGTTTCACCCGGTACATAAACCGTGCTTGCAGAAAGCATTCTACCACTTCTTATGTACATATCTCGATGTTATGCGTATAGTAATAGGGTTAAAGTGTTCTGAATTAAAAACGTCTTGAATCGGACAGAAGAGCTCTTAATCGGACACTGAAGGCGGGGATCATCGGTCATACAATTTCTGTTCGGGGATTATCGGACAGGGTTAAGTTTTTTAAAATAAATAAGGTTTCAGACAAAAAAATAAATAAAAAATACACAATTTGCTCCAAGTCCATGACAGGATGTGTTATATCCAACTTAAATTTACTTTATACTCAATTTACACTGTTCTGTCGGACTCCTTTCCAACCTGTGTGTTTTGAATTTTGTTTTAAGTTTTGACATCTGTCACATCAAAGGCACTCACCGCATGCAGTGATCATGCAGTTCAGAACACTGATTGGCTCAAAGAACTGTCAGATGAAATATACGTCACTTTGGTACATGTTTCACCTAAGGAGTTTTTTTAGTTGATGTCGGTAAATTATGCGTGGCCTAGATTGACCTCAGAGAACTTTAAACAGTTACACAATATTTTTCAGCATTAAAACTGTGAGTTATCAAAAAGGATTTTAATCTTTAAAGTATGAATTATTTTAATTCTGTTTATGAATCATACCTTTAAACTTTGCTCTAAGGAGAAAAAAATTAAATTTATAACAGAACTTTCCAGACTATAATGGTGAATTTTCGTAAAAAATTTGAGAAAAAATTACTGTTGCTGAATTTCTGCACCAAAAACAAACTTTATAAACACTGGATAGAGTATGCATGAAATTTAAATAAACTAAACTTCTGAAAACCCGTTTCGTAGTTACGGTCCGCAATTCTGATCAGCACGTGTTTGAAGTACACCACTTGTGAAATAATTTGGCGATTCTACTTTCAAACCTTAATATAATGAAGTCATTGCATGACATAAACTTATTCTAGATTGTTTCTTTAGCCAAAACATTTTTGAAACAATATATATTATATCACAAACGAGTTGATGGACTGACCGTACAAAGAAAGAGTACTAGTTAATTAGCGTATGGAGTAGATTTAATTGCCGCCACTTTTCTTTTTCTTTCTTGAACCTTGCTTAACTGACATGACTTTTCTTGAGTATTTGTGATTTTATGTTATTAATTAAGAATATTTTTTCAAATTGCACTGCAATTTTTTAGGGATCCCAACGGAATCCCCAGGTATTCCTCCCGGTTTCTTGAAATTTAGGAATACAAGAATCCCGTTATCGTCTAACCCAAGAAATATACGCAAATGCGATAGAGGATACTGAATGAGTGTATGTTTAGTAATAGAAAGAGCACCGAAACACGAGGTTATCTGATTTGTACGAGGGGGCGTAGCCCCCCGAGTATTAATCAGATTACCGAGTGTTTTGGTGTTCTTTCTCTTTTGTATCATAGTCAAACATAAAAACACGTTCCCTGTTGTTACAATATGAAACCCCGGCAAAAATGAACCAATGAACGAGCATCTAAATATGACATTTCTGTCGATTTCACTTTCACTGCCGTCACAATATGTAAACCCCAGCAAAAATGAGCCAATCAATGGGCATGCTCTGGAGTGCGGGTAACTAATACCCGCACTCCAGTTAACGCACTGTGCATGTATATGTAAACGATTTAACCCTGACACATTTTCAACAGAAAGGTCTCCAAACTATGATACAAATATGAATTGTATCATAGTTTGGAGACCTTTCTGTTGAAAATGTGTCAGGGTTAAATAGTATACATATACATGCACAGTGCGTTAACTGGAGTGCGGGTATTAGTTACCCGCACTCCAGAGCATGCCCATTGATTGGCTCATTTTTGCTGGGGTTTACATATTGTGACGACAGAGAAAGGGAAAGCGACAGAAATTCATATTCAGATGTTCGCTCATTGGTTCATTTTTGCCGGGGTTTCATATAAAGACAACAGGGAACGTGCTTTTATGTTTGACTATGATACAAAAGAGAAAGAACACCAAAACACTCGGCAACCTGATTTATACTCGGGGGCTACGCCC